TGTGCCCCTGCACTCCAGCCTGGGCACCAGAGCAAGACTCCATCTCAAAAAAGAAAAAAAAAAAGAAAAGAAAAGTGTGGCAAGAGACCATTTATACAAAGTTTAAGAACATGCCAGATGCTGTGCTGTGTTCTCTGTGGAATCTGCATACAGCCACCTTCAGGGAACATTCCCTGAGCAGAGGAAAAGGTTCTGAGGCTCACGTGAGGCCGTGGTGTCGGAAGCCCACTGGGCCTGTAATAGCTCCTCTTTGTTGAGCATATACTACATGCCAGGCACTCTTCCAGTGGCCTCATTGATTAGCCCCATTTAACAGCTGAGTAAACAAGGCCCAGAGAGGTCCAGTGCCCTGTCCAAGGCCACACAGTTAGTAAGTTACAGAGCCATAATCGAACCCACTGCTCTTCATGACCAACCCACATGGCCTCTCACACTGCGGCACACAGTGTTTTCAAAAGGATTTCAGACACCTAAAGGGAGCGTGGTCGAATATTAGCACGGGTGAAGTCTGGTGGTGTGTTTTTGGGTGTTCCTTCTTCCGTTCTTGGTAATTTTCCATAAGGATGTTTATGAAGGCCAGCTCTGGCCTGAGGTCTGTGCTGGCCCCTTGCCTGGCCGTGATCTATATCACACGGGTATCCCAGCTGCCAGGGTGGCAGAGCAATGACCCTGTCACTCCCCAGCACTCACAAGATGGGTCCTGGCACATTCTCCTGCTGCAGCTAAGAGTGGCAGAGGAGGCCTGGGCCCTGCGGACAACAGATTCACCAACACCTTGGCTGTTCTCCTCAAGACAGTGGGGACGGGAGGCCTGTCGGGCTGCCCCGAGGCCTTCCCAGTCTTTCTGAAGAAGGGACTCAAAACCATGGAATTAGCAGAGCCTGGTGTGTGGGAGCCGATGCGTAGGTGCCCACACCAACTCAGTCTGGTCAGAGAGGCGCTGGGTGTCCAGTGGCCTGTGTGCCCTGGTAGTGGCAGCCGATGGTGCCTGCTGGGCGCCTGGAAATGTGGGCAATGCTCCTGGACCCCACACCCTCATGCCCCAGAGGGGCCAGCAGAGGCCGGGTCTCACCTCTTCCCCACTCCCACTCAAGAGATAGGGAAACGGAGGTTGGGTTGAGGAAGAGTCCTTAATGGGAAATTTGAAGCAAGGCCAGGTGGCTCCCTTGTGCCAGGCAGCCTTTGTGGGCCCTGAATCATTTGCTGAAGAAAATTGGGAAACTTCTCAGCCCCAGGTCTGGCTTCCGAAGCTGTGTTTCCATTAGATGGAGCGTGAGGCACCTTTGGCCCAAAGGACTAGCTTTGTCTCTGTTGCTCTGGTGGTGCACACCCCATCGCCACACAAACAGCTCTGGCTCCAGATGGCATTTGGTGGAATTGTCCAGCTGTGGCAGGAGCTCGGGTTATAGAAATAGCCAAGTCAGAGCATTTGATCATTCATTCATTCCCTCGTCCTTTCACTCATTCACTCCTTCATCCTTTTGTCCATTCATGTGCTGATTTGTTCTTACAAATAAGATGCCCAGCATGTGCCAGATATCATACCCTGGGGGCTCAACAGCGGGGCCCCTGCCTTCAGGGAGCTGCCTAACTGGTGGAGACTGGGCAACCAGCTTCTGGCTTCTCTATCACTACGGTTTGCTTTATCTGAAATGAATGTGGTGACTGCAGCTTTATTTTAATTCATGGTAGCATGGTGTATCTTTCTCCATCTCTTTATTTTTCAACTATCAGTCTTTATATTTAAAGTGGATTTCTTGTAGACAGAATATAGTTGGGCCCCTTGGTTGTTTATTTTTATTTTATTATTTTTATTATTATTATTATTATTTTGAGACAGGGTCTCACGCTGTCACCCAGACTGAAGTGCAGTGGTGCGATCATGGCTCACAGCAACCTCGACCTCCTGGGCTCAAGTAATCCTCCCACCTCAGCCTTGGGAGTAGCTGGGACTATAGGCACACACCATCATACCCAGCTAATGTTTTTGGATTTTTTGTAGCAACAGGGTTTTGCCACATTGCCCATCCTGGTCTTGAACTCCTGGGCTCAAGTGATCTGCCCACCTCAACCTCCCAAAGTGCTAAGATTACAGGCATGAGCCAACAGCCACCATGCCAGGTAGGCCTTGTTTTTTGTTTCTATTTTTGAGATGGAGTCTTGCTGCGTTGCCCAGGCTGGAGTGCAGTGGTGTGACCTCGGCTCACTGTAACCTCTGCCTCCTGGGTTCCAGTGATTCTTCTGCCTCAGTCTCTGGAGTAGCTGGGACTACAGGCACACGCTACCATGCCCGGCTAATTTTTGTTATTTTTAGTAGAGATGGGGTTTGACCATATTGGCCAGGCTGGTCTTGAACTCCTGACCTCGTGATCCTCCTGCATCCACCTCCCAAAGTGCTAGGATTACAGCTGTGAGCCACCGTGCCCAGCCTAGGCCTTATTTTTTAATTCACTCTGACAATCTATGTCTTTTAATTGATCTATTCCAATCATTCAGATTTAAAGTGATTGTTGATAGAGATGGATTACTATCTACAATATGTATAACTCTTTTCTATTGATTATACTTGTTCTTCAGTCCTACCTCCCTTCTTTTACCTGCTTTCTCTGGTTTTAAAAATTGAGCATTTATTAGTATGGTTTCATTTTACCTTCTTTTAAGGCATATCAATTATATTTCTTTTACAATTATTTTAATGGTTGGGCTAGAGTGTGCAATACATATTTTGTTTATGTGGTTTTTAAAACTTTAAAATTTTTATTTATTTATTTTCAAGATAGGGTCTTGCTCTGTCACCCAGGCTAGAGTGCAGTAGTGCAATCTTGTCTCACCACAGCCTCAACCTCCCAGATTCAATCGATCCTCCTACCTCAGCCTCCCAAGTAGCTGGGACTGCAGGTGCACACCACCACGCCAAGCTAATTTTTGTATTTTTTGTAGAGACAGGGCTTTGCCATGCTGTCCAAGCTGATCTCAAGCTCCTCGGCTCCAGCAATCTGCCTGCCTTGGCCTCCCAAAGTGCTGTAATATCAGGGGTGAGCCACTGCGCCCAGCTGGGTTTTTTTATTAATAGACTTTTTGAACAATTTTAGATTTGCAGAAAAATTTGAGCAGATACTATAGAGGAAATACATTTTTTCCCCTAATAAATGTCCACCTTCAAATAACACTATACCACTTCATGTGTAGTGTGATAACTTAGAACAGAATTTCCAGTTCCTTCCTCCCATCTCTTATGACGTTGCTGTCATCCATGTCACTCCTCCATTTGCCATAACCATCCACTATGTTGAATTTCTGACCTATATCATCTTTCTCCCTGAAGAACTTCTTTACTTTTTTTTTTTTTTTGAACTATAGTATCTCGGCCAGGCGCAGTGGTTCACACCTGTAATTCCAGCACTTTGGGAGGCCAAGGCGGGCGGATCACGAGGTCAGGAGATCGAGACCATCCTGGCTAACATGGTGAAACCCCGTCTCTACTAAAAATATAAAAAATTATCCAGGTGTGGTGGTGGGCGCCTGTAGTCCCAGCTACTTGGGAGGCTGAGGCAGGAGAATGGCTTGAACCCAGGAGGCGGAGCTTGCAGTGAGCCAAGATCGCGCCACTGCACTCCAGCCTGGGCGACAGAGTGAGACTCCGTCTCAGGAAAAAAAAAAAAAACAAAACAGAGTATCTCTCTCTCACCCAGGCTGGAGTTCAGTGGTGTGATCTCGGCTCACCGCAACCTCCGCCTCCCGGGTTCAAGCAATTCTTCTGCCTCAGCCTCCTGAGTAGCTGGGATTACAGGTGCCCACCACCACACCCAGCTACGTTTTATATTTTTAGTGGAGACAGGGTTTTACCATGTTGGTCAGGCTGGTCTCCAATTCCTGACCTCAGGTGATCCACCCACCTCGGCCTCCCAAAGTGTGGGGATTACAGGTGTGAGTCACTGCGTCTGGCCTGAAGAACTTCTTTTAATGCTTTTTTGTTTTTGTAGGGCGGATCTGCTGGTGATGAATTTCTCCCATTTTTGTTTTTCTGGGAAAGCCTTCATTTCTTTTTCACTCCTAAAGGATAATTTCACTGGATCTAGACTTCTAGGTTGATGGGGTTTTTATTTTTATTTTTTTCTTCTACCACTTTAAATATTTCACTCTACTCTCTCTTGGTTGCCTGGTTTCTTTCTTTCTCTCTCTCTCTCTCTCTTTTTCTTTTTCTTTCTTTCTTTTTCTTTTGTTCTGTCACCTAGGCTGGAGAGCAATGGTGAGATCCCGGCTCACTGCAAATTCTGCCTCCCAGGTTCAAGCAATTTTCCTGCTTTAGCCTCCCAAGTAGCTGGGGTTAGAGGTGCCCACCACCATGCCTGGCTGATTTTTTGTATTTTTGTAGAGCGGGGGTTTCACAATGTTGGCCATGCTGGTCTTGACCTCTTGACCTCAGGTGATCCACCTGCCTCAACCTCCCAAAGTAGGTGTGAGCCACCACGCCCGGCTGGCTTGCCTGGTTTCTAATAATGTCTGCTGTAATTTTTCTCCTTGTTCTTCCATAGGTAAGGTATTTTTTCCCCTCTGGCTTCTCTCAAGGTTTTTCTTCATCTTTGGTTGTCTGTAGTTTGCATAGGATATGCCTCGCTATCGATTTTTTGATATTTATCCTGCTTTATGCCTCTTAGATTCCTGGATCTGTTGTTTTGTATCTGTCATGAATTTCAGAAAATTCTTAGCCTTTTTTTTTTTTTTTTGAGATCGAGTCTCGCTCTGTGGCCCAGGCTAGAGTACAGTGGTGTGATCTGGGCTCACTGCAACCTCTGCTCCTGGGTTCAAGTGATTCTCCTGCCTCAGCCTCCCGAGTAGCTGGGATTACAGGCGCCCTTCACCATGCCTGGCTAATTTTTGTATTTTTAGTATAGACGGGGTTTGTCCATGTTAGCCAGGATGGTCTCGATCTCCTGACCTTGTGATCTACCTGCCTCAGCCTCCCAAAGTGCTGGGATTACAGGCATAACGCACTGCGCCCGACCTTAAATTTCTTTCTTAAGGTGGACCCCTCTCTGCTTCTATTACCCATTTGTCCTTGCAATGTCCTTGTCAATACTCAGAGACGTTTGGTCTTAATGTTGTCAACTTTTCCCACCAGAGCCCATAACATATTAGTCATAGTTATTTTAAATTCCACGTCTGGTAATTTCAGCATCTGTGTCATGTCCCAGGCTGGCTCTGATGCTCCTTCTGACTGACTTTTCTTTCTTTTTTCTTTTTTTTTCTTTTTTGAGACAGAGTCTCGCTCTGTCAACCAGGCCGAGTGCAATGGCACGATCTCCGCTCACTGCAAACTCCGCCTCCTGGGTTCAAGCAATTCTCATGCCTCAGCCTCCCAGTAGCTGGGATTACAGGCGTGTACGACCACGCCTGGCTAATTTTTGTATTTTTAGTAGAGACGGGGTTTCACCATGTTGGCCAAGCTGGTTTCAAACTCCTGACCTTAGGTGATCCCCCTCGCCTCAGCCTCCCAAAGTGCTGGGATTACAGGCGTGAGCCACTGTGCCTGGCCCCTGACTGACTTTTCTTATCTTTTTTCATGCCTTGTTTTTCTGGAAAGCCAGTCAGGGTATACTAGATAACAGGAACTGAGATAAATAGGTCTTAGGGTGAGAATTTATGTTACTCTGGCTGGGGCTGGGCTGTGTTTGACATTTTTCTGTGGCTGTAGGAGTCCAAACCTAATGGCTATGGCCCAGGCTCTGTGTCACTGCCACCTCTGTACACCCGTTTGGAGCCCTGTGTTGATGTGTGACTATCACCCAGTTCTGAGTCCCAGCTGGGAAGTAGGGGCCATTGTAGATGCCCTCCCTGGGCCTGTGTGCCCTCCGACTCCATCCTGGCTCTGCCTGTGCCCTGCTCTCTATGCAGGGAGCCCCTGCAGTCCGCATTTCCCACCCTAGCAGCCCTCTGCTAGGTTCAGCCAATGAAAGTCACAGGTGAGAGTTGGAGGGGAGGTGGCAGGGCGAAGCCGGGGTATTTCTCCCGCTCTCTCTGCGCAGAATCTCTGACGGTGGCTATCTCCAGCTCTGGCCAGACAGGCCTTGTGAGGGTCCAGCTTTTACAAGGTGACCATAGCTCCTTGGCTCCGGTAACATTTGCTCTCCCTGCATCAAGGACCTGGGGACTGTTCCTACTGTTGCTGATCTCAAGGTTACTTCACTGAGCCCTGTATGGCTTCTTAGCCTCTTTGACTTCAAGTCCCTGCATTACATATCCTGTGTTTCAAATACTCAGAGATGTTTGGTCTCGAGCAGAGACACTGACTCTTACATTGTACCTGTTCAGGCCAGAGCCACAGACCTCTGAGCGCTCCAGCCCTGCTGCATCTAATCCACCCCCAGCTCTGCCAGGAGCACGAGCCCAAAGGCAGAAACACGGTCCCCCAGGACAGTCCAAAGAGACCTGCAGAGGACGGATGTGTGCGTTGGGGCCATGAAGATGGAGTAGGAGCTCACTGGACAGAGAAGATGGGGAAGGACACTCTAGGGAGGAGCGAATGCTGAGGTCCACTTGAGAAAATGCCTGGGTGGTTTTGGTGCTGTGAGATTCTGGGGTACGTGAGGCTGTGTGTGAGCGTCTGTATGTGTGTGTTGGGGGGGTGGGGCAGGGTTGGGTCTGAATCTTCAGCAGGGGCAGCAGAACAAAGGGCTAGATGCCCACCCCAGGGGGTAGACTCATCAGTGCTCCCTATGCGAGAGTGGAAGTGGGAAGCCCCAGTGGGTCCTGGGCTGCAGGAGAATCCGTTGCCCCAGGAGCAGAGACTGGGAAGAAGCACACAGTTAAGGGCAAAGAGTGGACTGCGGTAGCTGCTCCGTCCCCCCTCCCCACCCCTAGGCCAGGTTTCGCTTCTCCCTGAGAGTCCTGGGGCAACACCCCCTGTCCTTTCCCTCGCGCCCCCATTTTTAAACTTACGTGAGAGCTTTCGGGGACCGGCTGCGGGCATCCCTTCCCCTAGCCCAGTGGGTGGTGGAACCGGAGCCCAGGAGTCCAGCCCTCTGGCCCTGCGCCTCCCTGGCTAAATAGCGCCCTGTGGGGAGGAAGCAGGGCCCCAGGCGGAACCGGGAAAACACACCGGGACTTTCTACAAACCCGGCCACTCCCACTGAATTGGGAAAGCGGTTAAAAGAGGTCGTACCGCATTCTGCGCCGCGTCCCTCTTCCTTCAGTCCAGCCGCATGTCCCCGACCAGAGGTGGCCTCCTAGAAGGGGAGGTCCCCAAACTCGAGGCCCTGCGTGTAGGGGAGGGGAGCGCCCGCCCCTTCCCCGCCGCTGTGAGCGCCCCGGGAGGGAAGTCGGGCTGCCGTCCCTCCGCCTCTTCCCCCGCGGGGCGAAGCGATGGCTCGGGCCGGGGCCGGGGCGCTGCTGGCGCTTTGGGTGCTCGGGGCCGCAGCGCATCCGCAGTGCCTGGACTTCAGGCCGCCCTTCCGGCCGCCGCAGCTGCTGCGCCTCTGCGCGCAGTATTCGGACTTCGGCTGCTGCGATGAAGGGCGCGACGCCGAACTGACCCGCCGCTTCTGGGACCTGGCGAGCCGCGTGGACACCGCCGAGTGGGCCGCGTGCGCCGGCTACGCGAGGGACCTGCTGTGCCAGGTGAGCGGGCGCGCGGCCACTGGGAGGGGCGGGGCGCGGGCGGCCGGGTCCTGGAGCAGAGATCGGAACCCCGCGGGGGCGAAGGCCAAGAGTGGGCGGCGGACTCGGGAACTCTAGGCCGCAAAAGGGAGTCATTTGGCACGGGGCGGGGAGACCGCGCATCCCAGGGCGACTCTTGGCTTTGCCATTCATTCGTTTTGTGACTTGGGCCTTCTCGGGGCCTCAGTTTCCCCTCCTGAAGCAGGAGGGACGGACAGATGATGTCATCATTTCCTCAGAGGCTGGGGGCTCCTCTGCCCCGGTCCCCTTGAGTCGAGCCCCCAGCGTCCTACCCCGAGCAGCTGCACCCTTGTCGGGGTACCAAGGTGGAGAGGCATCTGTCCCGGTCAGTGCTCCTCTGTGTCTGTGTTGTCCCCGGGGCAGTGAAAGCAGGGGGCCCTGCCGTGGGCGTGGTCAACGTGTGGCCAGGGGTTGTTGCGGCGGTTGGGGCCACTGCCCCCCACGAGAGTCCCACCCCCATCCTGATGCCCTTGCCACTTCCGCCATCACCTCTCTGGGTGCTGTGTCCTCTCCTGGGGATGGCGCCCTGGCCTGGCAGAAGCTCACTCAGGAATGAGCAACAGCTATGTGTTGAAGTTCCTGGGCCCCCCATCTTCCCTCTGAGGGTGGAGCCCCCGCTTCTGTGCACACCTGGCGGTGCCACCGCTGTTTGTTTTCCTCTTGTGGGAGTGTGAGGCCCCAGTGCCTGACCACACCCAGGTGGGCAAATGCTGCCTGGCTGAATACAGAAATGGGGCAGGACAAGGCATTCCTGCCCCAGCATCTGGCCAGTGAGAGGCCTGGGGTGGAGAGGCCCCAGTGGGCAGGGCTGTGTCCCAGCCTTCGGCCAGCAGGGGCAGTTGGTGTGGGGAAGGACAAGAGGGCTGACTTGGAGTTGGAGTTTGATCCTGGCTCTGTCACTTCCCCAGCTTCGTGACCTGGGCAGGTCACTGCTGCACCTCACAGTGTCTTTAAAATGAAGCTGGGTGCGGTGGCTGACGCCTGTAATCCCAGCCCTTTGGGAGGCCGAGGTGGGCAGATCACTTGAGGTCAGGAGTTCGAGACCAGCCTGGCCAACATGGAGAAACTCCATCTCTACAAAAATATATAAATTAACTGGGCATGTTGGGGAACGCCTGTAATCCCAGCTATTCGGGAGGCTGCGGCGGGAGAATCACTTGACTCTGGGAGGCAGAGGTTGCAGTGAGCCATGATCGAGCCATTGCACCCCAGCCTGGGCAACACAGCAAGACTCCATCTCAAAAATATAGTATAATATAATAATATAATATAATATAATATAAAAAATAAAACCTTAACCACCCCCCTGGGTTGCCATGCAGATTAAATGCCACATACTAGGGGCTCGGTAAATGTTTGCAGTTGGATTTCTCAAGGGTTTCCTTGGCCCTCACTGGCTGCCCAGCCCTGGGAAGGGTCCAGGTGAGGCTCGGAGCCCGATTCAAGGAAGACTCAGAGGGAGGCAGGGACTTGCCCAGTGGTCACACAGCTCAGCGGTGGTTGAGGTGGGGACATGGACCACACTCACTAATGTGAACACATATCTAGGTGGGAAGCAGTAGGCTCTGGGAGGATGAGGAGGGGGCCCTTGGGAGCTCCAGAATGCAACAAAGGGTGGGCTGGCCACCTTTAGGTGGGCTCTGCTGGATTCCCATGCTGTGCACCTCAAGGGCACGGGAATGGTCTGGCCAAGCATGTGCCTCCCTCAGCAGCCTGGGGGCTCCTCAGGACCAGGTCCTTTGGTCTCCCCACCCCCGTCACATAGCAGAGTTCCTGCATCCATGCCACATTTGTCTATGAGGCACTCGCTATGTGCCTGACTCAGCAGGGCAGTGAGGGGGGCAGGTGGATGGAGGAAGGGAAGGGTCGGTCCTGATGCTGTTCCCTGGCAGGGCACCTCTCTTGTCTTGGGAACCTTCCCAGGACAGCCTGGCGTTAAGCAACCAGCAGTGAAGTGACTGCTAACACTTCAGCCCAGGCGTCTCTGAGAGTGACCTCATGTCTGGAGTGAGCTCAGAGACAGCGGCTGAGGCTGGGTTACAGTTTCACTGACGGGGCCTCCTGGAGCACCCTGGTGGGAGGACCGTGCTCTCTGCTAGCCAAGGAGGAGTCTGCATTTGGCACCTCCTAATTTCCACACGGGGAGGTGATGGAGGTGCCTTATTTATAGATGTCTGTCAGTGTGGAGGCACTCAGGCCTTCACACCTGCTTTGGGGAGATGGGAGGCTCTTTCCTGGGGCTTTGCTTGTCCAGTAAGTGCCTGTGTCCTCTGGAGGAGAGAGGACAGCCATGGCGTGTGGCACCCCCAGTGCATCTGGTGTGAGCTTCCACATCAGTAACCACCCCTGTGACTGGGGTTGCCGCTCTAAGCCGCTGAAATCATCAAAGCATGGTTTCTGATGGAGATCTCTGTGAAATGTGCCCTACAGGCTCGTGTATTCAGCATGAGCCTGTTAGGAGTCAGCCCTGTGCTGGATGCTGGGCCCAAAAGCAGTTGGCAAGTCACAGGCCCAGTCTCAAAAGTCCCCTTCGTCACTTCAGGAGACTGACACACACAGGAAGGTGCCAGAGATTCCTCAAGGAGTGTAGGAACAAGGCCACATACCTCAGAGAAGGCTTCCTGAATGTTGGTTGCATGCTGATAGCTCATATTTACTGAACAAACACAGGCGTCTTCTCCATTTATTCCTCCCAACAATTCTAAGAGGTTGGAACTCCTTTCCCGTTCTATAGATGAGGACATAGGCACAGAGAGGTTAAGGAGCATTCCCCATGGGGAACGTATGCTCTGGCTCCAAAACCCTTCTCCTAACCGCTTCGCCACACTGCCTCCCTCCTTGAAGCCCCACTGTGTCCCACAGTCCGTAGAGTGGACAGACAAGCAAAGAGATAATGAAATCCTAGCCAAGCCGACTGACTGGAGCGCCCCTGGCGGTGGAGCAGTGACTGCTGTAGAGAACTCACCCTGTAAGCTACAAGATTCCATGGAGAGAGTGTCATGCCTGAGATATGGACAGAGTGCATTGGGAGCATCCGTAAGGGCCAGGGATGGGCCATTCAGGGCCCTAGGAGCATGGAGGACAAGAGGAGACCTTTGAGTCGGCCTTGAGTCATGAATAGCAGTTTGCAGAGGAGGAAGTAGGTGAGGAGCGAATATCTGATGGACAGGACACTGTGCGCAAAGGCTTGGTCTTTCAAAAAATGAATGGTGGACATAAGAAACCTTCAGGACCCAGAGCCATAAGTCACGAGTGTCAGTGACATGGGATGGCAAACTCTGGGCAAGATGGGGGCTCTCTGCCCTGCACTGAATGGCCCAGGCAGCTGTAGCCTGCGATACTGGGCTGGTTTGCTGTGGGCTTCCTGCCACCTGCCCCTAAACACACTGAGGCCAAGCTGCGGATCATCCTCTTGCCAGTAGCAATCACTCTTGTCGCTTCCTGGTTCTGGACTACCCTGGTCTGGGCACCATATTACATTGTGTGTAAGTAAGAGTACATAGGCCACGAGGATGTGTCTGCTGTGTGATTAGGAGGCGTGGATGCCGAGCTCTTCGGCCTGGCTCCCTGGGGGAACTTTTGCTCCCTCTGTAGTTCTGGACTGAGCTTTGGTGAATGGAGGGCTCTTGTTGCCTTCCAGATGTCTATTCTGCCCCTTACTGTGTCTCTGGAACCAAGATGTGCCTGCCACAATATCTGCTCAGTAAATTCTTGGTGAATGAAATGTTGCTGACTAATCTGGAAAGAACACCAGTCCCGGCATCATGAGGCTTGGGTGTGAGCCCAGGTTTGGCTACTTCTTGGCACGTGGCCTTCTTTAAGCCTCAGTTCCTCATCTGTAAAATAGGAGTCAAGCCATGTGCAGTGGCTCATGCCTGTAATCCCAGAATTTTGGCGGGATGAGGCAGGAGGATTGCTTGAGTCCAGGAGTTCAAGACAAGCCTGGGAAACATAGGGAGACCCTGTCTCTGCAAAAAATAAAAATGAAAGTTAGCCGGGTGTGGTGGAGCCCGTCTGTGGTTCCAGCGACTCTGGAGGCCAAGGTGGGGATGATCGTTTGAGCGAAGGAGGTCAGGGCTACAGTGAACTAGGATTGTGCCACTGCACTCCAGCCCAGGAGACAGAGAGAGGCCCTGTCTCAAAAAATAAATAAACAAATAAAATAAAATAAAATAAAATAGTGACAATGACCCTACCTTGCAAAGATGAAAGAAGGCACGTGTGCACACAGCCCTTCCCTGGTCCGTGTGCAGCTGCCGGCTGACCCACAGGTGGTTCCCGGGGAACCAGGGGAGGGACAGCAGACACGGCGGCCCAAGGCCTGGCCATCTGGCCGGCTCATTGGCAGAGGGGAGCATGTAAGACATGGCACCCTGGTCTGTACCTGGGACAGTAACTGACCAGGACCTCAAGACATTCTGCCACGTGGCCTTTGGCCTGTCAGGTGAGACCTGGCCTCACAGCAGTAGAGGGGCCAGAAGGACAGGCTGTGGCATGAACAAAAGCCACAATCATGTCACAGGAGTGAGTGGGCCCTGGCCTGGGACTTGAGAACACACTGGGAGGCAGCCTGCCATCCCCCATGCCCAGTCCTCCCCCAGACATCCCAGAGGCCTCCTGCTGGAAGCCAGCCTGGTCCTCCCTGTGAGGGGAGGGAGTACGTGACTGTCAGCACCTCCCCACTGCAGAAGGAGCATCCCCCGAAGCCTCTGGGGGGCCCAGAGCTGACTCAAACCCGGCCTTGGCCTGGCGGACTCACAGGTGGGGGAGGGTGTCAGCCACAGATAGAAAGAATGACCACGCCACAAGCCGGCGGCTCTCACAGGAAGGCCTGCAGACAGCCTGGAGCTGTGGCCTCTGCTTTGGGTAGGGATAGGGTGCAGAGAGGGTGCAGTGGTGTGGGGACACTTAACTGGCGTTTGGGGATGGGTAGCAGGGAGCTGGCAGGTCGAGCTGAGCAGACATGGCTCCAACCCCAGCCCATCAGCATGTGACATGATACCTTGGGCTAGTGGCTCCCTTCTGCTGTCTGCTTCCACCTCTGTGCAGTGGTAAGAAGAACAGGCCTCCCTCCTGTGGTTGCCTTGAGGAGGAAATGCAGATGCACGGGCTCACTGACCTGGTGCCTGGCCCACAATCTGCCCCAAACCCCAGGAACTGCTGTGATTGGTTAGCACTCTTTCTCCCATGGTCATGATCATGATTTAAGAATAAAGAGAATTCTGCCTGCCAGAGAAGAGTAGGGGAAGGGCATACCTGCAAAGGGGATAGCCTGTGCTGAGGCTCAGAGGCATGAAATGGCAGGGAGTATGTATTAGTCTCTTATCTCATTGCTATAAAGAAATACGTGGCTGGGTGCAGTTGCTCACACCTGTAATCTCAGCACTATGGGAGGCTGAAGTGGGAAGATGGCTTGAGCTCAGGAGTTCGAGAGCAGCCTGGGCAACATGGCAAAACCTCATCCCTACAAAAAATAAAAAAATTAACTAGGTGTGGTGGCTCTCGCCTGTAGTCCCAGCTACTCAGGAGGCTGAGGCAGGAGCATCTCTTGAGCCCAGGAGGCAGAGGTTGCAGTGAGCTGAGATGGTGCCACTGTATTCCAGCCTTGGTGACAGAGAGAGAGAGAGATACCCTGTTTTAAAAAAACAAATGAACAAACAAAACAAAACAAAACTGGGTAATTTATAAAGAAAAGAGTTTTAATTGGCTCACAGTTCTGCAGGATGTATAGGAAGTATAGTGGCCTCTGTTTTGGGGAGTTCTCAGGAAACTTACAATCATGATAGAAAGCAAAGGGGAAGCGGGCATGTCCCATGACGACAGCAGGAGCAAGAGAGAGATGGTGGTGGGGCGGGGGCACATTTTAAAAAACCAAATATCGTAAGAACTCGCTCACTCTATCGTACCAAGGGGGGATGGTGCTAAACTAAACCATGCGTGAGAACTCCGCCCCTGTGATCCAGTCACCTCCCACCAGGCTCCTCCTCCAACACTGGGGGTTACAATTCTACATGAGATTTGGGCGGGGACACAGATCCAAGCCATATCAGAATATCAGGAGATGGAAGGTAGACAGGAGGCTGGAGAGGTGGAGAGAGGCAGGAGCTGATGGTGGAGCTGTCCATGGGCAGAGCCAAGTCAGAGAGCACTTGGTATTTTACTGGTTTTCAACAGATAGAGGCTAGAAGGTACTAGAGGGTGCGGACAGGGTGGTCAGGGAGGATCGGGGGTGAGCCTTGGGCAGGAACCCAAGTTAAGTGCAGCAGTGGGCTGTGCTGGTGTAGGGGCGGAGGTGCACTGTTAACACAGAGAGGATGGGTGGCAGTGCCTCAGACTCTTCCTGGCATACGGCGGGTGCTCCAGAGTAGCTGCTGCTGTTGCTGCTGCTATTAATAGGAGTAGGAATAGTGTTGTTCTGTGTTCTAACAAAACAACACAAACATTAAGACCTAAGGTTTGCTACTGTCACTGAGGCTTATCATGGTAACAGACAGATGGCATTGTCTCCATTTTATGGATCAGCAGACTGAAGCTCTGCGAGATGGGGGACCCGCCCAAGGTTACACAGCTGGTAAGCACCTCCACGAAGCATCTCTGAGCCATCGCTGTCTCTGCAGGAATGCTCTCCGTATGCAGCCCACCTCTATGACGCTGAGGACCCGTTCACACCCCTGCGCACGGTGCCCGGGCTCTGCCAGGACTACTGCCTGGACATGTGGCATAAGTGCCGGGGGCTGTTCCGTCACCTATCAACCGACCAGGAGCTCCGGGCGCTGGAGGGCAACCGTGCCAGGTTCTGCCGCTACCTGTCCCTGGATGACACGGACTACTGCTTTCCTTACCTGCTGGTCAACAAGAACCTCAACTCAAACCTGGGCCATGTGGTGGCCGATGCCAAGGGCTGCCTGCAGCTGTGCCTGGAGGAGGTGGCCAACGGGCTGCGCAACCCCGTGGCCATGGTCCATGCCAGGGATGGCACCCACCGCTTCTTCGTGGCCGAGCAGGTGGGGCTGGTGTGGGCCTACCTGCCCGACCGCTCAAGGCTGGAGAAGCCTTTCCTGAACATCAGCTGGGCGGTGCTCACCTCGCCCTGGCAGGGTGACGAGCGTGGCTTCCTGGGCATTGCCTTTCACCCCCGCTTCCGGCACAACCGCAGGCTCTACGTCTACTACTCAGTGGGTATCCGCACCAGTGAGTGGATCCGCATCAGCGAGTTCAGGGTCTCTGAGGATGATGAGAACGCCGTGGACCACAGCTCTGAGAGGTGGCTTCCTTGGGGAACCCGGGCCTGGGTGGGGATAGGTACCCATATGCACTGGTGTGACTGCACCAGTTGGTATCCTGTTCTCAAATACTGTGAATATTTAACACACCTGGTAGGGGTGCTGAATTTCATGCTTTGGGGCCTGGGGAAGGACAGTTTTGCAGAACAGACCTCACACGGGGACCATATCCAAACCCCTCCATCTGGCCTGCGAGGCCTGACATTTCTCCACCAGCTCTTTTGTTTCCGGTACTTCATTTCATTTGATTCTCCTAAAACCCACTGAGGCTAGTATTATTTTTCCGATTTTACAGATGAGAAAGTGGCGGCTTAGAGAGGTGAAGTGTTGGGTCACACGGGGAGGGAGCGTCAGAGCTGGGAGCCTGATCTGTTGTCTCCAAAGCCCACCCTCTGCCGTCTGCCTCAGCCTGCCTCACTCTGGCCTGAAGATGCCATTCTTTTTTTTTTTTTTTTTTTTTTTTTGAGACAGAGGCTCGCTCTGTTGCCCAGGCTGGAGTGCAGTGGTGCAATCTCTGCTTACTGCAACCTCCACCTCCTGGGTTCAAGCAATTCTCCTGCCTCAACCTCCCCAGTAACTGGGACTACAGGCACGTGCCACCATGCCTGGCTAATTTTTTCTATTTCAGTGGAGACGGAGTTTCACTGTGTTGCCCAGGCTGGTCTTGAACTCCTGAGCTCAGGCAATCTGCCCGCTTTGGCCGAAGGTTCCATTCTTGAGCCCTACTGGCTCCTTTTTCCCACCCGAGAGAACTTGCTCTCCTTCCTGCCCCTAAATTCTTCCGTTCCTCCTCCGGGCTTCTGCTCCCCTCAACAACGCCTGCAGAGCCTGTGCCCTGTGGAGGATTTATGCCCCAACTGTTTTCAAAATGGGTCTGACCTGACCTCGCATGTGGGGCACACATATCAGTCTGAGTTCAGTAGGAAATAAACCCTGTATCAGGTAACTCAGTAGGTAGAATTTGATCCTGGGAGTCAGTTACTTGGGTTTTAGAAATGATGAAAGGGCTCAGACGCGGTGGCTCACACCTGTAATTTCAGCACTTTGAGAGGCTGTGGTAGGCAGATCACTTGAGGTCAAGAGTTCAAGACCAGCCTGGCCAACATGGCGAAACCCCGTCTCTACTGAAAACACAAAAACTAGCTGGGTTTGGTAGTGTCTATCTGTAATCCCAGCTACCTGGGAGGCTGAGGCAGGAGAATTGCTTGAACCTGGGAGGCAGAGGTTGCAGTGAACCAAGATCCTGCCACTGCACTGCAGCCTGGATGACAGAGCAAGACTCTGTCTCAAAAAAAAAGCGGGGGGGCAACCTGGGGAAGGCAGCGACTCTGAGGTCAGCAATTGGAGGAAGTTGCTTCCACCCCTTGGACGGGGAAGACAAAGTGAGAAGATGGGGTTATTGGGACCCTGGAGCTGGGGATACCCGGTGGAAGCTGGAACCATAATTGGCCTGGGCAGGAGGAGGTGGAGCCAGGGAGGAGCAGCGGCTGCCAAGAAGCTGCTTAAAGCAGAGAAGTGCTCCTCCCTCTCCAGGCTCCTGCCAATGCTATCCACTGGCTGACCTCGCTGGAGGCCAGCTAGCTACGAAGCCTGGGAAATGTCGTTCACAGGAGCTGACCCCCTGCAGTAGAGAGAGAGGAGGTAGGGGGAGGGCCAGGACTGGGTCTGAGGGCAAATTAGCAAAGAACAGCACATTGTGTGTTTGATAAAACTGTAAAATCTTGACACTGAATGTATAAAAAGGAGAAGAAATCAAATATGTTAGCTATGAAGGCTAATGTGAATCTTTATGATTCACAGCATTAGTTTTGACTATGAGCTTCCTGGCAGCCAGAGCAAAAGGAGGAAACATAATTCTCAGGATCTTACAGGAGCCTGTATAGCCAGTTCTCCAAGAGATACCAAGTTTATCACAAGGACCTGACAGAGAGGAGATGGAGGGACAGAATGGATGTGTCTTCAGTGGTGAGACTTTTAAAAATGGATTCCTGATAAAGACTTGAGGTGGAACACAAAATATATAGATGAACATATTTCAGAGTGGGGCCTCACAAAGTCAAGCCTAGAACTTGACTCACTCGTGGGGAGAGAGGTAGGCACAGCAGGCTTAGGGCAGCCAGGAATGAGTGGTTATCCTAGCCTGAGTCCGCTGTCCACTGTCAGTCTCTTCCCAGACCTGGGATCCCAATACCGGGTGGATGACTGAAAGCCTGAGCTATTCTCTCCGTGGAGAACCTGGGCTTTGGAGCTCTGTATTGCTCACCAGATCATATGCACAGGCCTCAAAAGAAAAGGCCTCCAGTCTCGGCTCTGAAAAATCAAAGTCCTGGGTTCAAATTACTTGACCTTTCTGTATCTAATTTTTTCTTATTTGTATTGATAAGGGATTAATAGGCTGGGTGCAGTGACTCAAACCTCTAATCCCAGTACTTTGGGAGACCAAGCAGGGAGGATCGCTTGAGGACAGGAGTTCAAGATCAGCCTGAGCAACACAGTGAGAGCCCTCATCTCTACAAAAAATTAAAAAATTAGCCGGGCATGGTGGCATGCACCTGTAGTCTCAGCTACTCAGGAGGCTGGGGCAGGAAGATCTTTTGATCCCAGGAGTTCGAGGCTGCAGTGAGCTATGACCACATCACTGCACTCCAGCCTGGGTGATAGAGTCTCAAAAAAGAAAGAAAGAAAAAGAAGGGATTGAGAAAGTAGTTACCAATCCTGGAAAACCTAAACCACCCTGAGTATTTCAGTCAGGGGAAACTGAACACAAGGATGACTAAGGCATTGGGAGGGCTGGAGAAGGAGAGGAGGAAGGTTAAGTTACTTAACGACTGGTAACTGTAAGAAGCTGCTACCATTCTTGGGTTGGAGGAACGAAGGGAAAAAGTCCTTTGTGCTGTGGAGTTTGCTGCTCTTAGTACCAAGATGGCTGGGTGGAAACCCAGGGGTCCACGTTCACCAGCCAACGCTGCTGTCTCTACAGCCACCACTTCTGGAGGCAGGGTTAGAAGCCAAAGAAACTTGGCCTCTCCCTTCCACCCACCAACACGAACTGGAAGCCAGCTGGCTGGGAAGTGTGGTAGTAGGTTTCCTGTAATGGCAGTAAGGGAGGTTCCTGAGTACAGTGAGTGTGGTGCTGAGTGCACTGCACACCATCCTGCCCACTGTTAGAAGCTGCAAATAAGGGAGTACATAAGATGTGCTCAACATAAGTAATAAGTAAACTAGTGTGGGGGAAGCTATGATGAGGAAGAAACCAGCTGTGTCAGTGACTAGGTCGACAATTTCCCATAATCGTAACAGGGCAGGTGCTAGCAGTGGAGAGCAGAAACAAACAAACAAACAAACAACAACAACCAAAAAAAACACTAGACCGGAACTAGAAGACTTGAGTTCTAATCCCAGCTCTGCTACCTATGGGCTGTGTGACCTTAGACAGGTTGCTCAACCTCTCTGAGCCTTTAGGTCCTCCTTGGCACTATAGAGTGCATTAATTTTGCTCGTTCTGCCTACTAGCTCCTCGTGGAAAATCACTTAATATAAAGGATATGAAAAGTCTTTTCCAGGCTGGGCATGGTGGCTCACGCCTGTAATCCCAGCACTTTGGGAGGCCGAAGTGGGCAGATCACTTGAGGTCAGGAGGTTGAGACCAACCTGGCCTACATGGTGAAGCCCCATCTCTACTAAAAACACAAAAATTAGCCAGGCGTGATGGCGGGCCCCTGTGATCCCAGCTACTCAGGAGGCTGAGCCTGGAGAATCGCTTGAACCTGGGAGGTGGAGGTTGCAGTGAGCCGAGCTGTGCTCCAGCCTGGGCAACAGAGCAAGACTCTGTAAAAAAAAAAAAAGAAAGAAAGAAAGAAAGAGAAGAGAGAGAGAGAGAGAGAGAGAGAGAGAGAAAGAAAGAAAGAAAGAAAGAAAGAAAGAAAGAAAGAAAGAAAGAAAGAAAGAAAGAAAGAAAGAAAGAAAGAAAGAAAGAAAGAAAGAAAGAAAGAGTCTTTTCCATTGTGAAGAGAGACCGTGATCTTGTTTTGTGTTTTTGGCTCATGCGTGGAAGGCTGAGTTTTAGGGGCCCTTATCTTCCTTTAGGATACTCCTGGAGGTCAAAGAACCAGCTTCAAACCACAACGGGGGTCAGCTGCTGTTCGGGGATGACGGGTACCTCTACATCTTCACCGGAGATGGCGGGATGGCCGGAGACCCCTTTGGGACATTCGGAAATGCCCAAAACAAGTATGTTCAGCTTTTGGTTGGCTAGTGGGTTGGTCTACATAACCCTGGGCTTCTCATACTCTTCCAGAGGGCGAGTTCCTTCCTCAGCCAGGCAGTGTGGGGCAGGAGAAAAGGTTCTGGGTCCCAGCTCAGCCTGCATCTAGCTAGGCAGCCTAGGCAAGTCACTTGCCGTCAACAGAGGGGATAAAAGCCCACTCTGCGGGCAGGTTGTCACAAGGAGTAAAGGCAATTGTGGCTGCCCAGGGCCAGGCACAGGACCCTCTGGGCACAGGCGCCTGAGAGGTGACATTAGCGAGCCTCAGGGCACATGGGATTTTCTCTAAGGTCAGCCTGGCCCTGCTGGGGCCCTGCTGGAAGAAGGGAAGGGATGCTCCCCAGGCCGAATGGAAAGTGTGAGCTGGCTGGCGCAGGGTGGCACCAGCACGTGGAGCTCCTGTCCCAGGGTTCTTCAGGAAGACCCAGATGTTAACATGTAGTCTTGCTCTTTTACCCATTTCCTGGCTTGAGCAAATGAGCTCAAGATCTCATTCCATTACTTACTCACACACACACATACACAAATATGCATACACACACATATACACACATACATACACACACATGCACACACTACATATACACAACACACACATATACACACATACGCATGCACACACATACATGCACATATGCACATACTACATACACACAATACACACACATATACACACATACATCCACACGTGCACACACATATACACACATACATACATACACACACATACACACATCTACATACATACATTCACAACATACACACACACAGTCTTGTGAGTGTAACCAGGATGTCCAGGAGTCTCAAGTCAGCCTCCCCCATTCCCTTAGCCAAAATGATAAAACCTTCCTCCGCCCAGGAAGTAAAAATAGCAAGTACAAGTATGATGTTGATTACAGTAATTAAAGTGCTCACAATTTGTGAGTTGTCCTTTCCTATGTGACAGTGTAAGCATCATCTGAGCTTTCTCACGTTTGGGATGTGTTTAGAGATGAAGTTGAGAAAATAGAAATTAAGGATTAGTGGATAATTGGACAGAACTTAAAAACATTATTTTGCTGCTACGAGTTGTGCCCACTTAGATATCGAATTCTGGTGTGTGGTGCGTGGGCTCCCGGGTGTGATCTGGATGGTGTTCAGCAGGCTGGAGTGTATGAGAGGAATTTACAGGGGAAAGTGGAAGGCCAGCAACAGGGGCTTGATCACAAGGCATATATTGGGTGGGAGCATTTCACCACCATGAAAGAGGACACTTGTTTGCTGTCCCTACTGATAAGGGAAAGGTGTGGGGCTAATGCTATGTGAGGATGATGGAATACAGCTTCACAAACCCCGCTTTGAAAAGCAAACCAGAGGGAGGACACCAAAGTGCTAACAGCAAAGGAAACTGATGTATTAAGTCGGTGCATCAAAAACTGTAGATGAAAATGGTATGTTCTCTGCACTGTCTTTAAGCACATTACAGATTTTTCCCATCACGCGCCACTTTTGTCATGAGCTATCCCCCTAAGCTGCTTGGAGCTTAGGGCTGCACCCCTCTGCTCTCTCCCCCTCCCCTAGCAACCCGCACTCTGGTGCACTTGGCTTTGATTGCAATCTTTCATTCACTGACTGTGCAAACACTTCATGGTCATCTACTATGTGCCAGTCACAGTGCCAGGTACCAGAAGAAAACTGCAAATACAAGTCCTTTTTCTAGTGGAATTTTCACCCTATACCGCAGTCCAGGAGGACTGAGTGGACTGAGCGGGACCACTCTACTATTACAGTGGAGGACACCCACATTCCACAGAGTGTGTGGTAAAGAGCTTGAGTTTCTGGGCTCAGGCCGTCTGGGCTGGATCCCAGTGGTGCGGCAACTGAGCAACGTTATTTGACCTTTCTGAGCTCCGCTGCCACATCTGTAAAGTGGGGATCATACTAGGAGCCGCCTACCTAAACGACTGCTGTGAGGACAAGACGAAATAGATGATGTGTTGTGTCCAACGCATGGGACAGACCTGGCGCGCAGAAAGGTGGAAGATGCATGTTGAGTGAATGAATGAGGTTACCCGGCTGTAAGTAGCTAAGGAGGAACTGCATCCCAGGGTCTCTGATCCCACAGCCTAGGCTCACCCTGTACCTGGCTCAGCGGTCAGCCGGCGCCCCGGCACCTGCCCCGCGGAGCCCGTGCGCCCTGGCGCAGGGCGACCCCGAGCTGCGCCCTCTCCCGCTCCGCCCGCAGGTCGGCGCTGCTGGGCAAGGTGCTGCGCATCGACGTGGACCGTAAGGAGCGCGGCCTGCCCTATGGCATCCCGCCCGACAACCCGTTCGTGGGCGACCCCGCCGCGCAGCCCGAGGTCTATGCCCTGGGCGTGCGCAACATGTGGCGCTGCTCCTTCGACCGCGGCGACCCCGCGTCGGGCGCGGGCCGCGGGCGCCTCTTCTGCGGCGATGTGGGCCAGAACAAGTTCGAGGAGGTGGACCTGGTGGAGCGCGGCGGCAACTACGGCTGGCGCGCGCGCGAGGGGTTCGAGTGCTACGACCGCAGCCTGTGCGCCAACTCCTCCCTCAGTGAGTGCCCGCGCCCCAGGGACCCTGGCCCCGGATCCGCCCCCACCTCACCCCACCCGACCCCACGTGCTGTGCCGCATGGCCTCCCTCGGAGACCGCGCCCCGGAGATCCCTGACCCTGGATCTGTCCCCGGCCCCACTCTATGGGCTGTGCGGCAGGGCCTCACTTGGGGACCACCCGCACCCCAGGCACCCCCTGACCCTGGATTTGCCCCCACCCCAACTCCACGGGCTGTGAGCCAAAGCCTCCCTCGGTGACTGCCCTCGCCTCCACCAGGAGCCTCCCTGTGCCTTGGAGGCCTCCCAGCAGCGCTCTTGAGTTTCTCCTCGCCCCATCCCCATCTGGCACCCCTGCAGACACGCTTTCCACCACGCCAGTCCTGCTGTGGGCACGCCCCTCCCTCCGTGGTCGCCCCGCCCCCGCGGAATCCCTCCGGAATTCTCCTGACAGATGAACCTGGCCCCCGCGGGCTCACCGCAGCTTTTCGCCCTCCCACCCCGCAGATGATGTGCTGCCGATTTTCGCTTACCCTCACACGATTGGCAAGTCGGTCACAGGGGGCTACGTGTACCGGGGCTGCGAGTACCCCAATCTGAACGGCCTCTACATTTTTGGGGATTTCATGACCGGGTAAGTGACCTAGTGCCCTCAAGCCCCTGGCTGCTGCCACTGGCTCCTTGGGACTGGCTCCTTGGTAAAGAGGAGTGTATGTGTGCGCCTGTTCCTGCACATGTGCCTCCCTGCTCTGACGGGGCCCCCAGGTGTGGGCCGGACACCCACATCCACCCCCTTTGCTCCTGAGATGTATCGTGAGCCTTTGTTGCAGGCCTCAGTAACTCTGTGATAGACACACAACTCATGGCATGAAAGACTGAAGGCTTGCTTAAGTGCGGGTCCGGTGGTCCTCCTCTCCCTCCTGAGAACCATGGGCTCTGGGCCTGACAGCAGTTCTAATGGGCAGGAGGGCAGAATATGAATAATTTCCTGGACACTCAGGGCCACCCTGCTCCTGGGGAAGCCACAGCTTGTCACTGCAACAGCTGATGGGGGCCTGGAGCCCTACCCCATCCCACCCCAGCCAGGACTGCAGGGATCTCGCAAAGGTTGAGAAACTAAGACCCGAGAGGACGATGGCTGCGCACCGGCCTCCTAATGGGGAGAGGAGGAGGTGGGGCTTTTGTGGCCTTGGAGCCTTGCTGCCTTGTCCCCGTGCTCTAGGGCGGCAGTGCCACCCACTGAGACCCTGGTGTGGGAGGAGGATGAACCACATCCCAAATAGGTTTGATGGGGGAGGGAAACCTACATCACACCTTCCTGTGAGTCAGGCTCTGTCCCCAAGGGTGCTTGTGGAGCCTCATGACCACCTTGTTGTCCCATTGTACAGAGAAGAAAGCTGAGGACTAAAGAGGCCCAACGGCAGGCTGAGACAGCCTGGTCTGAACCCTGGCTCACTTACTGGCTGGGTGACCTTAAGCCAGTTACTTCACCTTTCCTTATCTTCAGCTACCTCATCTGCAAAATGGAGATGATCATAGTGCTTGCCCCCTAGGTTGTTTTAAGGACTGAATCAGTTAATACATAAATAGCACTTAGAATCTAGTGAAGAAAGAAAGAAAGAAAGAAAGAAAGAAAGAAAGAAAGAAAGAAAGAAAGAAAGAAAGAAAGAAGTGAAGAAAGAAAGAAGTGAAGAAAGAAAGAAAAGAAAGAAAGAAAGAAAGAAAAGAAAGAAAGAAAGAAAGAAAAGAAAGAAAGATGTTTAATATTTAGTGAATTTTTTTTTTTTTTTTTTGAGACAGGGTCTCATTCTGTCGCCCAGGCTGGAATGAAGTGGCACAGTCTCAGCCCACTGCAGCCTCCACTTCCCAGGCTCAAGCAATCCTCACACCTCAGCCTCCTGAGTAGCTGGGATTATAGGCATGTGCCACCACACCTGGCTAATTTTTGCATTTTTTGTAGAGATGAGGTTTTCCTCTATTGCCCAAGCTAATCTTGAACTCCTGGACTCAAGCGATCCTCCTGCCTCGGCCTCCCAAAGTGCTGGGATTACAGACTCAGGGCACGGTGCCCAGCCTGGTATTTCTTAACTATTTCCATGCAACCTCCTCTGACAGCAACTGAATAGGGTTCCTAAGGAGAGGGCATAAAGACATGAAGACGGCTGAAGCTGGTGGGAGAATTCTAACTTTTTGTCCAGTCTGCAGCGTGGAGCTGAGAGAGATACCTGACCTTGGCCCCTGGAAGTTGGATTCCTCTCCCAGATCCACCCCTTCACCTGGGACCCAGCTTTCTCATCTGGAAAATGGGTGTAGATGAAGCCTCTGTTTTTACCCCTGATTGTCCTTTCTCCCTTCTATCCTTCCCAGGAGGGCCTAAGTCTCCTGACCACAGAAATTGAACTAATTTTGCCAGTATTTCCCCAGCCCCTCTGCTGGGTTAGGCAAGAACCAGGATGACAGAGATGAAGAGGACCCCTAGTACCCGAGCCAGGGAGACAGACCCTTTCAGTCCACTGCACTGCAACCTCAGAGAGCCTGTGCACAGTGTGGGGAGCTCAGCATGGGGGCCTTCAGGGAGGGCTTCACAGAGGAGGGGACATCTCTAAGCAGGACCTGGAAGTATCAATAGGTGATTGACAATCAGCGATGGGAGTAAGGAGCAAGGTTAGCATATTCCAAAGACGTTGAAGCTCCAGCGCTTGGCAGGTTCTGAAACCGGTGAACTCTTGAAAGCGCTGTTCCCTCTGCAGGATCCAGTGGGCTGGACTGCATTCAGGGGGCAGTAACCAGGCTGGTCCTGTTCATTCCTGTGGGTTTCTGGTAGGTGCTTGGTGAAGATTGCACGCAATGACAGCTTCATGGACGTACCACATGTGCAGTCACACAGGGCCCCATGCTCAGAAAGGTTCACGCTTGATCTCATGCTCTGAGGTCACCATCTTGAATTCTTAATATGTTTTGAACAAGTGGCCCTGCATGCTCATTCTGCACTGGGCTCTGTGAATTTTGTATGGTCCTTGCATGGATCAGTGGGTGAATGGATGAGTAGATGGATGGTGGAAGGATGGAGGGAAGGAGGGAGAGAGGGAGGGAGGGTGGGAGGGTGGGATGGATGGATGGGTGGGTAGGTTCCCCTGGGTGCCATGGCCTCACAGTTCATCTTCCATTGCAGGCGTCTGATGTCCCTCCACGAGAACCCAGGGACAGGCCAGTGGCACTACAGTGAGATCTGCATGGGCCATGGCCAGACCTGTGAGTTCCCAGGCCTCATCAACAACTACTACCCGTACATCATCTCCTTCGGGGAGGATGAGGCCGGTGAGCACTCCTGAGACCTCTCCTTGCTGGTCGCTCATGTCTGGGACTGGTCCTCCATCCTGTGGTCCTTCTGGTCTCTGATGTAGGGGAAGGACCACACAGGCCTGAACTAGTTCCCACCTGGGAGGAAGATGTTCCCTGGGCTCCAGACTTTGCAGGTGCCTCTGTTATAGAAGAGGGGTCCCGATCTGGAGCCCAAGAGAGGGTTCTTGGATCTCACATAAGAAGGAATTGGGGGTAAGTCCATAGAGTAAAGTGAAAGTAAAGGAATAGAAGAATGGCTACTCCATAGACAGAGCAGCCCCAAGGGCTGCTGGTTGCCAACTTTTATGGTTATTTCTTGATGATATGCTAAACAAGGGGTGGATGATTCATGCCTCCCCTTTTTAGACCATATAGGGTCACTTCCTGACGTTGCCATGGCATTTGTAAACTGTCACGGTGCCCATGGGTGTGTAGCAGTGAGGACGACCATCTCGTGGCCGTCTTGGTCATGGTGGGTTTTAGCCGGCTTCTTTACTGCAGACTGTTTTATCAGCAAGGTCTGTGTTTTGCGCCGACCTCCTGTCTCATCCTGTGACAGAACGCCTTCACTGTCTGGGAATGCAGCCCAGTAGGTTTCAGCCTTATTTTACCCAGCTCTTATTTAAGATGGAGTTGCTCTGGTTCATATGCCTCTGACACCTCCTCGGGCGTCTTCACCTCTCTGAGCCCCCCTTTGTTCCTATGGAAAATGAAAGTAGTGGCCCCTTTCTTCCTCTTACCCCACCTCACCCTGGGTAAGGTTGCCGTGAGTTCTAGACTAATAACGCGGGTAAGCATCCATGCCGGTTAGCCAGCCAGGAAGGATCTGGAGTGGTGGAAATGCAGGCAGATGGTGGAAGAGAGCCTCAGAGACCTCCAGAGACCTCCAGAGAACCCCAGAGACCTGCCCTGGCCTGGAGTTCCTGATGGCAAATGGATTTGGGCCATTAAATGAAGCCACATAATTATTTCAAAGCGGGTGGACAGCCTTCTTGTCGGTTAGTGGATCCTGAATCTAGGCACTTGTGTTTTCAACACGAGGGACAGAGTGGGAGGGGAGAGGAAGAGGGGCCAGTGGAGACTGGATCCTGCTCCAGCCTCCTGCCTTTGTGCTTAGCCCGAGGATTGTTCCTGGACAAAAGCCCAGGGGCCCCCAGTGAGCCCTAATGGATGCTTATTGGGGTTGCTAGGCAACGCCCGCCCAGGGGCCTTTGGAGGGGTGTCCCCTGCCCGGCTCAGTGCCCAGAGCCCCGAGGGCTGAGTCTGGGAAACCTTTGTTGAACTGTCAGAATCTGAATTTCCAAAAAGGCAGCCCCCAGCCCCCACAGCCATTCCTAAGCCCTCTGGGCCCTTGAAAGCCCTTTCTTTTGGTCAGTAGGGGGTTAATGTGTTTTAGAAGCAGGGGTGCCCCTCCCCCACTGAGGCAGGGCCTGGAAGGAAGGTACAGTTTCCAAAAGGCCATTCCTCAGCCCTCTGACTGACACCCGAGTGTGGAAAACCAGAAGGAGGCACCGGTGAGACTGGCGGCCCAGGGACAGTTCTGGCAGCAGCCTCTGGACGGCACGGAGCCCGGAGCCCTGGGGTCCAACGCAAACCAACTTTCCCCTGCTCCCGGCTCCTGCTGCTGCTTCTCTAATTGTTCCAACACTTGCAGATTACAAAATGAGTACCTCTGCTGGCCCAGTGTGCCCCAGGGACAGTTCACACCCCAGAGACCAGGAAGGTGGCTCAGTGTCCCACCAAGGGAAAACGTCGCCTTTGCCCTCTGAAAGTTCATGGAACGTCCCCCCCCCCGCCCCACCCCCAAGACAGAGCTTCGCTCTTGTTGTCCAGGCTGGAGTGAAGTGGTGCAATCTCGGCTCACTGCAACCTGCAGCCTCCACCTCCCAGGTTCAAGCGATTCTCATACCTCAGCCTCCCGAGTAGCTGGGATTACTGGCGCGCGCCACCACACCTGGCTAATTTTTGTATTTTTTTAGTAGAGACGGAGTTTCACCATGTTGGCTAGCCTGGTCTCCAATTTCTGACCTCAGGTGACCCCAAAGTGCTGGGATTACGGGTGTGAGCCACCACACCCAGCCGAGAAATTGTCCATTTTTATGCTCAGGTGCAACAAAGTATGGGCAGCTGTGTAGAAATGTGATCGGACAAAAAGGGCCTGAGCTCATGCTGATTGAGTGGGAGAGCCAGCACAGCCTGTGTGTCTGGATTCTTGGCCTCTCTGCGCTTGCATTCCTTCCTTCTGGCTACGGGCTGTCTCTGGAGTGGGAGTCTGATGACCTGCAAATGGGTCAAACAGGTCAGATCATCTCCTCCTCCTTTATTTTAGAGGCAGAGTCTTGCTCTGTCATCCAGGCAGGAATGCGGTGGCGCCATCATGGCTCACTGCAGCCTCAGACTCCTGGGCAATCCTTCTGCCTCAGCCTCCCAAGTAGCTGGCACTACAGGCTCATGTAACTATGCCTGGCTATTTTTTAAATAGTCTGTAGAGATGGGGTCTTGCTGTGTTGCCTAGGCAGATGTGGAACTCCTGGGCTCAAGTGATCCCCTGCCTCGGCCTCAAAGTGCTGGGATTACAGGCATGAGCCACCATATCTGACCCAGATAATTTCTTTGTTGTTGCTGTTGTTGTTGTTGTGGGGGGTTTGTTTGTTTGTTTGTTTGTTTTTGAGACAGGGTCTCCATCTATCGCCTAGGCTGGAGTGCAGTGGTGTGATCTTGGTTCACTGCAGCCTCTGCCTCCCAGGTTCAAGCGATTCTCATACCTCAGCCTCCTGAGTAGCTAGGACTACAGGTGTGCACTACCATGCCTGGCTAATTTTTATATTTTTAGTAGAGATGGGGTTTCGGGCCATGTTGGCCAGGCTGTTCTTGAACTGCTGACCTCAAGTGATCTGCACGCCTTGGCCTTCCAAAGTGCTGGGATTACAGGCTTGAGCCACCATGCCTGGTCTCAGATAATTTCTTTATGGCCAGTTTTATACAGAAAGGTTGGGGGAGAGTTACAATAATATTTTTAGGTTCTATGACTGGCTTTGGGGGAAATGTGTGCTGGTTTCTATTATCTGCCGTGGGAAAGAGAGACTCTAGTTTCTATGGCACCTCAGGGGAGAATAGGACTGAGAGACAGGAGGACAGGAGAAGGTCAGAGAAAAACTTTTGCTTTGGAGGCAGTTCTGAGGCCTTCATTTTGAAGTATTGTTTTCTGAGTCTCAACAGCAGCCCTGGGCGGGCTTGGCAGCACCCGCGGGGGCTCCCTGTGTGTGCAGAGGGTTGGGGGCTACAGCTCCCAGCAGATCATGGCTGGAAAGGGCCTTGCAGTCTGCGTGGTCCAGCCTTGTCATTTTACCAATGGGGAAACTGTGGCTGACTATGAACGCCTGGTTATGGAGGAGGGGCACCATGCCCCACCTGGCCCCTGGACACCTCCCAGAGGGGGGCCTTAAGGTTGGTTGGCGAGATGAACCAGGGAGTTCCTCAGGGGGTTGGAACAGAGGAGACCAGGGCTGCTCCTGGTGGCTCACTCCAGAAAGAGGCCCAGAGGTAAGTGGACGGCCCAAGGCTGTCTGAACAATTTAGGGCTGTGGCCATGGACTTCCCAACAGGGACGTCTCACCCGGGGACTCCCACTGCTAAAGGCTGCATCATCACCATGTGGGCCTACAGCCCCTCTCCCGACCTCCCCAGTGGGGCTGGTGCCCCTGGGTTTGGGGGTCGGGGCCTTTGACCACTCAGTGTACTGCTTGCCTCATCCCCCAGCCCCATCACAGCTGGGTCTACCCAGGTGTCACAAGTTAACCCTCAAGTGCCTTCCCTTTGCATTTCCTGAGTTTCCTGTGCCTTGCTTCTCAGACCCCACCCCCATGCAGCCCTCCCTGACTGCACCTGTCCCCAGGGATATGCTTTTCTCCAACCTGTTACCAAGCTGTCTGTCTCAGCCTCTCTGCGGGGAAACCTCCCTCCCTACTCCCAGCCCAGCTGAGCTCTCTGCTATCCTTTTACAAGGACAGAGGTATTAGCATGGCTGAACCCTCAGGATGAGTCATGTGTGGCTCGTGTCTGGGCTCCCAGCCACCACGCATGCCATATTGGTGTGGGGCTGGAGCAGCAGACTTTCCTGAGTTCTGGTCCTGGCTTAACCATTCACTAGCTGTGTGACTTAGGACAAGTCACTTGACTTCTCTGAGCCTCTTTTTTTTTTTTTTTCTCCTCAGCTGTGATGTAGGAATAATGCAGCCTGTTTTCAGGACATAGATACCCCTGGCAGCAGGGGTTGGGAGGGAGGATTGGAGTGGGAGGAGCAGGGAAAACCTACATTCCCTGAGACAGTCCTCAGCACCAGGGACTCAGAACTCTAACGGTTACATTTTCAGCGCAGCTCTGAGACGGGGAGAAGTTGAGGCTCAGAATGGGGCCATCACACAGCTGCTGGAGATCACAGGGGGCCAAGCAGAGGGGCTAGGACCTACACTCCCAGCCATGTACTCTGCTCCTGCCTGGGAGGTCCTCGCTGTCAGTAGAGAGACACCCTGGCCTCGAGGACCTGGCAGGGCCCAAATCCCAGATGACGACCGCAATCATAGCTAGCTAATGCTGATTAGGCCCACGCTCTGCGCTCTTCAATCCTTATAACAGCCCAGTGAGGCCTGCCCATTTTAGAGATGAGGAAGCTGAGGCTCAGAGAGCCACACGTGCCTTCGGGTCCCCCAGAAGCAGTCAGTTGGGGAGCTGGGCTGTAGCCCCCTCGTGTGTGCCCCGAGATGTGTGGGTCTGGGCATGAAACCCAGGTAGGTGACAGGGGTGGTGCTGGGTCACCGGGAAAAGGCAAGAGTGGAGGTCTGAGCCTGGCTGGGTCCAGGCAGAGCGCCTGACACCCGGGAGACCAGGCTCCAGAGGCCCTTGGGTACAACCCAACGCCTCACCTAGCCTCAGTTTCCCTTTCTGAGGACTGGACAGCTAGACTGAGCTGGGATGCCTCACATGATGGCTAGCTGGGGTTGGGGTCGATTTCCAAGCCTGCGGGGGGAGCGGGGTAGTGAGGCGGGGCTGGCTGGGACAGTATTCCAGGTGGGGGTCTCACTGGTCACTTCGTTCTGTTCAAAGGGGAGCTGTACTTCATGTCGACAGGGGAGCCGAGTGCCACAGCTCCACGTGGGGTTGTCTACAAAATAATTGACCCATCCAGGTGAGTCCCGGCCTCCAGGACAGGGAGCTCCTGCTGTCTGTCAGGCCTCCTAGCTCCATTGGCTTGTCCCCTCCACCTTGCCCTCAGGTGGGCAGTATTAATCCCCATTTTCAGACAAGAACCCTGAGGCCCAGAGAGGGACATGATTCGCCTCAGTTCCTCCGGCAAGGGGCAGACCCAGGATTCAGACCCGGGTCTGCACGCCTCAAAGCACAGGTCTGTTAGGATAGGAGGGAGCTGGAGAGGCGAGTGGGGCCGAGGGCGGAGGCTTCACTCGGCTTTTTTGCCTGGCCCGCCCTCCCTGCGTCTTCCTCCTGTCTAGCAGGCCCCTCATTCCTCATTTCCTGGGCTGCCCCTGCATTCCCACAACCCAGCCCCCAATTTGCCTCTGCGATGCCTCCCAGATGACACCCTGCTCCCTGTGTGTCCCCGCCCCATGCCTGCCCATCCTCCTGTTGTGTGTCTTCCACGGGGGAAAACACACTGGGGCTCCCTTCGCCGGCTCCATCTCCCCGGCTTCCCTTCTAGCTGTAAGGCCAGAAGTGCCATGCCAGGCCATGTCCCAACTCCTTCCGTGTGCAGCTTATGAAACTCTCAGCTGCTCATTTTACAGTGGTGGAAATGAGCACAAAGATACAAAGTCACGGGCCCGGGGCCCAGAGCCATGGTTGGGCCCAGGCCGCTGGCTCCAGAGTCCTGCCCTAACCCCTCGGCTGTGTGCCTTAACCTCACCCTCTTCAAGTACCTTCCCCAACCCACTTTGCCCTCCAGGCCCCTGTCCAGCCCTTCCTCAGCTCTCCTCACTCAGACTTGTAGTCTCTGGGCTACACGACTATCTCCCAGCTGCTCTGGGAGTCTCAGGGCCAAGCCTGTATCTCTTCACTCTGCAGAGGCCGCCCAGATACTGAAAATGGCATGGAGCAGGGACCCAGGAATGCTTGATGAATAAATGAGTGATCAGCTTTCTAAGCTGCTTCTCAGCCCTTAGATTTTCACATCTCTGCTGGTTTCCACAGGAGTCTGAACGTCCCTTCAACACCCGGTGCAGACATGGCTTGTGCTTATCTCTAACACAAGGCCTGAGGTTGCACTCCAAGAATCCACATATTTGGCAGACCTAGGAATCCCCAGTGTGTTTACTTACCCTGAACTTTGAAACACGCCACGTTTGGGAAAATCCTGAAACAAGCTGGCGTGTTTCATGTTCTTGGGAGGCAGATGAGAGGAGCTCAAGTCCAGCCTGGGCAACAGAGGGAGACCTTGTCTCTAAAAAAATTAATTACTTTTACAAAAAGAAAAATTCTAAAACACTTATTGTGCTTAAAATATTTTGCACTGGGCTCAGTGTCTCACACCTGTAATCCCAGCACATTGCAACCTCCGCCTCCCGGGTTCAAGTGATTCTCCTGCCTCAGCCTCCCGAGTAGCTGGGACTACAGATGCCTGCCACCATGCCTGGCTAATTTTTGTATTTTTAGTAGAGATGGGGTTTCGCCATGTTGGCCAGGCTGGCCTTGAACTCCTGACCTCAAGTGATCGTCCCACCTCAGCCTCCCAAAGTGCTGGGATTACCGGTGTGAGCTCCCACACCTGGACTCCACACTCTTTTTCAAAGGATGTTTCTAGTTGTTCTCCAATGCCCTTTTCCTGTTCCAGGATCCCATGTTACCTTTAGTGGTTGCATCTCCTTAGCTTGCCCTGTTTGTGGCAGCTTCTCACTTTCCTTGTTTACAGACTTTTTTTTTTTTTTTTGCTTGTTTGTTTTAAAAGCACACGTAAATTATTGACATGACTTTTTATCAAATAAAACATAATCACTTCCTCCTTCCATCCCTTCCTTCTCATTTCCATGAGGTCCTGACCATCGTTATCTATGCAGTGCCAGGATTTATATGGTGGTATTTGGATCACACGCAGACTTGGTTCTTTTTCCTTCATGTATGCCCATTTTGTCTAAATGTTGCAAACATCACCCTCAAAAAAACCATTTCTAATGGCTGTGTGATTTTCTGCTGAGTCACTAAAACTTATTCCTCGGAATTTTAGGTTATTGCCAATTTTCAGAAAAGAATGCTTCTCTGAGGAAATGTTACATATACCAAACGAGTGCCTAATTCATGCCAGATGTTGCCTTAGATCCATCATCTTTGGTTTTTCCAACACCGTTTCCCTATTGGCTTGTCCCCATGTCATAAAGAGGGACCCAGCAAGACTTAGGGAGTTCTCTTGCTCCCAGTCTTGTGTTAGGAGCCAGAAGTGGGCGAGATTCCTCCCTCCTGCCCTGACCCTTCTCCTCCCTTCATTCTCCTGGCTCGGAATAACTGTTTCTTTGCACCCACACGTATTACACAGAGGTCCCATTATAGAACATTTGGAAAATGAAATAAATGGGGAGTGGAGGAGGTAGGGTCAGGTCATCTATTATTACCCACACATAACCACTGTGGCGTTTTGGGGTGGACATCCTACCCTTTTGCATAACAAAGACTTTTAATGCAATTTCCTTAAGGAACAAAAGCCACACTGGGTCTGTCCAAAGTGTGTGGATGTTCTCGGGAGGTCAGAGCAAGAAAAAACCTCGCTTTTCCTGAGCTTTGAGAAGCGTGTGTGCCTGGTTGTGTTTCTGCAGCCTCTGGGGACAAAGACCCTTGTCCCTCTTTTGTGTCCCTCTTCGGCCAAGCCTGTCTGGAGGCCACTCCGTGTCACGTGGCTAATTCACCCCTTGGCCTTTCCACTGGAATCCTATTGAAGTCGTGGGCCCATGTGGGTCTGTCCTGGAATGGGGTCATTCCCAAAGAATCACAGATCGACGGCCAAAAACTAATTAAAACGGAATTCCATTTCCTACTGTGCCCTCAAAAATGTCAAAGGAGACCCAATTCCTAGCCCTGGCACTCTCCTCTGACTCTTTTGTCTCCCTGCTCTCTCAAACCCCACATGCCAAGGCCCCAAATCCCTCAGCTCTGCCTCCAGGCCCAAGGCTTGCTTTCCTCACCCCTGCCCCGTCCTTTAGATGGTTCCAGGCAGAGGAATCTCTCAGATTCTGCATCATCAGAAATCCAGGAACCAGAGGGTCTGAGAGAGACCCGCCTCAAAGGCTGTGGAGCTGGTGGGAGAGGGTGGCGGGCAGGAATCAGGCTGCATTTCAGGAATCTGATGGCAGGCTGGGGGAGGACAGAGACTGGCATTTGTTCACACCCTGAGGACAGAGTCCATGCTCTGGATTAGAAGTGTCTTGGGAAACGGTAAGCCTCCAGCCCCGGTGCTATTCTGGCAGAGGCTGAGCATGCAGCCAGTGGGCTATTATAGGGGATTTATGCCCTGGAGCTCCTAGAATCCTGGGGGCATGGAGTGGGCAGGGATGCCACAGGCCACACAGTAGGTGCATGGTAAATGGCCGCCTGTTACTATCGTTGCTGTTCACGCCTGCCTCACTGCAGGGGAAAGGCAATGGCACGGGGCATCCTCAGGATGGGTTCCCAGGGTGAGACTGATAACCTCCTGTGTGTCATTGGCAGGCGGGCACCACCTGGCAAGTGTCAGATCCAGCCTGCTCAGGTGAAGATCAGAAGCCGCCTCATCCCCTTTGTGCCCAAAGAAAGTAAGTGCCTGCCAGAGGGACACTGAGGGTGGGGGGAGAGATCCTGCAGCCCACAACGGCTGCCTTTCCAGCCAGACACGGGTCTTACCAGCTGGACCTAGATGTCCCTCTTCAACCCCTGTGCCTAGCACTGTGCCTGGCACACATTAGACATGGTGGTAAGGTGGATGGGACTTTTACTGAACTGGGTCTTGCTTGATTGGTCACAATTCCTTAAACCAAGAGAGAAATAGCTAGTGCCAGGCAAGGTATGCTCTGAGTTCTTGGGAGGGACAGAGAAAGAGGATGTATCTGTGTGTAAGCGAGGGAGACTGGAAGAGTTAGTTGTGGGAGGGGTTGGCATGTGGGCTGGGCCTTCATAGATTGTTGACAAGCCTGATGAGGAGAGATGGCAGAGCAGGGCCACCACAAATGACTGCCCATGGGGCCTGGGGCTAGGGGGAAGGGGATGCCCCAAGTTGGGGCTGTTCCCCTGGGCCAAGTTACGTGGGAACAAAGACCCCGTGTTGCCAGGTCTTCCAGTTCTTCAGAGAAGCAGAAAATCCCCCCATCCACTCATTCACCACGGACACGTGCCCTGCCCTGGGGATACAGCACATGGTGAGACACCGCAGTCCTCGCCTTCTAAGCCTGTTAGGTACAACCTCCCAATTCAAAGTGTTAGCAACTAGTTCAGAATTTTAAAAATCACTCTGTGGGCCAAGGAAAATATTTCAGCAGGCCAAGTGGGCTCAGCAGGCCACCCATTGGCAGACTGGGTGTGTGTGGGGGTGGGGAGGGCAAGGAGAGAGGGAGGCTAGGCACCTGGGCAGAAGAGGTACCCGGGGTAGAAGGGGAAGGGTCTGAGCTCAGTGATTTTGGAAGTGAGTTCTGGTCACAGTTGGTTTCAGGGCTTGGTGAGTTTTCCATTTATTCATTCAGCAGTTTCTGGCACTTTTGTTAGTTACTGGCTCCACGCTGGATGCCGGAGCCACAGTGAGAAGTCAGACCAGGCCGTGTTCTGGCTGGGACAGACAGAGATGACATTTACTGTCCCAGGCCTTGTGATTGAAGTGTGTGCCAGGCACCGTGAGGGCCCACCCAGAACAGTGGAGACTGGGGTGGGGGGCAGGGGTTCCTGGAGTCTGAAAAGAAGAGGAGGGTGCGCCCATGGGGGGATGCACTGAGGGGGGTGGCACCGAGGGGGATGGCACCGAGGGGGGTGCAGGGTGGGGGATGCACCCGGGAGGGGGTTGCATGGGGGGGTGCACCTGGGGGAGTGCACCGAGGGGGGTTGGCACCAAGAGGGAGGTTCACTCAGGGATGCACTGACGGGGGTGGCAGTGCAGGCAGAGGCAACAGCGAGAGCCACAGTGGGAGAGGTGAGGCAGCCTGAGGAGCAGGAGGTGTGGGCCAGGGGCCAGGGTGCAGGGACAGGGAGCACCTTGCCCATGTCACGGTGCTCCAGGCCCTGGCCTGTGCTTGGCCTTGTGCTGAGAAGCCCTTTCTCAGCTCCTCAGTGGTTTTCAAAGTGGGACTGGCTGAGGTGGGGCCGGATTAAAGAGGTCTGGCCCGGTGGTCCCAGGACCCTCCCCATGGTAACTGAACAGTCTTGGGCTGTCACACATGGCAGGGCCCAGTGCCTGGCACTGCACCGATGTGGAGTAGGGCTGGGCACAGCAAAGTGGAGATTGAGGTCTATTCCTGTGGCTGACCTGGGCCAAGCGTGTCCCCACATTCTGCAGGCACAAAGGGAATCACCTGCTTCAGCTCCCTAGCACTGACTGCACGCAGGCCCTGTGGTGGGGTATAGGGGCTCTGCCTCGTTCCGCAGCCAGACAACCAGAGCACCCCCATCGTACCCGCTGTGACAGGTGCCAACCTTGGGAGTGAGGAGGAGAGATTTACCCTGACCCCAGGGATCCCTGTGTGCGTCCCATTCCCAGCCTGCTGGCCACTGGCCACCATAGACCTGCAGCAATTTTTACCCATCTGTGGGCCTCAGCTTCTTCACCCTCACAACCAAGGCCTGGAAGAAGAAACGGTGACTTGCTCTTAGACGACTTCCCAGACATTCCTTCCTTTCCATTGCCTTCCTGAGTTCTGAAGTGCCAGGGGCTGGCTCCCCCGCCCAACCTGGGGACTCCTAGGAAGGCCGGGCTTGGGGTAGGGAGACACAGCAACAGCAGACTGGCACAAAGCAGTTACAAGTGTTTGCTGCATGACTGAAAAATCCCCTGGTGCTTGAGTCCAGGCTGGCATCTTGCTGGGTCCAGGTGACCTGGGAAGCACCACTGGGAGCACAGGCGGCATCCCATCTTCTGGGTGTGAGTGCAGGGCAGACCCAGGACATCCTTCCCTGAGTCCGCCCTCTCCGCACAGGTTGTAGGGCAGCAAAGGGTGGGCAGCAGGGCTGGACAGGGGCTCCTGGATCCCTCTGATGGCATACTCTTCCTCTGCGCAGAGTTCATCCCGAAGACACGGAGCACCGCGCGGCCTACAGCGCGGGCGCCCACCCGGGCGCCCCGCCGCAGGCGCCCCACGGTAGCTCCACCCCCTCCCACCCCGCGGCCAGCGCGGCCCACCCAGCAGCCAGGGAGCCGCAGGGGCGGCGGGCGCCGGCGGGGGCGGCTGAACTCGGCGAACCGGGCGTTCCGGGATGGTGACGTGCGCCTGGTTCGGCCCGCGGGCCTGAGCTCCGGCAGCGGGCGCGTGGAGGTGTTCGTGGGCGGACGCTGGGGCACCGTGTGCGACGACTCCTGGAACATCAACGGCGCCGCCGTCGTGTGTCGCCAGCTGGGGTTTGCCTACGCCGTGCGCGCCGTCAAGAGCGCCGAGTTCGGCCAGGGCGGCTCGCTGCCCATTCTGCTGGACAATGTGCGTTGCGCGGGCTGGGAGCGCAACCTGCTGGAGTGCCAGCACAACGGCGTGGGCACCCATAACTGCGAGCACGACGAGGATGCGGGCGTCGTGTGCAGCCACCAGAACCCCGACCTGTAGGCAACACGCCGCTGCCCCCAGGCCATCCTGCCGGCGGGGAAGCCTGGCCGCTCCGCCCTGTGTGCCCGCGGCGGGTGCACACGCTTTCTAGGGTGAAGGGGGTGCGGGTGTGTGCTGTCCTGGGGACCTGTGTGAGGCGCTGCAGTGCATGTGTGTCCTCCGCAGACCCAAGGCAGGAGTGTGTGTTGGCGGGGGTGTGGGCTGTGGGAGTGCATGGTCCATCCTGGGCCGGAGGAGTTCCTTTCTTACCTCCAAGCATTCCAGACACCAGCAGGAACACAGCCTGCTATGGGACCCTGAGGAGGAAGGGCAGCCAGGCTTCGAGGATGGACATGGCCCCTGGCTTTGCTAACAGAGGCACAGCTGGCAGACTGAGGGCGGTGGGGGAAACCAGGCTTGTCCTGCCCACAGCTGGAATGGAAGGTGCCAGAACATCCGGAGGGTGGCCTGAGGAAGGTAGCCCAGAGAGTATGGCCTGGTGCCTGCCCCCGCCCCTTAACCCCCGCAGTCAGAGGCGCTGGAAAGAACCGGAAGGCACCCAGTGGGGAAGGGAAAGCCTTCTGGAGGCTGGGAGCAGGGTGAGCTGCAGGCCTGGGGCCCCACTGGAGGGGCAGGCTGCGTGGAGGGGCCAGCACCTGCTCAGGGAGGGTGGCTTTGGGAGGACTGGATGACCTCCAAGGCCGTGTGCTGGAGAAGCCACTCAGCAGCATACCCAGCCCTTGCGGGTGCTCCTGGGATGGCGCTAGCCTCCTCCAACCCCGAGGCCTGATTCTCGCTTGCTCTCGGGGCAGGAGCCACCCACACTAGCTGGGCAGAGCTTTCACCCTGACCCTCCAGTGAGTGGGTGGGCCTCCACTACTTTCAAAGCTGTGTTTGGGCTCTGGGGCCACCTCTGTCCTTTCCATCCCCGTCCCTGCTCAGTGTAAACCCAGGAGACCTGATTCCTCCAACCCTACCTCGGGGCTGACCAGGCTGGGGATTCCGTGAGACTACTGACACTTTTTCACCCAGGGCTATGCCAACCATGTGGCTGTTTCCACACCACTCTCCTGCCTCCTCTCTGACCTGCGCCTGTGTGGGAGCCAGGGTGGGAACCGGGAGAAAGGGTGAGGCCTGCCGCCTCCCACCTGCATCACAGGTGGAAGCTCCTTTGCTCCAGGGATGCTCGGCCCTGGCTCTGTGCCAGGCCGCAGAGGGGCACTAAGTGTGACTATGCTCAGCCTCGGACAGGAGCATGGGTGGGGGTGGGTAAGCTGATGAGTCAGCAGGCAGCGAGGACAGGACGTGGCCCATGTCGGGGGTTGGAAGAGGTCTGGGTGGGGCACCCAAACCCAGCCGGTGGGGGAAGGCTTTGGGGAGGTAGTGATGCTGTGCCAAGTTCTGGGAACTGGCACCAGGGGTGGCCGGGCAGGCACATGGGTCAGGCACGAGTCTGGCAGGGTCTCCTAGCCACTAGTATAGGGTCTCCTAGCTGCTAGTATAGGATCTCCTAGCTGCTAGTATAGGGTCTCCTAGCTGCTAGTATAGGATCCTGGGCTGCAGCAGAAAGCTTTAGGGTCACTCTCTTGTACTCTTCATACTCAGTGCTTTACAGAAGGGGAAACTGAGGCGCACAGCAGTTAGATATCTTAGGGCACCAAGCCAGGGAAGGGAGAAGCCAAGTTTGAATACAGCAGCTTAGTCTAGAGCCCCCGCACCCTGACCACTGCCCCAGCTCCACTATGCCTGCAGAGAGGGGTGTGCTGGGGCTCCTGCCTGGTGTGGGGGTGCCAGCCTGGCTGGGAAGCAGCTGTTGGGGATACCTGGGGGCTCCTCTTGCCTGGCATGTGGCCCTGCTGCTGGCCTCCTGCTCCTCTCAGGCCTCCAGCGGCCTAGGGGTGGTTGAGTGGGCGTCTTCCCGGGATGCAAGGGAGTTCTGAACTCTGATGCAGGGGGGTCAGGAGATAGCAGGCCATTAGTGGCCATCCCGGCTGAATTCCTCACTGTGCAGATGGGGAAGCGAGCTCAGGGAGGCTGAGTGTCCCAGGCCTGTTGCCAGATGAAGCCACGCTGAGACGAGGCCAGGGAAGGTGCAGCAAGCCTTGAGGCCAAGAATGTGGCCAAACCAGGGCCCTGCTCGCCTGGCTCCAGAAGCTGTTTTGCTCAGAGATGGATTAGGAGGGTTGGCAAAGGGAGCTCTGGGTATGGCCTCAGGCCCTCCAATACTTCTCTGGGCAGTTTGGGCCTTGGCCGTGAGTCCTCCAGTCCAGGTGCTCTCCCTCCCCAACCTCCAACTCATCACCTCTCAGGCCCCAAACTAGGCCTGGGCTAGGCTGTTGCCTGACTCCTGGGGACTGACTCCATGGTCCCCAGGTCAGTGGTCCCCAACCTTTTTGGCATCAGGGGCAGTTTTCATGTAAGACAATTTTTCCATGGATGGGGGTTGGGGGGATGGTTTCGGGATGAAATGTCCCACTTCAGATCATCAGGCATTAGATTCTCATAAGGAGTTCACAGCCTAGATCCCTCGCATGCACAGTTCACAGTATGTTCCTATGCGGATCTAATGCTGCTGCTGATCTGACAGGAGGCAGAGCTCAGGTGGGAATGCTCGCCCCCCACACTACCCTCCCCCACTGCCGCTCACCTCCTGCTGTGTGGCCTGGTTCCTAATAGGCTGCCCATCAGTACTGGTCCTTGGCCCAGGGTTTGGGGACTCCTGCCCTAAGTAGTAATAAGAGTGGACAGCTGTTATACGTAAATACTTGTTCCCAGTGCTGGAAAGAAATAGCACTAGAACATAAATTTAATTCTCTCAACAAGGCAATTTTACTTTCTGCAGAAAGAGTGCTCATCACAGATGGAACAATGGCAAACGCACACCTGAACAAAGGAGGGAAGCAATGTTTAGCCTTTACGCAGTTTGTCCCTGCTACTGTGTCCTGTGTCCATTGGCTTGAGCCAGACCGCACAATCTAAACTAAAACCCGATTGGCTGTTTAAAACTTTTCTAAATAGGTAAAAGTAATGGAAGGATAAAGGAAAAGAGGAAGTTGCTTAAGAAAGGACTTAGGAAAGTAATAATATTCCCAAATAAGGAAGGGGCCTAGGGTGCGAGCTGGGACATGCCTGCAAGCACGTCTATCACAGATATTTTGGTTAAAATACAAGGATGTAGAATGTACTATGTGCCTGTGAGCATGTCTAACAGTTACATAGGATAGGGCTTAACAAAGAGTTATTAGCATAAAGCAAGGAGGCTTGAAGGAAGTTCGTCTTTAAAATAAACTATTATTTCTTTTTTTTTTCTTTTTTATTATACTTTAAGTTCTAGGGTACATGTGCACAACGTGCAGGTTTGTTACATATGTATACATATGCCATGTTGGTGTGCTGCACCCATTAACTCGTCATTTACATTAGATATATCTCCTAATGCTATCCCTCTCCCATCCCCCCACCCCAAAACAGGCCTGGGTGTGTGATGTTCCCCTTCCTGTGTCCAAGTGTTCTCATTGTTCAATTTCCACCTATGAGTGAGGACATGTGGTGTTTGGTTTTCTGTTCTTAGAAACTATTATTTCTAATGCTTATGATTTATTCTTTAACAAGAAGGGAAACTTGGAAGAGGAACTTTTACTTTCTACAACAGCTGACCTCTGCTGAGCGCTTACTGCATGCCACGCACTGCTCTGAAAGTTTAACATACCATTCACTCATGTAATCCTCATATTAATGCACGTTTACTCACATGGAAGCCAAGTCTCAGGGCATTTGTCACTTACCAAATATCACACAGCCAAAATTTGAATTTGAGCCCAGGCAGTCCAGCTCTGGGACCCTGCTGTGGGCCTTCCTGCTGGGCATTGAAAGTCACCCCCACCCCACTGGGACACAAGTTCAGAGAAGGGCAGAGCTGGCTCCCTGTCCAGTGCTTCTTTCACTCCACCACCTACAGCTGGCCACTGAGGGAACATTCAGAAGTGACTCTGTCCCCAGGGACTCCGATCTTGCCTTAAAGTCCTCTAGGGCCTCTGGGGATGGGGGCTGGTCTGGGCACAGCCTTCACCCTTACCCCCTCTAATCCAACCTCTAGTCAATAGCCAGGGTCAGATTCCCAGAGAGGGGCTGCCCTGCCCAGTGCCACACAGCTTAATTCTGGAGCTTCAGGGTCAATGCTGCAGGGGTGGCCCAGTGTCCAGGACTGTGTTCAAGGCATCAGCCAGAGGTTACAACACCCCAGGCCCTAGACTGAGCCTAGGGGTCCCCATGTTTATACCTTAGACATGTTTGGGAGGTTCAAGGAAGCTGGAAACCGGGTTCCAGTCCTGGCTCTGTGCCTGAGTCTCATTGCAAAACAGAGGTCACCAGAAGGATTATTGGATGAAAAATGAGGTAGCATTGCAGATGTGCGTGGCACGTACACTCCAGGTTGCTTCCTGGACAGAAAGCTCAATCCGAGGCTGGTGGCATCCATGCTGGCAGTAGCCAACTGTCTACAACAGAGTGAGGAGGGACATGCCACGTGAAGGACCAGCATCAGAATGACCTGGGAAGAAACACAATAGCAGGAGAAAGGGCTCTTTCAGCCTAACATGTAGAACCCAAGTCTTCTTGTGCGGCATCTGTCCCCTCTCCCCTCCTCCCCCACTGAGAACTAGCTTTTACTGAGCACTTATTACACGCCAGCTACGTCAGGTGTGTCAGCTCATTCAATCTTGACAACAGCTCCATGAGACACCCTCAATATCACTGCCCCTGTTTTCCAGATGAAGGGACAGATTCCTAGGGCATTATATAAGTGGTCCCCAGGACTTTAGAGGCAGGTTTGCACCAAGGCCCATTCTCCCAGAGCCAGATCCTTCTCCTTCCCTGGGATACTGCACCTCCACCCTGCCAGGCCACCCACGTAAAGGCAGTCAATTCAGAGCCACCTCTTATGCCTGCATCTCTCCCAACAATTCCTGCTGGGAAACCACTCCTCGTATGGTGTCATCTACACTGGTGGTTTTCAAGCTTGAGAAGAATCAAGTTCTACAGGGCTGCTTAAAACACAGGTTGCTGGGTCCTGTCTCTCAGAGTTTTTGACTCAGTCTTGGTTGACAATTTGCCGTTCTAGAAGCTCCTGGGTAATGCTAATGCTCCTGTTCTAGGGGCCATAGTCATTGTCCATACTGGTGCTATTCAATAGAAACATAATGTGAGCCAAACAGGTAATTTAAAATCTGCTAGTAGCCATGTTAAAAAAGTAAAACAGGTAAAATTAATTTTAATAATGTATTTTATTTAACTCAACATATTCAAAATATTATCATTTTAATAGGTGACCCATAGATCAATGACTTTTTTTTTTTGGGACAGGGTCTGGCTCTGTCACCCAGGCTGGAGTGCAGTGGTCCCATCACTGCTCACTGAAGCCTCAAACTCCCAGGCTCAAGTGATCCCTCCACCTCAGCCTCCTGAGTAGCTGAGACCACAGGCATACGCCACCATGTCGAGCCAGTTTTTTTTTTTTTTCATTTTTTTAGAGAAGGGGGTCTCCCTATGTTGCCCAGGCTGGTCTTGAACTACTGTTCTCAAGAGATCTATTGCCTCCACCTCTCAAAGTGCTGGGATTACAGTTGTGAGCCACTGTGCCCGGTGACCTTTTTTTCCATTCTTTTTTTGTATTAATCTATGAGATCTGGTGTGTATCTTACACATAGCACATCTCAATTGGACTAGCCACATTTCAAGTACCGGATAGCCACATGTGGCCAATGGCTGCCACACTGAATAGCTTACTCTAGACCCTCCAGTGAAGGAGCAGGTGGTTGGCCACGTCTTCCAGGCAGCACCTCCTGCTGGTGGCTGGCAGGGCTGCCCACCCAGGAAAAGGGCCTTCAGCCATGGAACCTGAAGCCTTGGTGTGCAGCCTGTGTTCCCTTACCTGATCACAGGATAGCTGGTAGCATCAAATGAGGTGGTGATGGGACAGCTGTGTGCTTGGTGCCTATGGAGAGGGGAGACTGATGGCTCACAGGTGGGGACACAGACTGCTCTGGAAGTGCTACTCCTGGGGTAAGCCATGGTCATGTTGAGCCAGAGCTCAGTGGTGCTGCCTGATGTGTCAGAGAACATGTATGCCCACTCCTCTCCTTAGCTGTATTTGGAGAGGTTCACCCTGACCACTGCTCCCTGATGCTGCTCTACACCTGCTTTCTGTGGGCTTCCAGGCTGGCCTGGAGCTGTTCAGGACCAGGCTCTTCCATGAAGGAACTGTGACAGTAGGTAGTCAGGCAGACATGAGCAAGGCAGGAGAGGGCCCTCCTCCAACCAGGAATGTCAAGTGACCATCAGGTGATGGTCAGGCAGTTGATAAACTGCTTCTCTAAAATAATTGGTCGCAGCCAGTGCCAGGAAGAGGCAATCTCCCAACAGATAGAAACACCTGAAGCTGGTGATCGGCCTCCTGATATCTCAGGAGCTGGGCGAGTGGGCTCAAGCATGCACACTAAGGCAAAAGGGCAGCGATAAACTGGTAGATGACCTTCCTCTAGGAACACCGGTAAGGGAAAAACACCTCAAATGAGCGTGCGCATAACTTCAGTAAACACAACTGTGCATTCGGCCCCTCCCAGGTGCTGACAGGCCACCGCGCACGCAGACAGCCCGCCCCAAGGGAGGAATCAGGGGAGAAGAGAGATGCAACCCCCCCGAAGCATGCCAATCTACAAAACCCCGAGTCAAAGGTCAAGCCACGCACTTGACTCTCTCAAGTCACCTGCTTGGCCCTCTTCTAAGTATACTTTACTTCCTTTCATTTCTGCTCTAAAACTTTTAAATAAATTTTCACTCCTGCTCTAAAACTTGCCTCTCACTCTACTTTATGCCCCTCAGTAGAATTCTTTCTTCTGAGGAGGCAAGAACTTAGGCTGCTGCAGACCCATATGGATTCGCTGCTGCTAACAGATTCAGTGTTCCAGGGGTCCAGAGAGACAAGGCAAGAGAAATTCCTCTCCAGACAGTGCGATGTATTGTGTAATCTCAGGGAGCCGTTCCACAAACTGGATACTAAATGTGGTGCGGTCACATTTCTTTTCTAGCTAACCCCCCCAACCCACCTTCCAGCGCGCAGGAAATCCACACCCTCCTTCTTGCAGCCTCATCCTCCCTCCAAACTGCCCCCAAGCCCTGGAGCTTTCACAGCCGACAGGGGACTTGGTGGCCCCATTCCACACCTCACTCCACCAGGGCCAGCCTGAGTTACCCGGTGCGCCTGCGGCTGCTTGTCACCGCCGCCACACGGGGGCGCCGTGGCAAGCCAACTTCCCCGAGTTCAACTGGGAGGACGGGCCAGGCGTCGGGGGGATGGACGCCCTGCTGCCCACCTGTCCAGGCTGCAGTGGCCCCGGGGGGGGCAGAAATCCCGCCTCCTCCGTGCTGGGCACGGCTCTTAAGGCTTGGCCCTCTCCGTCGTCCCTCAGCCCACACACCCCTAACAGCCATGTCCCATGTCCCTGGCGGGGACTGTCCCTGGCTGTACCTGGGAAAGCGGTACGAAGGTCCCCTTAGTTTTCCAACCCCCAACCTCTCCAGGACTGGCTCAAGCGTGGGGCAGGGGCATTGCCTCTTCTCAGAAACCCAGCACCAGCTACACTCCCTGGGCACCTCCCTCCAGCCCGGGGACCTTTACCTGGGCTAGGAGTGGGGCACACCTGGCCGTCCCCAGTCACGGCTTTCACGCTGGGTGGCCCCTCGGGATAGGAATTGGGAACTAAAACGCCCAGAGTTGGCCTCATCATCATACGGGATGGGTAAGGAGACGTGCGTTACGACAGAGGGGGAAGCCTTGATCATTATTTCGAAAATACCTTCTCCTCCGCTACCCTCGCCTCCCCGGCACACTTCCCGCTTTCCCTGGAGGGCGGACCCAGATTTTCATCCCTCCAACTCCTTTGGACCTGAGCCAGCCCCTCAGGTGGGGCTTCGCCTGGTCTGGGAAGGTCCGTAGGCGCATGAGTCTCTGGGAGAGCAGCCTCCGGCCACGCCGTGCGCACAGGCGTCCTTCGGTCCCGCGGGATGCTGCCACCAGCCCGTGGGCCCCGCTGGCGGACCACGGGCGCTAGATGCGGACTATCCGGGCGGAAGAGGCGCCCCGGGACAACTGGAGAACAACTTTGGGGTTCTGGGGTTCCAAGGAGAAGTTTGGGAACAGTCGGCGTCATGCGGACTTCTGCAAGCTGGGATGGGGCTTCCGGGCAGGTTTTGGGGAGAAAGGAAGGGGCCTAAGACCGCGCGCGGAAAGATGCCGTTATTTGGCGGCGCCGAAGTGGGCGGAGCCAGCCAGCAGGACTTCGCGCCGCCGCCGGGCCAGAGCGAGGGGGATCGGCGTTGCCAGGGACAACGCGTTCTGGGCGGAGCTGCTGCTGGGGCGGACCTGAGTCTGAGGAGGTGGGGGCGGAGCCTGGGGGGCTGAGCCAGAAGCGGAGTTGTGATTGGTGAAGACTACATGCTCGGGGCGGGGCCCGGGCTGGGGCCGTGTGGAGGTTGGGGCGGAGCTTTGGGGGGCGGGGCGGGGCGGGGGAGGGCCCCGAGCTCCGGAGCCGGAGGCGGAGACGTGGTTGGCGGGGACGGTGCGCCCTGGGAGGGGTCGGAGTCGGCGGGGGCGGAGCCGAGCGGGCGGGGAGGGTGCTGGGTCGCGCCGGGCCTGGGGCCGAGGCGGCGCGCGGCGCTGACAGCTGAGTCGGCTCGCGGCCTCCCGGCCCCCTCGGCGCCCGGCCCGACCCTGGCCTGGCTTGCCCCGGAGCCATGAGCCCCGGGCTGCTGCTGCTCGGCAGCGCCGTCCTACTCGCCTTCGGCCTCTGCTGCACCTTCGTGCACCGCGCTCGCAGCCGCTACGAGCACATCCCCGGGCCGCCGCGGCCCAGGTGAGCGGGGCTGGGGGCGGGGCCTGGCTGGGGCGCTGGAACTGGGGACCGGGGGACCGCGTCTAAGCCGGCGTCCAGGCCGGGGGTCCGGCCTCGCCTTGTGCGCGCGGCCCCTGCGAGACGGCGGCCCGGAGAGGGGCGCTAACTATTCTTAGTAACAAATTACTCACAGCCGCAGCAGCTGCTGGGCGCCCACCGCGCACAGCTGGGCCCCACAAACGTGATGTCAGCGACAGCCCTCTCAGGTAGGCGCTATGGTTACCCCATCGTTCAGACGAGGAGACTGAGGCGCGCAGAGGCGAAGTCACCTGCCCAAGGTCACACGGTTGGTAAGCCTAGATTTAAGCCCAGGTCAGCCTGCCTCCAAAGTGGGCGCTGTTAACTTTGAGACTTGGAAAGGGTCAGCCTGGATTGGAGCACGCTGTACTTCAGTCATGTTTCCTTTTGTTTGTATTTCTGTTCTGGGACACCCCATTTGTCTTCTCCTTAGTACTTACAATTCCATTCTTGGTCCCCACCCCCACGCAACTTACACCCCCCGCAACTTGCCACCCCCCCCCCCAGCTTAGCTTTGTGAAGCTTAAATTAAATGTGTCATTTCCCTGCTCCAAGGGCTTCCCATCACTTGACAACTAAATGCAGTTCTAAATTAAGTCGGCTGCATGGCCCGCAAGGCCCCTGCCGAGCTCTCCGAACCCACCCTCCTCCTTGCTCTTCCCTCTTGCTTTCTCACTACTGCCCCCAGCCTTTCTCCTCCCAACCTCCCCTTCCCCACCCCCCCGCAGCTTGCCTCCCTCAGGGTCCTTTTCTCAAGCCTGGGCCTGGCGGGCTTCTTCCTCTGCTCCTCTCAAACAGGCCTCGCCGAGCACCTTGTGTAAAGACCACCCAGCCCCAGACTTCTCAGGGGCCATCACCTCTGAAGTTACCTTCTTTCCACCTGTTGACTGTCTGTTCACTTGTTGACTGTCTGTCTCCCACTCTAGAATGTGAGCCCCGGGAGGACAGGGACACTCGGTGTTCGCTTGTGTATCCCCAGTGCCTGGCATGTTACAGAAGCTCAATAAATATTTGTTGAATGAATGAATAAACAATGGTATTAGACACACTTTTTAAAATCTCAGGACATGAACGTTCTGGAAGGCACCCTTCTCCAGCACAAGCCAGATGTATTGGCATTAGAAGCCTGAATCTCTGCTTGACGGGTTCAGGAAAGATCTCTGTGGCTGGTGACATAGGGAGACAACTGTTCTCCCTGCTGGCTCTTTGCCCTTCTGGTGCTTTCTCTCTTCTTGCTTAGCTCCTCTGCCTTCTACTTTACCTGGATGGTTCTTCTCCCCAGCCTTCCAGGTTTGGCTTCAATGCTAACTCCTCAGGGAGGTTCCTCCTGCTCCCCCCAAAATATTATGTTCATTTTATAAACCCTGAAGTCACTGTAATTTTCCTTTACAGCATAATGTTAATTGGGTAATTATTTGTGCAAGCTCTTGTTAAGTGTCTGTCTTTTCCATGGGCCCCTGTCTGTCTCAGTCACTACTGCGTCCCCGACATGTAGCAGCACACGGTACATGCATAGTAGACACTTGATCAATAGCGATTCAAGGTTGAATGGTGGAAATTTCCCATAAGTTCTGTGATGTACACTATCACCCTCGCAAGTTTTCAGATCAGCCATCAGCACTTAGAATTGAATGAGTTTGTTGCTTATTCTGATAAGTTTCATCGTTACTTGGTCTTCTCATAAACTCAGATGACCTGTTCTGGTCTCTGTGTCTTGAGAAAGCAGAACTTAAATCATCTTTTAAAAATTGAAATGTAACTTGCATTCCATAAAATTTATTCTTAAATGTATGATTCAGTGGGTTTTAGTATATTCACAGCACTGTGCAGCCATCGCCATCAATTTCAGAACTGTTTTGTCACCCCAGAAAGAAACCCTGTACCCATTAGGCATCACTCCTCATTTTCCCCCACCCCTCACAGCCCTACAATCATTAATCTGCTTTCTATCTCTATGGATTTGCCTATTCAGGACATTTCATATAAATGGAATCACACAATATGTGGCCTTTTGTGTCTGGCATCTTTCACTTAGTATAATGTTTCAGAAGTTCATTCATGTGGTAGCATGTGTCCTTACTGCTTTCCTTTTTATGGCTAAATTCTTCCCAAATCTTATACCACAAAGCCTACATGTGACCTGAGTGTGTGGGGTGCGGAGGGAGGAGTGGGAGGAAGATGAATATAATCATGATTGGGCTCTGTATTGTAAGGAGGTGAACTGAACAATGCATATATAAAAAGATTTTGGATTAAAAATTGGTTAGTGGTCAAATATAAAACTGCACTAAATGAAAGTTCTGGAACCTCTTCTAGCAGAAACCCGATGCCTTGGCATTAAAAGGCTAGATCTTTAAACTATGGTTGGCGACACTGTGGTTGACTAGAGATCTGTGTGTTGAGTCCCCAGTAGTGGCATTTGTGCCTGGGAACCCTATGACTTTGCCAGCTGGCAGGAAAGGAACCCTCTCGCTGCAACTCTTCATCCTCCTCATTCTGCAGGAGGCCCTCCCTGAGTGCTCCTCCTCTGTGCTTTTCTTACCACATCCTACTGCATGGATCCGTGTAACAGCTGAAAACTCAGACCCCCCACACTCAGATCCCACACAAACACTTGTAGCTTCTTTATTTCTCTGTCACTGTTCTGACTTTCCTCATCAGCCCCTACTCTCCTGGTAATGTGGGAATGGATGTAAACTTGACAATGAAAGGTCTCTCTCTCCCAATTTTTATTTATTTGGGGATAAATTGACTCCTGGACAGTGCTGGTTCTACTCCTACTTGCCCAGTTGCTGGGGTGAGGCTGTTCAACAAGGAGCAGGGTGGCCAGCCATGGGGGAGCCCCACAGCTGGCTCTGGCAGGTGCTGCATCTGATGGGCTTTGGGTGCCCAACTGAGCACTCACCACCCTGCCCCTCTGGCATGAGCCACAATCATGGCCCCTCACCCTCACACTCTTCCACTACTGCAGCATTCCCTTCATCCCTCTGGGTGACTTCACCGTGGGCTCTCCAGATGGCCTCTGCTCTTTTCACTGGCCAAGGCTTTCTCTGCCCACAGGAGAGCTTGGGTCCCCACTCAGCCAATCATGGTGTTGCTGGAAACTGGATGTGCTGGAGAGGTGTGGGGGGGGCGGGCGGTGGGGGGTTGCCTCTCCTCTCTCCCAGGGCTGCTCTGCCATGTCCAGTCTATCACCAGGGACATGCCAAGTGGGCTTGGCATGCCTGCCAAGATGCTGAGCAACAAGTCCCCATGTCTGGCCATGGTGTCAGCCTTACCTGCTTGTTTCTAACACCTGGGTCTTCCTGCTCTGTTGTTGCCTCCCCAGCGCCCCCTGCAGGTGTCAGAAGGAATGGGTTTTTGTTCCCTTTCTTGCTGGGCCATGGGGACCCCACCCCTCTCTGTGCCCTCTGTCTTCCTGAGATGGCACTCACCTTCCTTCCCATGTGGCACGGAACCCCAGGGGTTAGGGTGGAAGCTCTGGGCTCAGACTCTGTCCTCACTTAAGTGACTAAAAACTGAGAACATTCCCCCAGAATGTGAGCTTTGGGAAGTGAGAGCGAGGACACTAGATTACTCTGGAAATACATCCAGGCATGTGTGATGTCCACAGCCCATCTTCCGGTAAGTTCAAGGCCACTCACCTGGCGTGAGCCTCCACTGCAGGCAGGCGGCCACCCTGCACTTCCTTCCCCAGGGCGTTTATTCGCCTACTCTCCCTGCTTCAGTCCCCATCACCTCCCCCTCCATCCGCACTCTCAGCTTTTATTCTTGCCTCCTACTTCCCTGAGCAAAGGGAGCAGCCGGTGAGTTTCCTTCCTGGGCTCCACTGAGCAGCTGCCCACCTCCCGCCCCAGGCCCACGCGTACCTTCCAGCTGTTCCGGGAGGGTAGCCCAGGCCAACCTGCCCCCTCTGCTCAGCAACCCTGTCCCAGGAGCACCCCCCTCCGCTCCCCCCCACCATCAGCGCTCTTCCTCCTCTTCTACATCATCCCCATTTTTATATAATATGCAAAAATTCAAAGCTTGGAACAAAACCCTTTCCTTCACCCTCACGTTCCCCTGCAGCTGCCGCCCCCTATGGTAACCCACCTGGCTGACTGCCTGTCTTTGGGCCTCTCCTTTCTCCCCTCTGGTTCTTTCTGCCCCATACCTCTCCACCAAACTTGCTGGGGGCCAGGTTCCCGGTGATCTCCATGTTGTCGAACCCAGCCATCAGCCCTGGATCCTCGTCTGACCTGGCCCCCAGCAGCCTGGGCAGAGCCGATTTCCCCTCCGCCTTGTCCCGCATCCTCCCCTGACTTCTCACCCACTCTCCTGGCTCTCCTCCCCTCCTCCCTAGCGCTCCCGCTCAGGGCACTTGGCTGGCTGTCCCTATGCTCCCAACTTCTCAGTGATGGCTCAGTTCTTGGTCCTCTTCTCTGTCTGTATCCATTCCCTTGTGGCCTCATCCAGTCACTGGGCTGGAAATGCCACTTTTCTGCTGTGGGCTCTCAAATTTATGTCTCTGGCCTACAGCCCTTCCCCGGGTTCCAGATCTGAGTGTCTAACTTCCTGCTCAAGAGTCCACCACCAACTTTACTGGTCCCAAGCCAAGCTCCTAATTTCATCTGCTTATCTGAGATTGAGATGATCCTGAGATAAGAAATGAAGTGTAAGTAGTTTAGGAGGTGGGGGATGATCCCAGGTTGAGCAGTAGGAGGGGAGTGGATAAAGAAGATAAACAAACCAATAAAACAAGTTACCTCTTGGGAAAACTGAGGTGCAATTCCCTGGGAACCCTGGGGACTTGTGTACAGTGCATGCCCAAAGCTACCAAGCTACCCCGGAAGTGGAGGGGCTGAGGTCATTGGTGGAGGGCTTCTCGAAGTGGGTTCATCTCCTGTGGGCAGAGCCAGAGACAACCCTGGCAAATTGCAGGGGATGGGCACAGTGGCTCTGCCACCCCAACCAGCTCCTCCTCATCTTGGTAGATGTCGGCTCCATCCATTCTTCCAGCAGCCCAGGCCAGAAGCCCAGAGTCATCCTCATACCCCCATAGCCAAACGGCACGTTTCAGTGCTCAGCCTCACAGTGCATTCAGAATCTGATCCCTTCTTGTTGTTGCCTCTGCTGCCCTGCTCTGTTCTGAGCCCTCGTCACCTCTCCTAGTCCCTCCCTGTCACTAGTGTCCCTGCTTCCTCCCCTACCCTGGTTGCTCTCTGCAGTCCTGCAAAACAATCCATTCAAACCCAAGTCAGAGCCCATCTCTGCTCTGCTCAAAACCCTCCGGTGGACCCCAGCTCACCAAAGTCAAGGCAAAAATCTGGACCACAGCCCACAAGGCTCTACGTGACCTGCCCCCAGTCTTGGTGACCCCACCTTGTACTCTGTTTCCCTCAAGTACTCTGCCTGAGCCACACTGTCCAAGCACACTCTGACCTCAGGACCTTGGCACCTGCTGTTCACATTGCCTGGAAGGCTCTTCTCCCGCTTCTTGCAGGTCTCATCTCACAAACCACCCTCTTAGAGGGATATTCCTTGCCCTGCCTGTGTTAACCCATTTATTCCTGAGGTTACAGTTTTTTTGAATTTGAAAAATCAGACCTTGGCCATGACCTTGAGCAGCAGGACATACATAACTTCCACAAGCTTAGCATTCCAATAATGGAACACCAGGCATAAATGGGTTTTACACGGACACCCGCACACTCATTCCCCAGCACTTCCTCTTCCCCATACTCTGTTCTCTTTTTCTCCTGTCACCCTTGGACGTTGTCTTTATTTGTTTATTTACTCTCCGTCTCTCCCTGGGAGAATGTGATTTTGTTGTCACCCATTGGGGATGCTGCAGTGAGCTCGGTAGGAATAAAGTCATTCCAGGAGTCATGGGCCCCCTGGAATGAGCTTCAGGATGACACTGCATTGGCTTGTTTACAAGTTGGTGAACACAGCAGATTTATATGACCAAACCATCCCTTGCTGAGAAGGGCTTTGGGGAGCCCTGGTACCAGCTGTGCAATTGTGGGTAAATGACTTCACCCTTCCATCTTGGCTGTCCTATGTCCTATACAATATGGTTAATAACGGATTGATCAGCCATATGGGGAGGTTGGAGGGGTGAAGCCTAGCATGGTGCCCAGCGTGGTTAGTATTGGGGAATATCTGAGGTGATTCCACACAATATTATTGAGTCCTTTCTATCTGCCAGCCCCCAACTTCTGTGCCAGGGAGACAGGAAAAGAAACCTGTTTCTTCTCCAGGAGGGTCTTTGGAGCTGGTCAGACCTGGGTTTGCATCCTGTCTTTATTCTTATGGCCTGGTGTCCCTGAGCCAGTGCTGTAACCTCCCCATGCCTCGGTCCTCCTGTCTGTGAAGTGGGCCTCGTAATAAGATCTTGTGGGGAAGGGACCGTTCTTTCCTGTTGAATGCTGGTAAGCCTAATGTTTCCCATTTCTTCTAGTTTCCTTCTAGGACACCTCCCCTGCTTTTGGAAAAAGGATGAGGTTGGTGGCCGTGTGCTCCAAGATGTGTTTTTGGATTGGTGGGTTCTCATTTGTCACTTGTTGCCCTTACTCCAGGTTCCCTTGGGGCAGCTCCCCCAACCCAATCCAGCACACAGACTCCCAGCCTCACCTTTCCCTAGACCAGGTTACTCCCAGCCTCAGCAGTTCCTCCCCTGAGTGGAGGCAGGTGAGACTGGCTTGGAAGCCATGCTCTGCCATTCACCCACTGCAGGACCTTAGACCAGCCGTCAGAAGCTCTCTGAGCCTCAGTTTCCTCATCTGTAAAGTGGTTGGGGGGTGTGACTAGGTAAGAGTCGTTGTTTGGTGTGACACTTTTTTACATTGTTCAAAGCACTTTCAAAGATGCAAATAATTCGATTCCCAGGACAACCTTTTGGGACGATCAAAGAAGGGATGTTTCCAACCCTATTCCATGGCTGTGGAAACTGAGGCCTGGTGGGGGACGTGACTTGGCAAGTGAGCAACAGGGCAGAACCTTGCCCCCAGGGCTCCTGGGCCCCAGCACAGCACTCTTCTGGTAGCCCTCATTGAGCACCTTCTGGGACGGGACACATCTGTTTCGCTGCTGGGCGGGGTTGGTGATAGTCATACCTCAGTTGGTTGACAGTTTCCTTCGGGTCACTTTGGTTTCCAGGGCTAAGAAGTATGGACCTGTTGTGCGGGTCAACGTCTTCCACAAAACCTCAGTCATCATCACGAGTCCCGAGTCGGTTAAGGTAGGAGGCAGAGTGGTTTCCATGAGGGAGTTCCCTGCCTTTTCTTGGGTTGGGGGAGTGAAGCCAGGTCCCAGAGACTTTGGAGGAATGTTCCAGAGCCAGGCACATTTTGGCTGGTTTCCCAAAGATCCAGAAGGGAATGGCATCTTTCCCTCTAAGCACCCACTGCTTGGGGACTCTTGCAAGCATTGCTGTTTGATGTGGGGAGTAGATGGAGACCTTGCTGTCCCCATTTGGGTTGGAAGTTTTGCCCAACTGGTGCACACATGTTTAGTTTGCCTCTCTTTGCCTCAGTTCCTTCATCTGTGAGATGGGAATTATAACCCTAACTCCAGGGCTATGATGAGTTAAAAATTGATCAATTTATTTAACAAATAAAATGTCAAAACATCCTTAAATAGTGCTTACTATGTACTTTTTTATGCACTTCACAATTAGTGACTCATTTAATCCTCATAGGAGTAGGGACTCTTATGAGTCCTTTGGCCAACATGGTGAAACCCTGTCTCTACTAAAAATACAAAAATTAGCTGGGCATGGTGGCAGGTGCCTGTAATCCCAGCTACTCGGGAGACTGAGGCAGGAGAATTAGTTGAACCCAGGAGGTGGAGGTTGCAGTGAGCAGAGATCGCACCATGGCACTCCAGCCTGGGTGACAAAAGTGAAACTCCATCTCAAAAAAAAAGGGCCAAGCACAGTGGCTCACGCCTGTAATCCCATCACTTTGGGAGGCCGAGGCAGGTGGATCACCTGAGGTCAGGAGTTCGAGACCAGCCTGGCCAACATGATGAAACCCCATCTCTACTAAAAATACAAAAATTAGCCGGGCGTCGTGATGCATGCCTGTAATCCCAGCTACTTGGGAGGCTGAGGCAGGAGACTCGCTTGAACCCGGGAGGTGGATGTTGCAGTGAGCCAAGACTGCACCACTGCACTCCAGCCTGGGCAACAAGAGTGAAACTCTATCTCAAAAAAAAATTGATATAATACTCAAAAAAAAAAAAAAAAAGACAGCTTAACATTCCTAGCTACTTGGGAGGCTGAGGCAGGAGAATCACTTGAACCCGAGAGGCGTTCCCACAGCACTCCTGCCTGGGTGGCAGAGTGAGACTCCATCTCCAAAAAAGAGAAAAAAAAAAAAAAGAAATGAAATGAAGAAACCAAGGCAGGTGATACTATCTATCATGTCTGCCATGAAGGTTCTAAGAATGGGCTTCTGCTATGGAGTTAGCAGAAGTGGGCTCAACTCTGGGCTCTGCCACCAACTGGCTGTGGGACCTTGGACATGTTGCTTCATCATTCTGGGCCTCCGTTTCCTCATCTGTGAAATAGGGATGGTGCCTCTGTTACAGGATGGTTGTAATAATGGAACTAAAATAATATAAATGAGCCATCTAGCCCCTGCCTGGCACACAGCGATTGCTCAATAAACAATGATGCATTTTTTTCTTACTGTGGGTGCGCAGCAGACGTGTGGGGCAATTCTCTGCAACGGAGGGTGGCTGTAGTGACTCTGAGAGGGATAAAATACAACTTAGGTTCAAGACCAGGAGACAGGTTGAATGAATAACCAGGAATCTCTAGTAGAATGTTAAAAATGATTTTTCATAAAAAATTTAATTTCAAACATAGACACAGTTTAAGACTTGCTAAAGCATGCTACCAAAAAGCATGCACGAAGACTTTTGTGATGCTTAATGAGAAAAGAAGTTTAAAGATATATATTGATATAGTGAATTATACTGATTGATATTCAAATGTTAAACCAACCTTGCATTCCTGGTCATGATAAATTATCTTTTAATTACTGTTAGATTCAATTTACTAATATTTTGTTAAGAGTTTTTGTTTCTATGTTTATTTGATTCTTGTAATGTCTTTGACTAGTTTTGATATCAGGTTAATACTGACCTCATAGGATAAGTTGGGAAGTGATAACTTCCTCCTCTATTTTTTGTAAAAGTTTGTATGGGAGTGATGTTATTTCTTCTTTTAATATTTGATAGAATTCACCAGTGAAGTCGTGTGGGCCTGGAGTTTTCTTCGAGGGAAATTTTAATTTTTTTTAAGTTACAAATTTAATTTTTTTACATTGTATGTTTTAAAGTTTAAATTGTGATAAAATGTACATAACAAAATTTACCATTTTTAGGTGTAGAGTTCAGCAGCATTAAAGACATTCACATTGTTGTACATCCATCACTGCCATCCATCTCCAGAACTTTTTCTTTTTCTTTTTCTTTTTTTTTTTTTTTGAGACGGAGTTTCACTCTTGTTGCCCAGGCTGGAGTGCAATGGTGTGATCTCGGCTCACCTCCACCTCCACCTCCTGGGTTCAAGTGATTCTTCTGCCTCAGCCTCCCAAGTAGCTGGGAATACAGGCATGAGCCACCACCCTGGCTAATTTTGTATTTTTAGTAGACACAGGGTTTCTCCATATTGGTCAGGCTGGTCTTGAACTCCCGACCTCAGGTGACCCACCCACCTCAGCCTCCCAAAGTGCTGGGATTACAAGCATGAGCCACCGTGCCTGGCCATCTCCAGAACTTTTTCATCTTCCCTAACTGAAACTCTGTATCCATTAAACAATAACTCCCCATTTCTCTCCCCTCAGACCCTGGAAACCACTATTCTGCCTTCTGTCTCTGTGAATTGGACTACTCTATGTGCTTCATACAGGTGTAATCATATGGCATTTGTCCTTTTGCATCTGACTTATTTCATTTAGCATAATGTTTTCAAAGTTAATTAATCTTGTAGCATGTTTCAGGATTTCCTTCTCTAGTTGACATATGGCATTCAGATTTTGTGTTTTCTTGAGTTTGATAATTCATGTATTTCAGGAGATTTGTTCACTTCACATAATTGCTTAAATTATTGGCATAAAGTTCTTTATAAGATTTTCTTCTTTTTTTTTTTGTCTGTAGGATCTGTGATATGTTCCCTCTCTCATTCCTGAGGTAGTGATTTGGGTTTTCTTTTTTTTTTTGATCAGTTCACCAAAAGGTTTATCAATTTTATTCATTTTTCAAAAAAAGTAGATTTTGGTTTTATTGGTTTTCTTCATTGTTTGTCTATCTTCTATTTCATTGATTTCTCCTCCTCTTTTTTTTCTTTTTTTTTTTTGTTGTTGTTGTTGTTGAGATGGAGTCTTGCTGTCGCCCAGGCTGGAGTGCAGTGGCATGATGTCAGCTTACTACAACCTCTGCCTCCCAGGTTCAAGTGATTCACCTACCTCAGCCTCCCGACTAGCTGGGATTACAGGTGCCCACCACTGCACCCAGCTAATTTTTATTTTTTTAGTAGAGATGGGGTTTCACCATGTTGGCCAGGCTGGTCTCGAATTCCTGGCCTCAAGTGATTCACCTGCCTCAGCCTCCTAAAGTGTTGGGATTACAGGCGTGAGCCACCACCCCCAGCCAATTTCTCCTTTTTCTTATTTCCTTTCTGTATTCACTTTGGGTTTAATTTGTTCTTGTTCTGATTTTTAGGATGGAGTTTAAACAATTGATTTCTGTTCTGTTTAAACATTTTTTCTATTCTAATGTAAGCATTCAGAGCTATACATTTCCTTCTAAGCACTGCTTTAGCACAAATTTACCACAAATTTTGATGTTTTATTTTCATTTGGTTCAAAATATTTTCTAATTTCCCTTGTGATTTATTCTTTGAACCATGGATTATTTGGATATATGTTATTTAATTTTTAAATATTAGGAAATATTCTAGATATCTTTCTGTTATTGATTTCTAATTTAATTCTGTAAAGTCAGAGAGAATACTCATCATCATGATTTCAGTCCTTTTAAATTAATTGAAATTTGTTTTATGGCCCAGCATATGGTTCATCAAAGTGAATGTTAACGAACCCTTAAAAAGAGTGTGTATTGTGTTACTGTTGAATAAAGGGTTTTAGAAATGTCGATTAGGTCGATTAGGTCAATTTGGTCAATAGTGTTATTCAAATCTTTTAAATCCTTTCTAATTTTCTGTCTACTTGTTCTAGTGGCAGGGCAAGGAATGTTGAACCCTTCAGAATCATAGATTTATTTATTTCTACTTTCAGTTCTATTAATTTTGCTTCCTGTATTTTGAAGTTATGTTATCAGGTGTGTACACGTTTAGGATGGATTTGACATTTGATCACGTTTATGATGAATTGACTCTTTTATCCTTAGAAATGTTCATCTTTATTCTTAATAACATTCTTTACTCTAAGTATATTTTGTATACTTTAAGCCATTCCAGCTTTATTATTATTATTATTCTTTTGAGAAGGAGTTTTGCTCCTGTTGCCCAGGCTGGAGTGCAATGGCGTGATCTTGGCTCACTGCAACGTCCGCCTCCCAGATTCAAGCAATTCTCCTGCCTCAGCCTCCCAACTAGCTAGGACTACAGGTGCCCACCACCATACCCAGCTAATTTTTGTATTTTTAGTAGAGATGGAGTTTCACCATGTTGGCCAGTCTGGTCTTGAATTCCTAACCTCAAGTGATCTGCCCACCTCAGCCTTTCAACGTGCTGGGATTGCAGGCATGAGCCACTGTGCCCAGCCTCCATTCCAGCTTTCTTATGCTTAGTGTTCCATGGTATATCTTTTTCTATTATATTACTTTTAACCTATCTGCATTTTTATATTTAAAGTGGGTTTCTCATAGATAGCACATAGTTGATTCTTGCTGTTTTATACAGTCTGACAATCTCTGCCTTTAATTAGAGTGCTTAGGTCGTTTACATTTACTGTAATTATTGATATGACTGTGTTTAAATCTACCATGTTACTGTTTGTCCCACCTGTTGTTTGTTCCCTATTCCTCCTTTCCTGCCTTCTTTTGGATTAAGTATGCTTTAGTATTCTGTTTCATCTCTACTATTGTCTTGTTGATTGATTGATTGAGACAGGCTCTCACTCTGTTCCCCAGGTTTCATAGCTCATCACAGCCTCAAACTCCTGGGCTTGAGCAATCCTCCCACCTCAGCCTCCTGAGTAACTGGGACTACCACCATGCCCAGCTAACCACTGTTATCTTATTGGTTCCTTTTCTGTCTTCCTTAGTGGTTTTCATAGGGTTTATAATTTCATCTTTAACTTATATAAATATATCTTCAAATAATATTATACCACTTCATCTCTGTCTACTGTTAAGATTTTTCTCTTTATCACTGATATCAGTAATTGATTATGATCTGCCTTGGTGTACTTTATTTGCTGTACTTTTCTTTGTGTTAATTCTATTTGGGATCCTTTGAATTTCTTAGATATGTGGGTTCCATGATCATATTAGTAATAGATGTTTTATAGTTCTTATCTACTAGTTCTATCATTCCATTATCTGGGCCTAGGTATAGGTCATAATATCCTGCTTTGTGGCATGTCTAATGATTTTTTATTGGATACTGGACATTGTGAATTTTACACTTTTGGGCACTAGATTTTGTTATATTCCTTTAAAGATTGTTTGACTTCATTCTGAGAGATGATAAAGTTACTTGCAGATCAGTTTGATCCTTTCCAGGCTTGCTTTAAGGCTTTTATAAGGGTGGGTCTAGAGTAGACTTTTACTTGAGAGCTAGTTTAGCCCCACTGCTAAGGAGTGACCATTCTGGGGCCTCTACTGAAGGTCTTGTGTCTGAGGTTTGTCTGTTCTGGGTAGTGGAAACTTGAATAATTATTGGCCCCGTGTAAGCTCTGAGAATTCTTCAGTCTGTAGTCACCCAGTAATTCTTCTTTCCCCAGCAGTTGTTTTGGCCGGTCTTCTGAAGTTCCACCCTACATTTGCATAGATTGCATACATCCGAAGACCCAAGGGACCCCATGCAGATTGTTGCATAGGAGCTCCTTCTATGCATAGCTTCTCCCTGGTACTTTCCTACTAATTTTGGCCTCCTTTGGTCTGCCTAGCCTCTGATCTCTGTCTATTCAACTTGGCACGTCTGCTGGACTGCATTTAGGTCTTTTCTCTTTGTGCTGCTGTCCTGGAATTGCCTCTGGGTAGAAAGCTGGGTAATCGTAGGTCATAGGTCTCACATTTTCCCCCTCCTTCTCTTGAGGTTCACAATCGTGCACTGCCTGTTGTCCAGTGTCTGAAAGCAGACATTTCATACATTTCCCAGGTTTTCTGATTGTTTATGGCACAAGGGCAAGTCCTTAGCAGTTTCTCCTTCCTGGGTGGAAGTGTGCCATCAGCGTGTGTGTGACCAGAGGAAGCAGCAAGGCACTGGGGGTTCCCTGTGCATCCCTCACATCCCGCAATTTATGTCACCAGACCATCACAGGATCCCCAGCCTCTGGAACAGCAGGCCATGGGAGTGCCTGGTTGTGGGGGGTCACCTGGTCAGACCCTGACTAAGGCTACTCTGCCTTAGTGGTAGGGATCTTCAGTTCAATCTAAGAATGACTCACTTAGACCTCAGCTGACTCTAGGGTATTTGAGAGGGGCCTGTAAAGTGGGCATTTACTGTCACAGTCTTCCTCTTGGTGGGACAGAACTTGGGTTACAAATGACAGTGTTTGGGGTACATTTGAGGTCCCTGGAATGTGGTTCATGACACAAAGTCAGCCACTTCTGGGGCTTCCTTTCAGCTGAAAAATCGATGTTAGACTCCCAGGAGCTAATCTCAGAGAAGCTAGCAGCACCCGGGTTGACTGATATTTGAGTCATCCTCTTACTGCTTCCCAGCACCCACAGGATAAAGTAGTAGCTCAGAGAGCAGGCCTCTGGGCTCTGGGCCCTGCAACCCCTGCAGCCCCTTCCCACTCATGCACCTCTGCCTGAATGTTCCAGGGGACCTGTGCTCCCTTGGTCTGGATCATAGCCATTTCTCCCCTCTCTCCACAGCAAATTGCCTGGATTCAAATCCTGTGTCTACCATTTACTATGTGTGTAACCTTGGGTCAATTTTAAACCTCAGTTTCTCCATGTTTGTGTAAGATGAGCATAAAAACAACACCTGCAGCCAGGCGTGGTGGCTCATGCCTGTAATCTCAGCAACTTGGGTTGACTGGGCATTGAGTGGATTGCAGGGTGCAGCTGTGCACCTGGCATTTATTGAGCACCTGCTGTGTGCCAGGCACCATTCTTAGCACTTCTCATGTAGAACTGACACTCTTCACAACAAACTTGCCAGGAGGAACTCTTCTTATATCCATCTAAGATGAGGAAACTGAGGGGCAGAGGAGGTGAGTAACTCATCCAGGGTCCCAGAGTTAGCACGTGATACAGCAGGGATGCTGAGCCCAGATCCAAATTGAAGCTGGCTGACTACACAGCCCATACTGTTAACCACTGGGCAATCCTGCCTCAAGAGCTGTTGGCTAATGTTACTATTGTTACCATCCAGCTCTCGGTGAGGTAAGTTGAGTTTTCCTCCAGGGAGTCTTCATTGACTGCCCGGGTGGAGTGCATGCTAGCAATATGAAATTTGTGCCGAGTGTCCTTCCTATGTCCCAGAAGCCCTTCCTCTCCCAGAAGGGCTTCTCCCTTCTCACTCTGGTTTCAGAGCAGCATTTGCCTTTTCCTGTTTTGCTGCTCTGGAAGGTGACATGGTACGGGGTTCCAAGTGTGACATTGGAGTGAGCAAGCCCTCCCCACACTCCCTGACTGTACGTCCATAGGAAAATCACTTCGCCCCTCTGTGCTGCATTTTCACCATCCCCACACAGCTGATGTTACCTGAAGATAGGGAGGATTGTGTGGGATCATGCATGGGAAGTGGGCACACTGCGGCTGGGACTCAGTCAGTGGTGATTATTCTGGGCATGTCTCAGAAGAGCATTTTGCAGCTACTCACGGGTGCGTGAGACTATGTTGGTTTCTTGGGGATATTTAGAAGTTCCTGATGTCAACCAAGTACAACAAGGACTCCAAGATGTACCGTGCGCTCCAGACTGTGTTTGGTGAGAGGTAAGGAGGCGTGGTGGAAGGCCCGGGTGGGAGGTCAGGAGAGCCCTGCTGTGAGCGAGGGCCAGTGTGGTCCAGAATGTGGGGTGTAGAATTGAGCCTGAGGCCCTGGCTGCCAGGCATGTGATGAGTGCCCCGTAAACAGTGGCCCCACTCTTGTCACAAGCACTTTCCTCCTTCTCCCCCAACCTCCAGATGGCAGGGAATGTAGAGGCCACTGAGGTTGGCCTCACAATCATCCTGTTCCTTTTTAAGTTGTTTTTAAAATTCCAGTAAAACTGACATAACATTCACCATTTTTCCCGCCTTAGAGGGTACAGTCTAGTGGAATTCAGTACATTCACAATGTGGCGCAACCATTGCCACGACCTGGCCCCAAAACCATTTCCTCATCCCAAAATGTGACCCCAAGCCCATCACGCAGTCACTCCCCACCCCCCACCCCCCACCCTCTTTCCTGCATCAAGTGTGTGTCTCCTGCAGACTCTTCGGCCAAGGCTTGGTGTCCGAATGCAACTATGAGCGTTGGCACAAGCAGCGGCGAGTCATAGACCTGGCCTTCAGCCGGAGGTGAGTGTGGCCGGAGGCTCCGTGGCTCCTGCCTGTCTAGAGGCGGTGGGGACTGTTGAAGCGTACGTGGGCCTTGGGGAGGGAAGTGTCCACCTAAGGGGGCCTCACTCAGCTGAAGGGAGAGAAGGAAAAGGGGAAAGACAGAGTGTTAACAGTCAAAAGGGAGAGAGAGAGACAGGCTGGCCCAGTGGGGATGAATGAGGCTCCCATGCAGTTTGGGAACATCAAGGGCTGAGTGCCCATGATGGCCAGAAGCATGGGGGTTCCTGTTCTCCAAGAGCTCCCCCCATCAGACCTCATCACTCCTCGTCAGGGCTTCTTCTTTTATTCATTTTAGTTTTTGTGTTTTGGTGATATAGTTGTGCTTTGTATAATAATGTTTCAGTCGATGACGGAATGCATATGTGACAGTGGTCCCATAAAATTATAATGGAGCTGAAAATTGCTATTGCCTAGTGATGCTGTAGCCATGGTAATGTCGAAATGCAACGCGTTAGTCGCATGTTTGTGGTGGTGCTGGTGTAAACAAACCTACTGCACTGCCAGTCATACCAAAGTCTAGCAGATGCAATTATGGACAGTACATAATATAGATAATGATAATAATTGACTATGTTACTGATTTATGTATTTACTACAATTTTAACCATTCTTTTAGAGTAGGTTCCTTCTATTTATATATTTTTTTAAAAGTTTACTGTACAACAGCCTCAGGCAGGTCCTTCAGGAGGCATCCACAAGAAGGCATTGTTATCATAGGAGATGACAGCTCCATGCCTGTTATTGCCCCTGAAGATTTTCCAGTGAGGCAAGATGCGGAGGTGGAAGGCAGTGATATTGATGATCCTGACCCTGCGTAGGCCTAGGCTAATGTGTGTGTTTGTGTCTTAGTTTTTCACAAAAAAGTTTTAAAAATAAAAAATAATAATAAAGCATATAGAATAAGGATACAAAGAAGATAATATTTTTGTACAATTGAACAGTGTTTGTGTTTTAAGCTAAGTGTTACTACAGGAGTCAAAAATATTAAAAAATTGAGAAGTTTATAAAGTAAAAAGTTCTAGTAAGCTAAGGCTAATTTATTATTGAAGAAAGAAAAAAATTTTTTTTTTTTTTTTTGAGACGGAGTCTTGCTCTGTCGCCCAGGCTGGGGTGCAGTGGCCGGATCTCAGCTCACTGCAAGCTCCACCTCCCGGGTTTACGCCATTCTCCTGCCTCAGCCTCCTGAGTAGCTGGGACTACAGGCACCCGCCACCTCGCCCGGCTAGTTTTTTGTATTTTTTAGTAGAGATGGGGTTTCACCGTGTTAGCCAGGATGGTCTCGATCTCCTGACCTCGTGATCCACCCGTCTCGGCCTCCCAAAGTGCTGGGATTACAGGCTTGAGCCACCGCGCCCGGCCAGAAAAAAATTTTTAAACTCAGTGTAGCCTGTGTCTAGCTTTTATAAGTCTACAGTAGTGTGCAGTAATGTCCTAGGCCTTCACACTCACCATTCACTCACTGACTCACCCAGAGCAACTTCAGTCCTGCAAGCTCCATTCATGGTAAGTGCCTTATACAGGTGGACCATTTAAAAAAATCTTTTAGACTGTGTTTTTACTGTGCCTCTTCTATGTTCAGATATACAAATACATTGTGTTTCAGTAACCTGTTGCAGAGGTGTACAGCCTAGGAGCAATAGTCTAGACCGTATGGCCTAGGCGTGGGGTAGGCTATACTGTCTAGCATTGTGTAAGTATACTCTGTGCTGTTCACACAATGAAGACATTCCCTAACGACACATTTCTCAGAATGTATCCTTGTCGTTAAGTAACACATGACTGTATTTTACTTTTTAAATAACTTTTATGGAGGTATAGTTCACATACCATACAGCTCACCCATTTAAAGTGTAAAATTCAATGGTGTTAGTTTATTCATAGAATTGTATAACCATCAACACAGTATATTTTAGAACATTTTCATCACCCTCAAAAGCAGTCATTCAGCTGGGCGTGGTGGCTCACGCCTGTAATCCCAGCACTTTGGGAGGCCAAGGTGGGCGGATCACCTGAGGTCAGGAGTTCATGACCAGCCTGGCCAACATGGAGAAACCACATCTTTACTAAAGATACAAAAATTAGCTGGGTGTGGTGGCACATGCCTGTAATCCCAGCTACTTGGGAGGCTAAGGTAGGAGAATCACTTGAACCCGGGAGCTGGAGGTTGCAGTGAGCTGAGATCATGCCACTGCACTCTAGCCTGGGTGACAGAGCAAAACTCCATCTCAAAAAAAAAAAAAAAAAGCAGTCACTCCCCATTTCTTCCCAATTCCCCTATCTGCTGCTGGCAACCACTAATTACTTTCTGTGTCTATGGATTTTTGCATTGTAGACATTTCATATAAATAGAATCATGCAATACAAGGTCCTTTATGCCTGGCTTCTTTCATTAGCATCATGTTTCTAAGGCTCATCCGTGGTGTCATCTATATTAATGCCTCGTTCCTTTTTATTGCCAAATAATATTTCATTGTATGGATATACCACATATTGTTTATCCATTCATCAGTTAATGGACTTTTGGGTTGTTTCCACTTTTTGGCTGTTATGAAAAATGCTGCTATGAGCATTTTTGTACAAGTGTTTGTATGGACGTATGTTTTCATTTCTCTTGGATAGTTACCTAGTGGAATTTCTGAGTCATATTGGTAACTCTATTTTAACATTGTAAAGAAGGTAATCTTTAACTTTGATATAATTTTGAATTTATAGAAAAATCGCCAGAATAGTGTAAGGGACTCTTGTATCTCTTTTACCCAGATTCACTTATTGTTTATTATTTAAATCACCATTTGCTTTATAATTTCTTCTCTTTATGAGTGTATATGTAAATGTATTTATCATTGTGTGTGTATACATATATTTTTTATATACTACATATTTTATAAAACCATTTAAGAGTAAGTTAGAGACATTGCACTCTCCACCTTTAAATACTTCCATGTGTATTTCCTAAGAACAATGACTACAAACTATAGTTTATCAAAATGAGAAAATTAATGATATTAATCTAATACTGTTATCTAATTCACAGTTCATATTCAAAATTTGTCATTTGTGCAGTTGTAGCTGTTTTATTTGTCTAAAACCTAATCCATGTTCATGTGTTTCATTTAATTCCCCTGTCACTTTAGCCCCCTTTATTCTAGAACAGTTCTCAGCCTTTCTTTGGCTTTCTTTACCTTAACATTTTTTAAGATGACAGGACAGTTTTGTAGATGGTCCTTCAGTTTGAATTTGTCAGCTGTCTCTCTGCACTGTTAGACTCAGGCTATCCCTCTTTAGTGGTAATGCTACAGAGTGATGCTGTGTCCTCCTTGGGGCATTGTATCAGGAGGCACATGCTACTGATCTGTCCCATTGCTGGCCATGTTAAGTTTGCTCAGTGGTTGAGGTGGTGCCTTCCAGGTTTCTCCACTGTGAAGCTACTCTTGACTATCTAATCTGTGGAGGACTGCATAAACATTCTTGCTGGAACTCTTGCTACAGCCTCCTTGTTGGCTACTCCTGTTTCCCACCTCCAATATATCCACTCACCACCCTGGAGAGATCTTGTTAAAACAGATATGACCATGCCACTCCCCTGTTCTGAAGCCATCAATGGCTTCCTATCAGCTGAGAGATGAAGATCAGACCCCATTCACCCTCAGTCTGCCCCTAAACCCCTCCAACCTTTGCATCCCCTCTCCCCAGCCTTTCTGGATACCACTATGCTCTTTCTGGCATCTCTGCTGTTCCCATTGCCTCAATGTGAACCTCTGGGGAATTCCTGTTCCTCCTTTGATACCCAGCTAAGATGTCACCTACTGAGGCTGAGTTCATGCCTCCATCAAGGCACCTGTCACACCCAATGCAGTGCTTCCATTCATGTCCACCTCCCTCACTAGACCACGGATCCCTGAAGGCAGAAGACGCACCCTGTCCCTGACTCCTGCGCCCAGCACCAGGCACCCCACAAGCCCTCCAGGAATGCCCATAGAGTGAATGAATGCGTAAGTGAATCAATGAATTGGAATAGCCTCAGTCTTACTGGAAAGTTGTCAGAAGTGAAAATGGGAAGGAATAGACTGGAAAGAGACATTTATTTAAAAAAATACTTATTGTGCTGAGAGCCAGGGTTACAAAGGCCAGCCAAGCAAACTTCAGGAAGCTTTGAGGTTATGGGAGACATCAATTCTAACCAGATGATGGCCCACATGATCATGACATAACCATATCATTGTCTTGATGAAGCATCTCAGCACATAGAACCTCGTGAACAGTGCTTTATAGTTTATGAAGTGCTTTCACAGACATTTTCATTTTTTAACTTTTTATACACATAGCATAAAGTTTACCATCTTAACCATTTTTAGGTGTGCAGTTCAGTGGTATTAAATTCATTCACATTATTACACAGCATCACCAGATATTTTTATTTTTTAATCTCACAATAAGGTGTCATCTTAGAGATGACTGTTTTATTGTAAATGCCAAATTTACAAGGCTTTATGAAAGAAACTTTAGAAAATGCCTATAAGTGTTTATGAAAGTATTCTTGAGCCTTGATGAATCCTAATTCACTAATGAAGAAAAAATAGGAACCACTGATGAGTTTCATCTCCAACCATTACCCACACAGAATATCCTTTCGTACTTTTAATAAAATTGTGAGAGTAAATTGCTAGTTTCTACTTTTCTAGATTTTGGTTTTATGGGAAGACCTTGGTCTGAGTCCACCAAGGGAGTCAGGATTTTATTGTTCACCTAACACTGTAGCCCAGTTTTGTTTCTACAATAGCTGTAAGAGATTCAGTGTTTCTGCAATAACTGGCCACATACTATCTGGATAATCAACTTAAATGTGATTAAAAAAAAAAAAACAACAAATAATCTTGCAAATTTTACTTACCAACCATGTAATGGTTATGAGAAAAAGTCAAGGGTGTTGTGGGAGCATATATGGCACTTACCTGGGGCTCAAGAGTTATTGCCTGAGGAAGTGGCCTTTGAGTGTCCATCTGGAAAAGGGAGGCATTCAGGTAGTGATGGTTGTAGGGGATGGAGGGTGAGTGCTCCAGGAGAGGGGATGTGTGTGCACCAGCCCCAAGGTGGGCAGGAGCATTGTATTTGGAGGAGCTAAAAGGCCCTTGGAACAGGAAGGCAACGTTACAGGTAGAGGTCAGCAAGAAGTGGACTCCAGCTCTTAAGCTCAGATGAAGATTTTCATCCCCCTCCTAAGAGCAACAGCATGCTTCAAAGTGTTTTATGTTGCAAAGGGACCAGATGAGAGTGGAGAACCCCAGGCTCGCCTGCTGCCAGGCGTGTGCATGGGCTAGATGGGCAATGAAGAGCTGGTTACTACTTTAGTTTTTCTTCTCCCATTCTCTCTCTCTCTCTTTCTCTTTTTTAGAGACAGGGTCTCGCTCTTTCACCCAGACTGGAGTGCAGTGGTGTGACCATAGCTTACTCTAACCTAGGCCTCCTGGGCTCAAGTGATCCTCCTCCCTCGGCCTTTCAAGCAGCTGGGGCTACAGGAGTGTGCCACCACGCCCAGCTATTTTTTTTTTTTTTTTTGGTAGAGACAGAGTCTTGCTGTGTTGTCCAGGCTGGTCTGGAACTCCTGGCCACAAGCAATCCTCCTGCTTTCGCCTTCCAAAGTGTTGGGATTTTAGGCATGAGCCCCTGGCCCTGGCCCCATTTTCTCTTTTTAAAAACTTTCTATTTGGAAATAATTTCAATTTTTCAGATATGTTTCAAGAATAAGAATAGGACAAAGAATACACATGTACTCTGTACTCAGATTAATATTAAAAGATTAACATTTCTAGAGCCGGGCACGGTGGCTCACGCCTGTAATCCCAGCACTTTGGGAGGCCAAGGTGGGCAGATCATGAGGTCAGGAGTTTGAGACTAGCCTGGCCAACATGGTGAAACCCCGTCTCTACTAAAGCTACAAAAATTAGCCAGCCATGCTGGCGCGTACCTGTAATCCCAGCTACTCAGGAGCCTGAAACAGGAGAATTGCTTGAACCCAGGAGGCAGAGGTTGCAGTGAGCCAAGATTGCACTACTGCACTCCAACCTGCATGATAGGGCAAGACTCCGTCTAGGAAAAACAAACAAACAAACAAATAAATAAATAAATAGAACATTTCTTTGAATGATAAAAGCAGCATTTTCTCTTAGCAAAATTTCAGAGACATGTAATGTACAAAGTGGCAGTCCCCTCCTTCCAACTCCCTTGGGGTTGCCATTTTTGTGAGTTTAGAGTGCATTCTTCTGTATGTCTTTCTAAGCTCTGTGCCTGGGAGGGAGCCATGTGGGTTGGGAGCTCTGGGGTGCAAATGGTATCTGAGGACTCATTTCCACATAGAGATGGACACCATGATTGCTCAAGGACAGGCAGTGAAGTGGGAAAACAAAATGCTGCAGCTGGTGCCCAGGGCAGGGCAGGTAAGGAGAGCAGGCAATGGGAGTAGAGGGGCAGGAGGGGAACCGGGGCTGCCCTCTCATGGACTCTAGGAGGCCCAGAGTTTCTACACTGTCATGCCCTTTTGAGATCAGGGCTGAGGGGCCACAGTGACCAACAGAGGACCTGTGGAACTGTTAGGACAAGAGCAACAGAACAGCATTCATCCTGAGTGGAGGAGAATGGTGAAACCCCAGGGTTTAGTTCAGTTACTACAACTCCAACCTGCAATCTGGGTCTCATGGGGAGGCCAGAAAGACGGGAGGGACCACCCACCTTCACTCTGCACAGTATCCTCTCTGCGGAGAGGGAGGGCACGTGGCAGTCCACTATATTGGGCTGGCCAGTGGCCGTTGATGCCTGTGCTGTTTCTCCAGCTCCTTGGTTAGCTTAATGGAAACATTCAACGAGAAGGCTGAGCAGCTGGTGGAGATTCTAGAAGCCAAGGCAGATGGGCAGACCCCAGTGTCCATGCAGGACATGCTGACCTACACCGCCATGGACATCCTGGCCAAGGTGATGGGTGACAGTCGGGCATGGGGGCCAGGAGGGCCACATGGGGTAGAGGGGTCTCTTCTCTCCCTCTTCCCTTTCCTTTTCTCTTCCCCTCCCTCCTGTCCTCTAACATACCAGCAACTCCTGTGTGCTTCATATATTCTGTATACATTCTGTCTCCTTGAATATTCAAAGCAACCTAGTGTGAGTTTGGGGCTACTAACTCATTCTTGAGCAAGGGACAGGTGCAGGGCCTGGCCTGGAGCTGGTCAATGGCAGAAGCAAGATTTGATCTCAGGTCTGCCTGACTCTCAGCCCAAAGGCTGCCTTCACTCTGCACTCCCTATAGGGTATGACTTGGCTCTTCACCCCAGTAGACTCAGCAGTGGCCCCAGTAACCCCAAACCCCACTTTATGTGGGGGTGGGGCAGGTCAGGGAACTGCAGTGTGGGGACAGTGACTGGATTCCTCTTATCACATTGCTATTCCTTTATCATTTTTGCTATTCATTCACTTCACTGTGAAGCAAGTATAGAATGAACACTTAAGGAAGGTTGCATTTCAGGGGAAATGCATCTTGTCAAGGAAGAAAGCTAAGTTTATTGAATAGCTACTATGAGCTACTTCATCCTCACAGCATTCCATGGGGATCAAATTATCATGGGTTCTCGTAAGCAGCTGATGATATGATGCATATAAACCCTTAACTCAGAGTCCAGGTGTCTAGCAGAATGATGCCAGGCTTTGCCCTGGATCTGCTGCCCTTCTGTGCCCCAGGGATGACCTTGCCTTTCTCTCTCCCCCAGGCAGCTTTTGGGATGGAGACCAGTATGCTGCTGGGTGCCCAGAAGCCTCTGTCCCAGGCAGTGAAACTGATGTTGGAGGGAATCACCGCATCCCGCAACACTCTGGCAAAGGTACTGCCTCAGCACCCCCTCTGGTGACCAGCCACCAGAGCTGTTGTCTTCACTTGCTGAAGAACCTCCTTCAGTGATTTTTTTTTTTTCAGAATGTGTTTTGAGTTCTGGTATGTCTGAAGTGGCTTCTGAATCAGGTTTTGCATGCGTTGCCTAAAGTAAAGGCTTAAAATCAAATTGGCTTAAAGTGAATTAGGAGTTAATCTTTCTCTCATTTGAAATGATCCCCAAAGCAGGCAATCTAGGATGACTATGATGGCTCCACGGTGTCAGATTTTCCGGATCCTTCTGTCTTTCTGTTTCACTGTCTCAGCACATCACCTCATTGTCATAAGATGGCTGCTGCGAAAGGTGCAGCACCCTGCCTGCCACTGCCTATGCCCACATGGGGCCTGGGAACCAATCTGCCCCATCCACTGCAGCCACCATCACCTGCACGCACTGTCCAGGGACCAGACATGCCCCACCCACTGCTAGCACCCATGTGCATTGTCTAGGGGCCCGAGGAATGGTCTACCATGACTGCTGCAACCAGCGCCTGCCATTGAGAGGGCCTGAGGAGAGGCCTGCCCCACTTGCTGACACTGGCCCCCACATGCATCATCCAGGGGCCTGAGGACAAGCCTGCCCAGCCCACGACCCACTGTTGCCTGCACTCAAGCATGCCATCTGGAGGCCTGGGGATTGGCCTGCTCTGCCTAACGTAGGTAGTGCCTGTGTGCAATATTGGAGGACACCTGAGGATAGGCCCATCCCTCCTGCTACTGCTGGTGCCCACATATGCCATCCAAGGGCCTGAGCACAGGCCCATCCTAACCACTGTTGCCACCAGTGGTGCTCAAGGACTGGCCTGCCTGGCATCTCCATCCCCAGCAAAGCCTCAGCATGGCCTCCACTAACAATGACAGTCTAAGTCACTGAGAAACTCAGAGATACCACTGACACTGATTACAGCTGAAGAAATTAAACAGAAACTATGCTACTGTGCCAATCCATAATCAAATCCAAAGCACCCTACCCACCCAACACTATGGACGCATCTATAGAAAAGTATTTCCCTATGAAAGCCAATCCATAAAATTGGAAGAAGTAACTGTTACACCAGATGCACATAAGGGCAAAAGAAACATGGAAAAAACAGGGAAACGCTACACTTTCCAAGAAACACAATAATTCTCCAGCAACAGATTCCAAAGAAAATAAAATTTATTATATGTCTGAAAAAGAATTCAAAATAATGACATTAAACTCAGTGAGACACAAGAGAACACAGATAAAAATGCAAAGAAATCAGGAAAACAATTCATGACCTGAATGAGAAATTCAACAGAGAGATAGATATCATAAAAGAGAAACAAACAGAAATCTTAAAACTGAGGAATTCAGTGAATGGAATAAAAATATAATTGAAAGCTTCAACAATAGACTAGATTAAACAGAAGAAAGAATTCCTGAACTTGAAGAGAGGTATTTTTTGAAATAACCCAATCAGACCAAAAAAAGAAAAGAAAAGAAAAGATTGAAGAAAGTCTTTGTGACATATGGGACAGCAGTAAGTGACCAAATATTCCAGTTCCGGGAATTTCAGGAGACGAGATGGGCATAGGCATATGAAACCTATTTAATGAAATAATAGCTGAAAACTTCTCAAGTCTTGCAAAAGATATAGACATCCAGGTACAGGAGATATAGAGATCCAGGTATAGTTGTGCTTTGTATAATGATGGAAGCTCAAAAATCTCCAAGTAGATTCAACCCAAAAAGGTCTGCCTTCTCCAAGGCACATTATAGTCAAACTGTCAAGAGTCAAAGACACAGAGAGAATTTTAAAAACAGCAAGAGATAAGCATGAATTCACATATAAAGGAATCAGACTAACAGTAGATTGCTCAGTGAAAATCTCACAGGCCAGGAGAGAATGGGATAATATATTCAAAGTGCTGGAAATTTAAAACTGTCAGTCAAGATTATAGTACCCAGTAATGCTATACTTCAAAACTGAAAGAGAAATAAAGTCTTTCCCAGACAAGCAAAAACCGAGGTAAGTCATCACTACTAGACTGGCCCTACAAGAAATGTTTAAGGGAGTTCTGCATCTGGAAGTGAAAGAATAATCTCTATCATCATGAAAGCACATGAAAGTATAAAACACACTGATCGAGCAGATCAGCAAATGAGAAAGAGAAAGGAGTTAAATATTACTATTACAGAATGTTTACCAAATTGCAATGATAAACAGTAAGAGAGGAAGACAGGCATAAAATATATACAGAACAACCAGAAAACAATTAACCAAATGACTAGAATAAGTCCTTACATATCAATAATAATCTTGAATGTAACCAGATTAAATTCCCCCACTTAAAAGATATAGATTGGCTGAATGGATAAAAAAAAATTACACAACTATATGCTGCCTACAAGAAACTCACTTCACCTGTAAAGACACATGCAGTCTGAAAGTAAAGGAATGGAAAAAGATATCCACACAAACACAAGCCAAAGCTGTCAGGAGTAGCTATAATTATATCAAATAAAACAGACTTTAAGTCAAAGACTGTAAAAAGAGACCAGGTCATTATATAATGATAAAGGGATCAATTCTACAAGAAGATAAAATACTTCTAAATATATTTGCACCCAATACCAGAGCACCCAGAGATAGAAAGCAAAGATCTAAAGGAAAAGATAGCCTCTAATACAATAATAGCTGGGGACTTCAACACTCCACTCTCAGCATTGTACAGATCATCTAGACAGAAAATCATCACAGAAACATTGGATTTAACTACACTTTAGACCATATAGACCGAATAGACATTTGCATAACTTTTCATCTAATAGCTGCAGAATATACATTCTTCTCATCAGCACATGAAAGATTATCCAGGATAGATCATATGTTAGGCCACAAAAGAAATTTCAACAAATTTTAAGAAATTGAAATCATATCAAGTATCTTCTCAGCACAATGGAATAAAACTAGAAATCAATAACAAGAGAAACTTTGGAAATGGTACACATACATGGGAATTAAACAGTATACCCCTGGATGACCATTGGGTCAATGAAGAAATTAAGCAGGAAACAAAAAAAATTCTTGAAACAAATGAAAAGGGGAACACAACATACCAAAACCTATGTGATATACAGCAAAAGCAGTGCTAATAGGGATATTTATAACAGTAAACACATCAAAAAAAAAAAAAGGAAGATTTCAAATAAACAGCCAAATGATGTATCTCAAGGAATTAGAAAAGTAAGAACAAATCAAACCCAAAATTAGTAGAAGGAAATAAATAATAAATATCATAGCAGAATTAAAGGAAGTAAGGACTAAAAAAAGTACAAAGGATCAATGAAGTGCAAGGTTGATTTTTGGAAAAGATAAAATCAATAAACCAATAAATAGACTATCCAAGAAAAAAAAGACCCATATAAATAAAAGCAGAAACTAAAAAGGAGACATTACAACTGATACCACAGGAATACAAATGATCATTACAGATTTTTATGAACAACTCTACACTAAACAATTGGAAAACTTAGAAGAAATGGAATTCCTGGACACATACACCCTGCCAAGATGATTGAACAAGGAAGAAATAGAAAACCTGAACAGACCAATGGTGAGTAATGAGTTTGAAATACTGATAAAAAGTCTTGCACATTTATGCAGCCAACAGACACATGAAAAAATGCTCATCATCACTGGCCATCAGAGAAATGCAAATCAAAACCATGATGAGATATTGTCTCACACCAGTTAGAATGGTGATCATTAAAAAGTCAGGAAGCAACAGGTGCTGGAGAGGATGCGGAGAAATAGGAACACTTTTACACTGTTGGCGGAACTGTAAACTAGTTCAACCATTGTGGAAGACAGTGTGGTGATTCCTCAAGGATCTAGAACTAGAAATACCATTTGACCCAGCCATCCCATTACTGGGTATATACCCAAAGGATTATAAATCATGCTGCTATAAAGACACATGCACACGTATGTTTTTTTTGCGGCACTATTCACAATAGCAAAGACTTGGAACCAACCCAAATGTCCATCAATGATAGACAGGATTAAGAAAATGTGGCACATATACACCATGGAATACTATGCAGCCATAAAAAAGGATGAGTTCATGTCCTTTGTAGGGACATGGATGAAGCTGGAAACCATCATTCTCAGTAAACTATTGCAAGGAAAAAAAACCAAACACCACATGTTCTCACTCATAGGTGAGAACTGAACAATGAGAACACTTGGACACAGGAAGGGGAACATCACACACCGGTGCCTGTTGTCGGGTGGGGGGAGGGGAGAAGGATAGCATTAGGAGATATACCTAATGTAAATGACGAGTTAATGGGTGCAGCACACCAACATGGCACATGTATACATATGTAACCTGCACATTGTGCACATGTACCCTAGAACTTAAAGTATAATAATAATTTTAAAAAGTCTTCCAACAAAGAAAAGCCCATGACCAGATGTCTTTACTGCCGAATTCTACCAAACCTATAAAGAAGAACACCAATTTTTCTCAAACTATTCAAAAAAATTGAAGAAGAGGAAATTCTTCTTAACTTATTCTATGAGGCCAGCACTACCCTGATACCACAAACAGACAAGGAAACAATAAAAAAAAAAAAAAAAAGAAAACTACATGCCAACGTCCCTGATGAACACAGATGCAAAAATCTTCAACAAAATACTAGCAAACAAACCTAACACAACAACACATCAAAAAAGTAATTCACCATGATTAAGTGGGATTTATCCCAGGGATGCAAGGATGGTTCAACATATGCAAGTCAATAAATGTTATACATCATATTAGCAGGATGAAGGAAAAAAACATATGATCATCTCAGTAGTTGCAGAAAAAGCACTTGATACAATTTAACACCCCTTCATTATTAAAAACTCTCAACAAATTATGAATAGAAGGAACATGGCTCAACATAATGAAGGCTGTATATGATACACCCACAGCTAACATCATACTTAGTGGGGAAAAGCTAAAAGTCTTTCCTTTAAAAACTGGAACAAGATAAGGATGCTTACTTCATCACTCTTACTCAACGTAGTACTATTAATAGAAGTGCTAGCCAGAGCAGTCAGGCAAGAGAAAGAAATAAAAGACATCCAAATTGGAAAAGAAGAAGTCAAAGTGTCCCTCTTTGCAGAAGACATGATCTTATATTTAGAAATTCCTAAAGACTCCACCAAAAAACTCTTAGAACTGATGAATGAATTCAGTAAAGTTGCAGGGTAAAAAATCAGCATACAAAAATCAGTAGTAATTCTATACACCAATAATGAACTAAGAAGAAACCAATAAAGTGATCCCATTTACAGTTGCTATGTAGAAAATAAAATATCTAGGAATAAATTTAACCAAGGAGGTAAAAGACCTATACAAGGAAAACTACAAAACACTGATGAAACAAATTGAAGAAGACACAAACAAAAAACATCCCATGCTCATGGATTGAAAGAATTAATATTGTTTTTAAAATGACCATACTACCCAAAGCAATCTATGGATTCAATGCAATCTCTATCAAAATACCAATGACATTCTTCAGAGAAATAGAAAAAACAATCCTAAAATTTGCATGAAACCACAAAAAAGCCCAAATAGCCAAAGCAACTGTGAGCGAAAAGAACAAAGCTGGAGGCACCACACTACCTGATTTCAAAATAACCTGTAAAGCTACAATAACCAAAACAGCAAGGTATTGCTTTAAAAAATAACAACAGACATATACCAACATAACAGAATAGAGAACCCAGAAATATATTCATGTATTTACATGAAACAGACTTTCAACAAAGGTGCCAAGAACATACACTGGGGAAAGGGCAGTGCTGGGAAAACTGGATATCTGAATGCAGAAGAATAATAAACCAGACCCCTATCTCTCACCATATACAAAAATCACCTTAAAATGAATAGACTTGGCCAGGCGCAGTGGCTCATGCCTGTAATACCAGCACTTTGGGAGGCCGAGATGGGCGGATCACGAGGTCAGGAGATGGAGACCATCCTGGCTAATATGGTGAAACTCTGTCTCTACTAAAAATACAAAAAAATAGCTGGGTGTGGTGGCACACACCGTAGTCCCAGCTGCTTGAACCTGGGAGGTGGAGGTTGCAGTGATCCGAGATTGTGCCACTGCACTCCAGCCTGGGCAACAGAGCGAGATTACAAGACTACGAGACTATGTCTCACATAATAATAATAATATAATAATAATAGACTTAAACATAAGACCTGAAATTCAAAACACTAGGAGAAAACATAGGGGAAGTGCTCTGGGACATTGGTGTAGGCAAACATTTTATAGCTAAGACTTCAAAAATACAGGCAACAACAACAAAAATAGAAAATAGACAAATGTGGCCAGGCATGGTGGCTTGTGCCTGGAATCCCAGTACTTTGGGAGGCCAAGACAGGCGGGATCACTTGAGGACAGGAGTTTGAGACCAGCCTGGCCAACATGGTGAAACCCTGTCTCTACTAAAAATACAAAAATACAAAAATTAGCCAGGCATGGTGGTTGGCACCTGTAGTCCCAGCTACTCAGCTACTCGGGAGGCACAGGCAGGAGAATCACTTGAACCCATTTGAACCCGGGAGGCAGAGGTTGCAGTGAGCCGAGATCACACCACTGCACTCCAACATGGCTGACAGAGTGAGACTCCATCTCAAAAAAAAAAAAAAAAAAAAAAGACATGTGACTATATTAAACTAAAAACGTTCTGCACAGCAAAGGAAACAACAGAATGAAGAGACAACTTGTTAAATGGGACAAAGTATTTGCAAACCACCCATCTGACAAGGAATACAAACAACAACAACAACAACAAAAAGCAAATAATTCCATTAAAAAATTGGCAAAGAATCTGAATAGACTTTTCTCAAAAGACAAATGGCCAAGAGGTATATGAAAAAATGTTCAATGTCACTAATCATCAGATAAATGCAAATCTGTGAGATATCATCTTACCCCAGTTAGAATGGCTATTATCAAAAAGACAAAACATAACAGATGCTGGTGAGGACAGAGAGAAATGGAACTCTTATGCATTGTTGGCAGGAATGTAAATTTGTATAGCCATTATGGAAAACAGTATGGAGGTTTCTCAAACTAAAAAGGGAACTACCATATGATCCAGCAATCCCACTACTGGGTATTTATCCAAAGGAAAAGAAATCAGTATATCAAAGGGACACCTGCACAATAGCCGAGATATAGAATCAACGTAAGTGTTCATGAACAGACAAATGGATAAAGAAAATTTGGTGTAGCTGGGCGCGGTGGTTCATGCCTGTATTCCCAGCATTTTGGAAGGCCAAGGCAGGTGGATCACCTGAGGTCAGGAGTTCAAGACTAGCCTGGCCAACATGGTGAAACCCCATCTCTACTAAAAATACAAAAAATTAGCCAGGCATGGTGGTGGGCACCATGCTACTCAGGAGGCTGAAGCAGGAGAATCCCTTGAACCGGGGAAGCGGAGGTTGCAGTGAGCTGAGATCGCACCATTGCACTACAGCCTGGGCAACAAGAGTAAAACCCCGTCTCAAAAAAAAAAAAAAAAAAAAGGAAAAGAAAAGAAAATTTGGTGTATATACACATGGAATTTTCTTTGCCCATAAGAAAGAATGAAATCCTGACATTTAGAGCAGCCTGGATGGAACTGGAGATCATTATGTTAAGTGAAACAAGGCAAGACCAGAAAGACAAGTAGTGCCTGTCCTCCCACGTTTGTGGGAGCTAAAAAAGTTGATTTCATGGAGGTAAAGAGTAGAATGATAGTTATTAGAGGCTGGGAAGGGTGAATGAGGGGATGAAGAGAAGTTGGTTAATGGTACAAACATACGGTTATATAGAAGGAATAAGTTTTAGTGTCAGTAGCAGAGTGGGTGACTATAACTAACAGCAAGGTATTGTGTATTTGAAAAATAGGGAGAAGATTTGAAATGTTTCCAACACAAATGATAAATGTTTGAAGTGATGAATATCCTAAATATGCCAATTTGACCATTGCACATTGTATTCGTGTATCAAAATATCACATGCACCCCATACATGTGTATAATTATTATATATCAATTAAAATATATAGATTTTTTTAAAAGATTGCTGCTGCAGCTCCACATATCACCTCCTTATCCCAGGAATGAAGAAGTGAAAAAGGGGAAAGGTGATAGCTGAGTTCATCTCAGGGCCCCCTCCTGTTCCCTGGGACTTCGGCCTCTGAGCTTGCAGACCCCAATACCGCCCCGTCTTTTTGGCGATTGATCGCACTCTACTTCCTTCTGCTTGGGATTTCTTCCTTCGATGCAAGCCTAACTGCCTCCACCCGTCAGGGGTCCCTTTTTACCTTGACGGGCTACGTGGATGTTTTAAGCCATCCCACCCACCACTGCTAAGGATTTGGTGCAGGAAAGGGAGACTGAGGCCTGGGCCCAGTTTGCCATCTTGATCCAGTCTCCCTGTCTGCTTCATCTTTTCTAGAATTTCTCACGTTCTACTGACGTCCCGGCTTGCCAGTGCCGCTAAAGTCATTTCAGGGTGGTGGGGGAGAGGGGAGAGGGAACATGCATGTTCACTTGGCCATCTGGAGCTGAAACTCTTCTTTAGTTCCTGCCAGGGAAGAGGAAGCAGCTCCGGGAGGTCCGGGAGAGCATTCGCTTCCTGCGCCAGGTGGGCAGGGACTGGGTCCAGCGCCGCCGGGAGGCCCTGAAGAGGGGCGAGGAGGTTCCTGCCGACATCCTCACACAGATTCTCAAAGGTGCGAGGGCCCCCTCTGCAGACTGGGGAGGGTGGGGTGGGCCGGGACGTCCCCCAGGTGATTCATCGCCTCTGGCTCTGTTTGGCTTAAGAGGAGAAACACAGTTAGTTCTTTATGAGCTGTGGGGAAAGGGAGCAAATATTTGCTGGGAACTGAGACTCTCCTTGTCTTTCAGCTGAAGAGGGGGCCCAGGACGATGAGGGTCTGCTGGACAACTTCGTCACCTTCTTCATTGCTGGTTTGTAGCTTTAGTGGTGACCAAGGGCCCGGAGCTCTGCAGAAATACTGCAGACCATGGATCCCTCAAACCCAACTCTTTGGGATTTTGGGGGCTATCTGAGCAGAGCTCACCATAGGACTAGGGGGCTGGGCTAAAGGGAGCAGAAACCCCTTCTTCTTGCTGTCTTGGGGGCATCTGACCTGGTAGTGCAGCTGGCAATTGTGGGGATGTGTGAAGCTGGCCTTTCAGCTGCAGAGAGCTTGGCTGTGTGAATGCAGGCTTCCCCTCACTCAGAATTTGCGGGGAGGCCTGCATTAGACTGGCACAAAAAGAGATGCTAAGCAGCTTCATTCGTTTGCTCATCAGATATTTCCTGAACATGGTTCTTCACCTAGAAAACTCCTCTTCACCTGTCAGTGAGCCCTCACATGCCTCCTCCTCAGGGAAGCGCAGGCTGCCTCAGGCCCTCAGCTAGAAGCTGGCTGCAGGCCTGGAGCTCCTCCCCACCACCCACCTCATAGTGTTAAGCTGTTCATTTATTTGTGGTAATTGAGTGAGGTCTGTTCCCCACCAGACTTGATGAGCAAAGGGTCAGGTTGTTTAGCTCACCTCTGTTCTGCCAGGGCCCAGTGCGGTATGTTCCCACGAACATTGAATGAAATACACAAACAAATGGCTGACACTAGGCACCGGGAAGATGGAGGTGAACAAGATGAGGGACAGTTCCTAGTCTAATGGCAGAGGTGGACAGACAGAGACAAGTACTGATGGACGAAGAGGTCTACAGGTGAACGGCATGGAGGAAGGCCCTTTAGGTGGGAGAAGCACTTGCAGATGCCCCAGGAGATTAGAAATGGCCAGTGTTAAAGCAAGGCTGCAGGGCGCCATTCCCTGCAGTGGATAGAAGGGACTTGCGGAACCAATGGCTGGTCCTCTTCCTGCAACTGGAAACCCAGGTCCTGGATGAGGCTTCTGGACAGACCTAGCTTCAGTTTCCTCATCTGTAAAATGGGGGCCTTGAGGAACTCTCCAGGCTTCTATCCAGCCTTCCAAAGAGGGTGTATTAATCCCGTCTCATCCCTCCAGTCTATCCCTGAGCCCTGCGTCCAGATGCTATGGGGGACTGGCCGAGGGCAGGGTGGGTTGTGTCTGTCTTTCCCTTTGCCTGTGAGGAAACTGAGGCTGAGGAGGGAAGTGGCCTCCTATAGTCACAGCCAGCGATGCAGAGCTGGGGCCAGGGCTGCTCTGTTCTCCCACCCTGCTCCCCAGCTGAGGGCTCTGCTGGCTGTGTGACTGGCCCATCTCCACACCCTGGGAGCTGGGCCCTTCTTCCCAGCTCTGACTTGCTGTAAGGTACAGGCCCTTCTGCATTCAAGCGGAGCCCCTCAAGCACCTTGGCTGGCCAGTGGTTGCCACCTGGTAAGCCACCTACTCCTTTAGAGTAAACTCATGTCTGTTGCCTCTCAGGCTAACTTGGAGGGGTTGACTTTATCACGTTGGCCAGAGCCTGATAAAAGTCAAAATCTGCCTCCCGAAACATCCGCCACCCCTCATAGAACCTCAGGGTCATGAGGGGCTTTTGTGTGCGCGCTGCAGCATGGGAAGGAGAGGCCTTGGGCTCACCGACTTTGAATTGTGTCCCTCCCCACTCTCCCTGCTGTGTGACCAGAAACCCATTCCTCTCCACCTCTACTTTTTCTTCTCCAAAATGGAGGTGAGCACCTCCCCGGGCCAAGTGAGACCCAGACGATGGTTCAAGGAAGGGGCTTTTAGACCCAGATGCCTGGGGGCAAATGCCATTTACTTGCCAGCACTGGCTGGCATAGAGGCAAACAAACTGTCTCCTTCATCCTGTGGCCCCATGTGGAGCAGCCACTGTCCACCCTTCCCACAGGTCACGAGACCTCTGCCAACCACTTGGCGTTCACAGTGATGGAGCTGTCTCGCCAGCCGGAGATCGTGGCAAGGTATGGGGGGTGATCTTGGGACTGGCAAAGGGGTCTGTCTGATGTCTTGTTCCTGAGGGCCACCTGTCCCTACCTCCCATGGTTGAGTCCCTTCAACATGCCCTGCTTCCCCCGGGCCTTGGCACGTGCTGTTCCCTCTCTTGGAAACACTGTCCCTGCTTTTCCCCTGGAGAACACGCCTCCTCCTCCCACTCCTCTTCTAGAAAGGGCTTCTCGGATCCCTAAAGGAGCCACCCATGTTTCCCCTCTGAGCCTCCTCCCAACTCATGAATGTGTTTCCCCGGGACTATTTCATCATGTCTATTCAGCTATGAGACCGGAAGCTCCAGGAGGGCGGGACCGTGGCCTTTTCCCTCCCCACAGTGTACCCAGTGCCTGGCCAGAGCCTGGCAGTGATGATGGAGCAGAATCCCTGCTAATGTGCCAAGGGCATGCTTGTCTTCTGACGGCAAGACAAAGGAGGGCGTCCCTGGGGAGGTGACATTTGAGTCGGGCCATTGGTTTCCTTAAATACAAACAGGCTCCCTCTAGGACAGTTACATGGAGTGGCTGAAGCAAGTGTCAGAGCTCTCAGAACGCACCAACGGGCTCGGTGGGAGCTCTGGGGAGGTGGGGTCAGGCCTTCAATTACCATTATTAGTCATCAGCAGCATAGAAGGGCGGAAGTGAACATACAATCGTTCTTGGGTTTAAAAGTAAGTATAATAGTAATAGGCATTTCATATAAAAATTTTGGGAGAAGCAGAAAAGTTATAATAATAGTAAACCCACCCATGGCACCCCACCCACCCAGAGCCAATCCACTGTTAACTGCTCAGTGCCTGTTCAGCACCTTCTCACCTACTCACGGGCGGCTTTGCTGTGTTTTGTCACCTGGCTGTACAGCTGGCTTTTATTCCCCATGCGCCTCGTCACAGCATTGCCCACCTGATTGTAACCTCCTCCCAAATCCACTCTTTTTAAAATTGTGGTAAAATATATATAACATAAAATTCTACATTTTCATTGTTTTTAAGCACACAGTTTAGTGGCATTAAGGGCATTCACATTGTGAATGCCATCCCCCTCCACTGTTTTTTGTTTATTTTTGTTTATTTTTTATTTTTATTTATTTATTATTTTTCTTTTTTTTTTTTTTTTGAGACAGAGTCTTGCTCTGTCGCCCAGGCTGGAGTGTGATCTCAGCTCATTGCAACTTCTGCCTCTCCGGTTCAAACAATTCTCCTGCCTCAGCCTCCAGAGTAGCTGGGATTACAGGTGTGCACCACCACACCTGGCTATTTTTTTTTTTTTTGTATTTTTAGTAGAGACAGTGTTTTGCAATGTTGGCCAGGCTGGTCTCAAACTCCTGGCCTGAAGTGATCCACCCGTCTTGACCTCCCAAAATGCTAGGATTACAGGCGTGAGCCACTGCTCCTGGCCTCCGTCTCCAGAACTTTTTCATCTTCCCAAACTGAAAATCTGTCCATTCTCCCCTCCTCCACCACCGGTAACCACAATTCCACTTCTGTCTCTATGGGTTTGTCTATTCTAGGTGACTTATATAAGTGGACTCATACAGTATTTGTCTTTTATGTGACTGGCTTATTTTACTCAGATAGTGTCCTCCAAGTTCATCCATGTTGCAGTATGTGTCAGAACTCCCTTCCTTTTTAGGACTTACTAATGTTCCATTGTAAGATCTCTCCCATTTTGCATATTCATTCATCTGTCCATGGATACCTGGGTTGTTTCTTCCTTTTGTCTATTTTGAATAATGCTGCTATGAGGATGGGTATACAAATATCTTTTTAAGTCCCAGCTTTCAGTTGTTTTGAGTTTATACCCAGAAGTGGGGTTGCTGGATCATATGGTGATTCTATTTTTAATTTTTTGAGGAATCACCATATCGTTTTCCATAGCCGCTGAAACATTTTACATTCCCACCAGCAGTGCACAAGGGTTCTTTCTGATTTGTCCACATCCTCGACAATACTTTTGTGTTTGAGACGGAGTCTTGCTCTGTTGCCAGGCTGGAGTGCAGCAGCTCTATCTCTGCTCATTGCAACCTCCACCTCCCAGATTCAAGTGATTCTCATGCCTCAGCCTCCCAAGTAGCTGGGATTACAGGCACCTGCCACCACTCCTGGCTAGTTTTTGTATTTTTAGTAGAGAGAGCGTTTCACCATGTTGGCCAGTCTGGTTTCCTACAGCCAATCCCAAACATCAGACACAAAGGGTGGATGTTTTAGGGCCCCTGGAACATGGTTCCTAATGGTTTGGGCACTGTTTTGGATCTGGCTGTCATTGGATCTCTTTAACAGTCTTTGGGCTGGGTGTGGTGACTCATGCCTGTAATCCCAGCACTTTGGGAGGCTGAGGCAGGCGGATCACCTGGAGTCAGGAGTTCAAGACCAGCCTGGCCAACATGGTGAAACCCTGACTCTACTAAAAATACAAAAATTAGCTGAGCATGGTGGTGAGCGCCTGTAATCCCAGCTACTCAGGAGGCTGAGGCAGGAGAATTGCTTGAATCCTGGGGGCGGGGGGCGAAGGTTGCAGTGAGCCAAGATTGCACCATTGCACTCTAGCCTGGGCAACAGAGCAAGACTTTGTTTCAAAAAATAAAAATAAAAGTAACAGTGTTTGTGGATGGGGAGCCCCATGCGTCTGTCTTCACCATTCCTTCCAATGTCCCCTTCTTAAAGCTAAGTTGGGGAAAGGCTCCCTTTGGAGATGAACTTGTCTTTGTCTTACCCCACAGGCTGCAGGCCGAGGTGGATGAGGTCATCGGTTCTAAGAGGTACCTGGATTTCGAGGACCTGGGGAGACTGCAGTACCTGTCCCAGGTGTGGGGAGTAGGAGGGAAGCTTCTGGGCAGATGTGGGTGATTCATGTCATCAGGCCTGCTGCCTCCCAGGACCTTTTAGGACAGTGGTTTTCAAACTTTGCTGCATAGGAGACTCCCCTAGAAGATTTAAAGTATCCCGAGGCCCAGGCTGCCCAAGACTAATGATGTCAGAGTCAAGGAGCTCCCCAGGTCATCCCAGTATTCAGCTTAGCTTGGAAACTGGCCCTTTAGTAAATCATGCCGTATTTGTGCTTCCCGGCTAGGCTGCAGTTCCAGATACTTAAGCTTTTCCTGGTGGAGTCAGGCTCAGCAGCACCTCCACGAGCTGCTGCAGCATAGCAGGAGGCCTTTCGGGTTCTGCTGTGGCTCTCTGGAATGGTGGGAGCCCTGATTCCTGGTCCCAGCTCTGCCATTGTGGCCTTGCACAGCTCCCTTCTCCTTCTGGACCTCAGTTTCTCCATCTGCCACGTGATGGTGAGACTGATGTCCCAGGGGCCTGGGACCCAGGCCAGGGTGAGGGTATACATTCAGCCTATGGGTGGGAAAGAGAGGAGTCCCAGGCATGCCACTGGCCAGCATGATCTGTGGCCTCTCCCGACTTCTCTTGTTATCTCCCCTTGTGGCTTCTCTAGGTCCTCAAAGAGTCGCTGAGGCTGTACCCACCAGCATGGGGCACCTTTCGCCTGCTGGAAGAGGAGACCTTGATCGATGGGGTCAGAGTCCCCGGCAACACCCCACTCTTGGTGGGTGGAGGCCCTGGGGGCCCTGGGGTGGGCTGGCCTGCTTGCCCCAGTGGTGGTGAATTTGGGACTCACCAGGGGAGCCCGTGGCCCCGTTCCCATCACTGTGCTGGGCCTTGCTGGCTGCCCTGTTCTTTCTCACGGAGTCTCACCATAGCCCTGTGAGGGCTTTTTCCCCTCCTCACACTGTTCAGCAGAAGATTACAGCAGGTCATTCTGGAAGGGAGGTGCCCCTTTTACAGCTGAGGACACTGAGGTTCACAGAGGTTCGGTCAATTTCCTGGGGTCATACAGCTGGCGAAGAGCAGATATGGAAAGTGCCCAGTTTCACAGTTGACCCAAACTTGTCCTGGTTCTTTCCCTCCTCGCACTTTATAACTCTTTCTCTCTCGGCTTTCTCCCCGGACCTCCTTTACCTTGTGTCTCTTTGTTTGCTTACTTGTTCATTTATCTATTCATCCAGGCATTTATTCACGTATAATAGCCCCTAACCCCCCCCCCACCAAACCAGGAAACTAGGATGTAGTCACTCCCTGCTCTTCTGAGAAGGAATCACTAATCTGAATTGTGTGTTTGCCATTCCCTCGTGTGTGTGTGTGTGTGTGCGCGCCTGTGTGCACTCATGCAGTAATATGTTGTAGGACTTGCTTTTTGACTCAGTATAAAGATTGGTAAGATTTGTGTAGGCTTCTCTATGGGGCCGTGGGACAACCACCATTGCTGATCAATTCTCAGGTGAGAGGCATTTGAGAGGTGCCCAGTTTGTCCCTATTATGAGCACCACAGCAGCGATGCCATTTCTGTCTGTGTGCCAGGAGCAGTGTGTGAGCAAGATCCTCAGGCATGTACCCAGAAGTGGCAGTGCTGGGTTGTAGGACCTGCGACTGTTCAGCTTTACAGACTAATGCCACATTGTCTTCCAAAGTGGCTGCACCAACTTAGACGCCCACATGTGGTGAGGGACAGCACCTGCTGTTCTTTATTGTCTCCAACACTTAGCATGGTTCAATTTTGTATCTGCTGCCATCCAAATATGTGTTTTAAAAAAAGTATTTCACTGTGGTCTTGATTTGTGCTTTCCTGATTACTAACTAGTTAAGAGTGAGCATCTGACCCTGTTTTCTCTGTCTCTGAGATGTGGGCTCAGTTTCCCTTTTGGGGTAGTGTGTTTTTTCATATTGCTATGTAGAGCTTTATTTTATTTTATTATTTTTTTACAGCATACATTTATTAATTATTATTTTTATTATTAATTTTTAGATGGAGTCTCGCTCTGTCCCCCAGGCTGGAGTGCAGTGGCGCCATCTCCACTTATTGCAACCTCTGCCTCCTGGGTTCAAGCAATTCTCATGCCTCAGCCTCCCAAGTAGCTGGGATTACAGGTGCACACCACCACGCCTGGCTAATTTTTGTATTTTTAGTAGAGATGGGGTTTCACCAGGTTGGCCAGGCTGTTATCAAACTCCTGACCTCAAGTGATCCACCTGCCTCGGCCTCCCAAAGTACTGGGATTACAGGTGTGAGCCAGCGTGCCTGGCCCTGGAGCTTTACTTTAAAAACTCGTGTGTTCATCTTTTGTCTGGTATGTTTGTCATCTTTGTGGCTTGTCTTCATTAATGTGTTTTTGATGATCTACGTCTCTTAATATTTTTAACAATTACTTCTTTTGCTTTGCCTTGTTTAAGAAATCCTTCTCTATTCTGAGTTCAGGGCATTCACTTACATTGTCCTCAAACAATTTTACATTTTTCTTTTCAAAGCTGAGCTTGTAACTACCTAGAATTGATTTTGTGTGTGGTTTCAAGGCAGGGACCCATCTGTATTGATTTGCCAGGGCTATTGTAACAAAGTGCCACAGACTTTGGCTTAAACAACAGAAATTTATTTTCTCCCAGTCCTGGAGGCTGGAAGTCTGAGATCAAGGTGTTGGGAAGCTGGTTTCTTCTGAGGGCACACTCCTTGGTGTGTAGACAGCCACCTTCTCCCTGCGTCTCCACGTGTTCTTCCTTCTGTGTGTCTGTGTCCTAATCTCTTCTTATAAGGACACCAGTCAGGTTGGATTAGGGCCCATCCTAAGTACCTCATTTTAAGTTAATCACCTCGTTAAAGACCTTGTCTCCAAACACAGCCGCATACTGAGGTACTGGGGGTTAGGACTCCAACATGTGAATTTGTTGGGGACAAAATTCAGCCCATGACAGGATCCTTTTTATTTTTACCTATGAGGAAGGAGGAGCCCCAGCCCCTGCTCGCAGCCCCTCTCCTCCCAGGGCTCTGCCCCACTTCCCCCAGCATCCATCCAAGCCTCATCTGTGGCCACTCTGTCATCTGTTTTGCCGAGCTTTCTTTTGAATACCCCTGTATCAATACCACTATGCCGTAATGGCCATCTCCTTAGATCCCCTTAAGCTGGGAGGGGAGGCCCTGTGGCTCACTCTCAGCCTGGGGGTGCCACCTGTGGGCTTTGAGTGGGCAGACTGGGCTCCATCCCCAGCTCTGCTGCTGGCTGGCTGGGTCATCTCCATCAGGCCTTCGGCTTCCTCTTTGTTAGGTCGGGGGGAGTGGTGATGGCACCCAAGCCACAGCCTGTCAAGAAGCGTCAGTAGGATGACATACATCATGTGCCTGGCAACAATCCCTGGCACATCGCAGGTGCCCTAAACCCAGCCCCCGTGCCTGATGCTCCCACTCACTTGCTGGAGCTCAGCTCCAGCGCTCCCTGTACCCTCTGCTGCGCTGACCCCAGCACAGAGAGCCAGGGGTGGAGCAGGCTCAGGAGGAGATTTTGTCCCAGTGTTTGGAGGCCAAGGACACAGAGTGAGCATCAGCCCCACTCAGGAGGAACCACACATGCAAGTGGACGGCTGGTGGGGTCTGCAGCTCCTCCACTCCCACCCCTGCCGAAGCAGGCCTTGAGTTGAAGAGAAACTGAATATAACAGTTCTCAGGATCTAGAGGAAGTTGGCCTCACAGAGTCAGATCTGAGTTTGAATCTCGATTTGGCCATTTATTTGCCTGGTGACTTCAGGTGAGTCACTGAGCCTCTCTCTGGGTCTCAGTTTCCTCATCTGTAAAATGGGGATAATGATGGCTCCCCCACAGGGCTGTGCCCAGCACAGGATGACACAGTATGCCCAGCTGGCACAGTCAGCTGTCCTCACTCTTAAGGGATTGTCTAGGGGGCCAGTACAATCGACACCTACCTAGATGGGGGTGAAGCCATGGGGGGAGGAGAGTGGGACCCACTCTGCTCCGAGTAGCCCTGTTGGGTGGCCTCAGTGGCTCAAGAGGTGCCAGGGGAACAACCTGGGAACCAGAGATGAGCGGACCCTTTGCCCGCAGTTCAGCACCTATGTCATGGGGCGGATGGACACATACTTTGAGGACCCGCTGACTTTCAACCCCGATCGCTTCGGCCCCGGAGCACCCAAGTAAGTCCCTCCTCGAGCTGCCCATGAGTGGGGCTGGTGGGAGAAGGATAGACACAGCAGCCTCTGGTCTGAGCCAGAGGCGCCCGCTTAGCCCACATAGCCTTCCAGATCCCTGTGAGGTGGCTGTAGAGGAAATCACAACTCAGAGAGGTTAAGTAACTTGCCCAAGTGGCAGAGCAGGGGTCTGGCCCCAGCTCAGTCTTGTTCTAAAGTCCATGCTCACAAGCAGCACCAAATACTGGGAAGCTGGGTGATTTCACCTCCCCAAACCTTGAGGTTCCTGTCTGAGAAATGGGACCATCCGTGGCTGCATCTGGAAGTTGCTGTGGGGGTCAACACGTTAAGGTACCAAAGCCATGGTGGGAAGAGCTGGACTCCACAGCTTGCCCAAGTTCAGATCCAGGCTCTGCCCAGAGCTGGATGTAAATTTATGACCTGGAGTGAGTTGCTTTGCCCCTCTGAGCCTCAGTTTCTCCACGTGTGAAATGGGACAACATAAGCTCCTTCCAGGAGGGTAAAAGGAGGAGAAAAAGAGAGAATGCAGATCCAGCCCTCGGCAGAGTCAGCGGTTCATGCTTTGCATGCAAAGTGCCCAGCCCCTGGCTCTAAGTCTGTGTTCATCCAGACATGGGTTAACTGCTGTCTTCCTTGTGTTGTTCCTGTGGGGATGTCTGGGGCTGCTGGCCTTGTGATTCCTCTCTTTCCCTGCAGGCCACGGTTCACCTACTTCCCCTTCTCCCTGGGCCACCGCTCCTGCATCGGGCAGCAGTTTGCTCAGGTAGGAGAGGCAGGGCTGTGGTTCTGCCCAGGAGTGGCTGCAGGGGTGGTGGCTCATCCTGAGCCAGGAAGCATCTCAGAACCCCTGCTCTGGGGCTGCTGGGAGGACTGGCTGTGTTTTGCACGGAGGAGAGTGCGAAACACAGGAGGCCCTCCAGGAGGAGAGCTGGCTGTGACATTTGCTGCTCTTTCACTCACTCATTCTGTCTTTGCTTCTTCATTCCTTCCTCATTTTGTCTGCTGGGCCCAGATGGAGGTAAAGGTGGTCATGGCAAAGCTGCTGCAGAGGCTGGAGTTCCGGCTGGTGCCCGGGCAGCGCTTCGGGCTGCAGGAGCAGGCCACGCTCAAGCCACTGGACCCAGTGCTGTGCACCCTGCGGCCCCGCGGCTGGCAGCCCACACCCCCACCGCCCCCCTGCTGAGGGGGCCCCCAGGCAGGATGAGACTCCTCGGGCAAGGGCCGTGCCCGCCCACCAGTTGCCCACGGCCACCCACCCTTCTACCCTGTCCCATCCCCTGGGCCACCCTTCACGCTGGCTTCCAGCGGGCCCTCTGCCAACTGCCTGCTTCACACCCCTCAGCGCTCCCTGTCACCTGCGGACTCCACGGCCCTTCCTGGACTGGCCCTTGCCCAACTCTCAGCCACCACCATTGTCCCTACCACTGAGCCCTTGCACAGGCCACTTCCTCAGACGAGACACCCTAACTCTTGCTCACTCCCTAAAGCCCTCTTCAGGTGTCACCTCCTCCAAGAAGCCCTCCTTGCCACCCCCAGCCGGGTCAGGGGCCCCTCCTCTGTGCTCCCTCAGTCACCTGTGCTACCTCTAACACCACACTGACCACACTGTATTGTGAGTGTCCGTTGATGTGACCAATTGCCCTCCCAGGCTGTCAGCGCCTCAAGGGTAGGGTCTGTGTGTGATTCGTCTCTGAGCCCCCTGTGCCCACCCGGGGCCCGGCACAGAGTCGATGCTCAATAAATGTGTGTTGACTGCATGAATGACCTGGAACCAGGCCATGTGCTCTCGCCTCGGCTTGCTCATCTGTGAAAAGGGGGAGATGTGGAGGCTGGCAGAGCTCTGGAAGCTGCAAGCCCGCAGGTGCCCCAGAGATGCCCCGACAATGCTGCTTGGGAGAGACTGCCCCAGGTTACCCGCCTGTTCCTGTGCTGTATTCATGGCCATGTCCCTGGGTGCTGTGTGAGGTTGGGACTGGGTGGGTGACTGGCTCTGACAGCTGGATTTGAGAGGTCAGGGAGGCCCCTGAGCCTCTCTTGGGAGCAGTTTGGTGGAGCTGCGCCCCGTGCTGCCCTCCTGACCTGGCAGCGGGGCAGGGCAGGTAAGACTGCAGCCCTCGTGGTGGTGATGGGGAAAAGCCATCCCTTCCTCCCCAGGACCGTGTCCTCTGAGCCCATCCAAGGAAGACGTCCTGCCCCGAGTTTCTCCTTCAGTCATTGGGAGCTTGTCTTTGTGCAGAGAGAAAAAGCTGCCCTCGTGGCCAGGCGCGGTGGCTCACACCTGTAATCCCATCACTTTGGGAGGCTGAGGCAGGTGGATCACCAACATGGCGAAACCCTGTCCCTACTTAAAAATACAAAAATTAGCCGGGCATGATGGTGGGTGCCTGTAGTCCCAGTTACTTGGAGTCTGAGGCAGGAGAATTGCTTGAACCCGGGAGGCAGAGGTTGCAGTGAGCCGAGATCGTGCCACTCTACTCCAGCCTGGCGACAGTCAGACTCCGTCTTAAAAAAAAGAAAAGAAAAAGCTGCCCTCTCCCCTGCCTGGGCCATGTGCCCCCTGGAAAGACCCCTCCCCACACAGGGAAGGCACAGATGTGTGCTGGCCCCTGATGTGCGTTGTCGGTCTCCTTCGGTCCTTGCCGCAGTCTTGAATGATGGCTCCAAGGGATGGTCCCATCAAGCAGATGAGGACACTGAGACTCAGGGGCGTAAGTGACATGCTCATTACAGGTGGGGCCTGGGGTGGCTCTGAGAATGGAGGAGACAAGTGTTTGGGTTCCCAGCCTACCCCTCTCCCCAGCCCAGGTGGGGGATGCACACCCCAGCCTCTGGGCAGAGGGTTGGGCCCCTGGGACGCCTCCAGAACTGCAGCGTTCTTGCAAAGAGAGGGTCCTCCTGCTCCCCTAGCACCTCGCCTGACCATGTAGGTACCTGGCCAGCCCCTCATCAAGCTGCACCCTCCACCCCCTCCATTTCCAGCTCCCTGTCTGGGGGGGCCCCAAACTCACCACCCACTCTGAGAATGGTATGCCCGGGCTCAGCCTCCAGATCAAACTCACCCCTGGCCAGAAGCAGCCCCTTCCCACAGCCACCCCAAATGCTGCTATCTCCCAGCATCCTGTTCCCAAGCCCCCAGCCGGGCACTGTTCCCCGACCTGCTCTGCTGTGCCCCCCTCCCCTGCCCCCTGCAGCCCTTCTCTGAGGTTCACCAGTACCCACATGCCTGCCCCTGCTTCCCACAGTCCACGCCCTCTGCCTCCTGCTGTGGCTGGACCTGGTCCCCATAGGACAGCACCTCCTTCACAGTCCATCTAAAAGGACCACAGGCCACCGGCCACAGTACTGCAGCGACGCAACCCAGCATTGTCTGGAGGGGCCCGGAGGGATCGGCTCCCTCTGGAAACTTCAAGTTCCCGGCTTGACCAGCCGCTGACCTGGCAAATATCCGTCCATTGCTGAGCCTGAGCCTTCACACCATGATTTATTCAAATCCTGCCAGGAAACAGGAGCCAACTATGCCCCATTTCACAGAAGGGGAAGTCAAGGCCACAGCCACAGCTGGGCCATAGTGGAGTCAGCACTTAAACCTGTGGCCCTTCGCATCCAGTGGCCTTCCACAGGTTCAGCATGCCCTACCCCTGCAGGCCTGGGCTTGTCTTCTGCACCCCCCAGGAATCCCAGATGGCTGGGAAGTGCAGAGCCAGAACCCCCCAGCCCCACTGTCACTGCCGGTGGGGCCATCCTGCCCTCCTTTCTGAGCCACTTCCTCTTCCATAGACTGGGCTTTCTGTGAGGGGCAGGTGGCTCTCAGTCCAGGCTGCATGGGGGAGCCACCTGGGCCAGGTGAATCAGCCTCTGGGGTGGGGCTCAGAAACTTTTCTTTTTCTTTTTTCTTTTCTTTTTTTTTACTCTTATTGCCCAGGCTGGAGTGCAGTGGCACAATCTCCGCTCACTACAACCTCCACCTCCCGGGTTTAAGAGATTCCCCTGCCTCAGCCTCCTGAGTAGCTGGGATTACAAGCATGTGCCACGACACCCGGCTAATTTTTGTATTTTTATTTTTAGTAGAGACGGGGTTTCACCATGTTGGCCAGGCTGGTCTCGAACTCCTGACCTCAGATGATCCACACGCCTCTCCAAAGTGTTGGGATTACAGGCATGAGCCACCGCGCCCGGTCCAACTGTTTTCAAGTCTCCCAGGAGATCCCAATGTGCATGGGCGGGTGCCGCCAGTCCGGGTGAAGCCGACCTCCCGGACCCAGGCAAGATGGATAGGATTAAACCCAAGGCTATGCAGCTAGGCGACCTGGGGTCAAATCCTGCTCCCACCTGCCTGGGCCTCAGTTTCCCCATCTGTAAGGGAGGACAAATAATAGGACCACTTCCTAGGGTTGGTGGGGAATTAGTGTCCATACGTGGGTCGCGCTCTGGCACTGTGACTCTGGTCATTGTCACCTGCAGGGAAGGGAGGCTTTCCTGCAGGCAAGGCGGCGCAGTCCCCGGAAGAGCCGCACGGTGGCGCGCTGGCGCAGAGCGCGGGCTCGCCCTCCCGCCCAGGCCGAGCGGGCGGCGCCGGCCCCAGCCGCGGAGGGTCCTGAGGCGCGGAGTGGGTGGGCCGAGGGGACGCCAGCCCCGCTCCCGGAGGCGGGGTCAGGCGGGAGGCCGGGGGTCGGCAGTGGCAGGCTCTGGCCACGACGTGGAGGTGGGATAGCCACCCCCATTTCACAGATGGGGCTCCCGAGGCGCAGCGAGGTGTGGCAGCTGCTGGGGGAGCCGGGCCTGGGCCTGGGGCGCTGGCAGGCCGGCCGGGGACGCGCCGGGCGGGAGCGCGCAGCTCTGGCGGGAAGTGCGCACAGGCTACTGCGGCCGCCGGGGAGGCCGGGGGATGCCCTCGCTAGGCGGCTCCGGAGGCTCCGGGCCCCGCCCTGCTCTGCCACTCCCTCCCGTGTGACCTCGGCCAATGGCGGCCTTTTCTGAGTCTGTCCCCCTGCACTGTAAAGCTGGACGTGCTTAATCTACACTCGCATCCCCGCAGGAGGCTTCCAGCCTGCGCATTCCTGAGGGCCTGCCTTCCCCAGGCACCAGCTTCCCCAGGGCTGAGCTGCTGAACTCTAAAACCTTTGGACACCTCCCTGCCCTCTGCCCTAGCGACCTGCGGCTGGAGACCCTGAGCTGGCCCAGCCCTCTGGGGTACCCAATAGCCTAGGCTGGGTTGGGGGTGGCTTCAGGAACCTTGGGCTGCCGGGCGTGGGGTGAGCGCCTTGGCCCAGCTATGGCCAGGTGGGAGGTTTTCTTCCTCTATGCTCTGGGTGCTGGGGCTGGAGGCGGTGGCTCTGCTGGGCTTCAGAGACAGCCAATGTGGATAGACAGAGGACCATGCCCTGTGTCCCCGCAATTAGCTGCCCACCTGGGAAGGTTCTGGATGGAACTTGGCAGAATCCTGAGCCGGCCCCTCCTGGCAGTCCTGGCCGAGAGGGCACCGCGCGCTTTATGCTGGTCCAGAGTCAGTTGACGGGACTCAATTCACATCTGCCCAGACCTCACCCCGGGCTCCAGACCTCACCCCGGGCTCCAGACAGCCTCAGGCATCTCTGGATGTCCAAAAATATCCCCCACCCCGCAGGCGCACCCTCCCCGCAGTCACCGGGGTATTTCTGGCGGACGGAAGGGGACTCAGTGGGAGGAAGGGTCATTTCTCTGAATCCAGGGCCAGGGGTGGGGAGGGACGGAGTCAAGTCCCTGCCTTGGCCTGGAGCTTTAGAAACACTCATTTCTTCTGGAACACAGCCTCTCCCCCGTAAATCCTTCTCACCAGAGGAAACCATAGTCACCCTCCTGGTGCTCACTTCTTGGGCAGCCACTGCCTGGACGAGACCCCGGGAGGCCAGGCAGAGGGGTCCCCCCCACCCCGTGGGAGGCAGCCTGCTAATTCTGGGTGCCAAGGGCAAGACTGCAGGTCCCTGTGCAGGACACCTGCCAGCTGCATCGCGTTTGGAGCCTACCCTGGATGGGGCTCTGTGGGCCCAGGGCAAGGCCAGGCAGGGACCGGCATGAGCAGCAGCTGGCACAGGAGCGCCCTGGGCAAGAGCCCGTCGGCCAGTGGCAGACACTGGGTGAGGAGCCCCGATGATTCAAGTCATGCTTTACTGGCATTGCACCTCACCTGTTGGGCACGCTGTGCGGCCAGCCCTGAGCCAGCTTTACTGTACCTCCAGGTACCCTGTGCTATAGACAAGGCTCCAAGAGGTGCGGCCTGCCCCATCTCAGGGCCAGAGGGTAGAGGGTGGAATGGGCTGTCCCTGGGGCCCTTGCCCCTGCTGTTGAGCCCAGGAGCCTGAGCCTGGGAGGCCTCCCCATCGCCTCCCTGCCCCCCTGCCCCCTCCCAAATGACAGTGGCTTTTTGGCTGCCACCCCAGAGGTAAGGGGGTAACCCGAGGAAACCAGGAGCTGCCCACACCCTCAGCCCAGGGACAGCAGGTGCAGCTGCACAGGCCTTGCGGGTTTCTTTCCTGGCTGGGAGCCTGGACGCCGGGAGTGTTGCCCAAGGCCACCCAGGCAGCGGTCTGTCAGGGGTGCCTGGGCTGGACAAGGGGCCCTGGGTGTTTGGAACCAGCTCGCAGAGCTATGCTGGAGCAGGTGCATGTGTGTGTGTGTGCATGTGACCCCACGTGCACATGTGTGTCTCTGTGTCTCCGTACCTGTCCGTGTTCCTGTTCCTTAGTCTCCGGGGGTCTGTCCGGCCCCCCGTGTGTGAGGCTGTGCAGATGAGTC